GGGGAGGGGAGGGGTGGTAGACGCACCTCTGCGGTTTTGGGGACGGCTTCGCAGAAGAGTTCGACCTTTAGGTCGCCATGGGTGGTGTGAAGCTTGGGTTTATTAGTTCGTTGCGCTGGAATGAGGAGTGTGGAGGGTGAGGGTCGCGTACTGTGACAGACATGGTGTGATTATTGATTATTGTCCGAGAGGAGGAGAGTAAATGGGAGTATCGTTATGCGTAGAAAAGACAGCTGCAGGTTCACTGTGCAATGTGAAGGAAGCTCTATCGGGGGTGGTTATCGGTCACATGACGGCCCTGATGGTTGATCCAACGCATCCAGTTTTGTTTGTTCCACGCTCATACACTGCACTTCGTGCAAGTTGATGATTATTGAGAGTTAGCTGTGAGCTGCTAATGGTACATCACATACTCGTCACAATAATATCTCAGCCATCGGAAAATCCTGCCTTGCCCTTTGCTAGACGCCCTTCGACATCCGCTTTCTCTCCATCTCTTGCGACAGACATCATGAACAACAGACCGGTGGAGCAGGCGCTCGCAACCCTCCTGCCCACTCATGCTCAAGACCTGCCCCCGGATCTCCTCAGCCTGGCCGTCTCCCTCGTCGCCCAGTCGCGCAGCCTGTCCTCGAGCCTGAAGCCCGAAGAAGAAATCGCGCGGCCCTATGCCTGCGCGGAGATCGCTTGTCGGAGGTAGCCACTACACCGTTTCATATCCCAGAGACATGCTCAGACTGACCATGCTACCTCCAGACTCACGCGCACGCTCAAGCTCCCTCCCCTCCTCGGCCACCCTCCGTGTCCACCCCGACCCTACAAGAAACTCTACGCCTTCCTCGACCGCTCCCTGTCTGGCAGCTCTTCCGCCCCTGGCACGCCCTCACGCAGCCGCACCACCCCTTCGTCCACCCCGACGAAAGCGAACCGCCTCACCCAGACCCCGTCCAAGGACCCCCGGACGACAGCTACCGCCGCAGCCCTGCAAAACACACCCACGAAATCCAGCCCCCTCAAACGCTCCCTCCCGCACGACACCACCAAAACCCCAACCCGCACCAGCACCAGCACCAGCACCAGCACCAGCACCAGCACCCCCCGCCTCAAACCCACGCACACCAACCCCAGCACCCCCAACCGCCCCCGCCTCAATGCCCCCAATCCCACATCCACGACCACCAAAATCCCCGACGCCCCGAACTGGGTAATGACCTCGATCCGCACGGTGTGCAAAACCCTCTCCACCCCGGCCCCGCGTATGAGCACGTGGTCGCGGCCCCCGATCTCACGCACCCTGCCCCCGCACATCTTCGCTGGCGTCTCCTCGATCCTCTTCTTCGTGACCAAGACCGCCTCAACGACTCACGTGAAACACGACGAGGACCTCGACGACGAGATGCTCGAGTTCCTGGAGCCCGTGCTCAGCGCCCGGACTACCGCATCCGACGAGGGGCCGGAGGAGGAGTTCAAAGAGCTCGTGGACGCGCTGGTCGTCGCGGTCTATTTCCTTGTTCTGGCGAGGCGGCGCCAGCCGGCTGATGATGACGCCCCAGAAACAGAAGGAGGAGGGGGGCCGGATGCGAAGGTCATGGATAAGAAGACGTTCACGGAGATGCGGCAGACGGCGTTGGTCAGTTTGGGGCTGCCGGCCACGGAGAGGCGGCATCGCGAGGATGTGGATCAGTGGATTGCCCTCGTCATGGAGCAGGGGTGGGCCCAGGGGACGGAGTGGTTCGAGAATATCCCTAGGGCTGGGGAGGTGGATGGCGATGCGGAGTTTTTGGACGACGACGAGGAGGAGAATGGGGCTTATGGGAATGGGGGCGAGGAGGATGGTGGTGGTGGTGGTGCTCCGCGGCACAAGAAGCAGCGCTTCCAGTTGGGGCGCGAGACGAGGCGCGGGTTGCTGCCGGGGTTGGGGACGATGATGCAGGATCGCGTGGATTGGTTGAGCGAGGATCGCAGGGAGGATTATTTGGTCTGGAAGGCGGGGATTCTGGCGAGATGTGACCAGATCGAGAGGGCTGCTTTGGCTGCGTAGGGGGTTATCTTCTTTGGAGTACACGGGGTTAGAGGGTGTGTATGTGTATGATTAGCTACGCGAGAAATATGATACCCCTTGGTAATGAAGATGATGTTGGAAGATGTTGTACTGAGTGACCTATAGCGCCAGTCAACCCATAGTTACCAAGCTCGGACCGCAAGCCATGGTATCAGTGTAGTGTAATGTATTCTGTATAACGTCTATATGCCTCATCCAAGAAGCGACAAAACTCCAGCAAGAACCGGACAACAACGATGAGAAAAAGGTGGGTATAGTGTATCTATCAACAGATGTGGAGTCACGCAACAGAAAGCAAAACAGCCCGGGCTTCAAGTATCAGTACCAGATACTCCGGGTGCGGTGGTGCGGGATAGATTCTTGCCCGTCCTTCTCCAACTCCTTCATCGTGTCGTAGAGGAAGAAATCGATCAGGATGGCGTTGATGCCCCGCGCCGACTTGCTTTGGACGGCGTCGTCGTTCGGGGCCGTTTCGGTGAAATAGCTTTGTGGTGGTTGTGTCTCTTCATGCTCATCAGGTTTCGTGCTTTGCTTAGTGCTTTGCTTGGAGCTGTTGGCGGATGAGGGTGGCTTCGGCTCGGATTGTTGAATGGGCTTGGTCTTCACTTCCGGGTGGCGGCGCTCGATCTCCCGCTTGATCAGCTCCACACACCAGATGCTGGTGCCGCGGAGTTCGGTCTCCCAGTTCGACCCGCTGGGGATGAGCTTCAGGTCGCGGATGTGGGATTCCAGGGGTGGTGAGTACATCAGACAGCCGAGCTGGTGGAGCATTTGAGGGATCCGGTAGTCTGAGGTTGTATTAGTTAAACCAGACGGAGGATGGGCACTGTAAGTTATGAGGGATGGATTTTACCTGCGAACATGGTGATAGTGTCGATATCGTGGAACTCGCCGAAGCCCTCGCCGTTGAAACAAGCCCACAAGTCCGCAACCAGAATCTGGGCCCGTTTGTAGATCCGTACTCTCCGGCCGTTGAACGTGGTCTCATCCCGGAAGCAGGCGAAGCTTTCTGTCACGAGGTTCACAAGGGCCGCGGCCGAATAATTGGCGCTATAGATGCAGTTCAAGAAGCTGCCTTCGTATTCCTGGAGTAGAGATAAAGCAGGTTAGTCTTGCTGCACGGAGGTGCCGCTCGGAGATGAGGTTGTGTACTTACCCTGCATAGCACTCGGCCAGCCTCGCGCAAGCACTGCAGTCTCTCCTCAAGCAGCGGAATCTCTTCCTCAGTGGCAGACCGGAACACATGCTTGATGACCTCCTCGGTGCATTCCTCCTCGTTTGCCCAGAACTCAGGGGTAGTGATTGGGATATCTGCAACACCATCAGCATATGGAGAACAATGAGGTTGACCGCCGCATGAACCTACCCTCATCCAGAGCCCGTTGTAGCGCCGCCACCAAGCTCCAATATCCCGTCCACTTCTTGCCCCGGTACTCGATCGCAAAGCGCTTGTCGCTCGGAAGTTCCGACCAGAAGCTGAAATTGAGAAGGTCCATGGTGAAGATGAAGTCGACGGTGCGCTCGTCCTTGGCTTTGGGGTGTAGTTCATGCTCAGCCCAGGTCTGCGTGGAGTATTCCTTCTTCTGCATCATTTGCCAGATGGTCTCGGCGGCCTCTTTCGTCTTGGCCGCATTTAAGGCCACGTCGATGGCATTGTCGAAGATGTACTGCGCATTCTGCAGGACCTTGGTCTCGGCCGTGCGTGGATCGGGCGAGCCTCCCAGGCCGAGGGTCTTGCGGAGAAGAGCAACCAACTCGGGATCGGCTTCGTCGTCGGACATGGCGACTGAGTTGCTGGATCGGGTGTTGTGGTGAAGATATCGAGATGGGGTAACGACGGAATGTCTGGAGGGAGATCTGGAAGGGATTCTGTATGTGACAGTGAGGTCTCGGAGGGCACCGAAGTTTTGAGAAAGAACAGTCGAGAAGAACGAATGTCGCGGAGCAAAAGATTGGTTGACAACTGAAGGAAGAGGATGACTCCGCGGAAGACAGGCACCGACAATAGACGGTCTGTGGTTGACCCAAAGGATGTGAGGATCTGGAACTGAGCCGGTCCAAAGAGAGTCACGAAGCACAGAGGTCAGACCCAGAGAGTTCAAAGAACCAAAGGATCTTCTCATAAAATTTCAATGCCTGCCGAGCCAAACTCCAACGGTGAACAGGCTGCCCCTGTTGTGGAGATTATTTTTTTTTTCTTGTGATATCCCCATCCCTATCGCTTATCGGGAATTCGGGGGGCGATAAGATCCGATTATATAAGCATCTGTAGGAGTCATCTTTTGTGCCTCGGTTATCTGCGCTGACATGGTTTGTTAGTCCGAGGATAAAGATAGCCTGCTAAGACGCAACCAAAGCTACAGTCTGGGCTGGTAGTGACGTGAGTAAGCCATGCCTAGAGCTGGGCACTTCGGAACTGCGTTCAGGCCATCTCTCTGGGACTTGATCTGAAGAAGCTCAACCCTGAGGATATCCGTCTCTTTCTGCAAATCAACTCTAGCCAGCTTATACCGAAACATAGTTTCACAGAGGCATAGACAAGCATTAGTCGTATGACCCGGGCATGGAGCAGCGCATCTTTCGATCTACCATACCGTAGAGCTGACTGGTCTTGTGTCAACCGAGCTCAGAGCACGAACCACACTTGCGTATACACTTGATCCAATCGGAACCAGTCAAACCGGGAACACAGGGGACTACTCTCAGTGGCCGAAAGAACTTCTGGGGCCGAGACATGTCTTCACAGGGTGCGTGTTCTAGGTCTTCGTAGCGCTGCCACCGAAACCATCATGAAAGCAGTAGCCAATAGGGTAGATTCAGGATGTGATGTTCCGGTTTGCAATGCTGCATCCAACGTGTGCAGATGTGAATGACAGAAGAGTGTAGCCTGTACGGAGTACTGTACTTCTGAACATCATAGATACTCCGGTTATCCGACCTCATGCAGGATGGGCCTAGATTCGGAAATAGAATGTGAGGTCTCACAATGCAGCCGGGGCCATGCATTGGCTTGACTTTCTGTTTACCCACAGGCTTGATGCTATCAAACGAGCAATCCCTGGAGGAGTCAATCAAGAAACAAAAGTACCAAGCAAGCCTCGTGTCGGTGCGACAAACAGGGAAATGCGATCGGGTCACGGACCGCCGGCTTTGGTTGCTCGGCCTGCACGGTTCATTGCAATCCATAGATGGCAAAGCACGAGACGGGTTGCTTGAATAAGTGTTTTCATCTCTCTCTCTTAGTCTTCTCATTTTCAAGGCTGTCCAAGCGATGGGTGATGAAAGAAGGAGGCTCGAAGTGGAGTGAAGAGTGAAGAGTGGAGGGATGGAAAGGAATTGAGGGACGGGGAGAGTTGCCGTCATTACCTCACTTTCACTTGCACTTCCACTTTCACTTTACACACTCTCTCTCACCTTCCATCTTCACCTGCTTCCGGCTCGACTCTTTTCCTTCACATCATCCCCCTCCGTTCTTTTTCTTTTCAACCCCTCACCTCTGCCTCAACGCCCTCCCTTTGGTCGTTCTCTCACTCCACTGCATCTTTACCGGGCGATGCTTCCCAACCTTCCATACTGAGAGTAACCACCAATTGTCTCGGGCTTCCTCCGTTCGCCGCAACCGCATCCGCAGCCATGGCGCGCGACACTTACCACAAGCGCTCGCTGGGCACCCTCGCCAGACGAATTAAAGAGGTACTAAATATCGCATCTCGCTGACTTGTGATTCCTTGTTTTGAATTGGCTCCTATCTGTCCATCACAATTGCTAATACAACCCGGAATGGCATAGTCGCGTGTACTCCTCGTCGGCGCTGGTGGCATCGGCTGCGAGCTGCTCAAGAACCTCCTCCTCTCCGGCTTTGGTGAAATCCACATCATCGATCTCGACACGATTGATCTAAGCAACCTGAACCGTCAGTTCCTTTTCCGCTTCGAACACATCAAGAAATCCAAAGCACTGGTGCGTCACTCCACGCCTTGAATGCCAACTCCCCGCGCGGCCCGGCCGTCGCCAATTCCGCCTTGATCTCCCTTGTCACACATGCCTAACCAACACTGCTGCCGCATATAGGTCGCCAAGGAGGTCGCACACAAGTTTCAACCGAACGCGAAGCTTGAAGCCTACCATGCGAATATCAAAGATAGCCAATTCAATGTGGACTGGTTTGCCACTTTCGACATCGTCTTCAACGCGCTGGATAACCTCGAGGCTCGTCGTCATGTGAATCGCATGTGTCTGGCAGCAAATGTACCTTTGATCGAGAGTGGGACAACCGGATTCAACGGCCAAGTGCAGGTTATTAAGAAGGTGGGGTTATTTATGGTTACCTGCGGTTTGCGCATGATACTGATGGCCGGTAGGGACTGACTGAGTGCTACGACTGCACTTCGAAAGAGGTCCCGAAGTCGTTTCCTGTGTGTACCATCCGCAGCACCCCCAGTCAGCCGATTCACTGCATCGTCTGGGCGAAGAGCTATCTGTTCCCGTAAGTTCCCGCTCTCCTCATCGGAAGACATGGTCTCCAGCCAGGGACTGACATTCTCAAGTGAGCTGTTCGGTACCAGTGATGAAGACTCCAGCGAATTTGATCATTCAGAGGATGCCGAGAATTGTGAGTGCTGCCCGGACCATACTTTGGGCTCTTCTGACTGGTGACAGCTGCGGAAATCGAAAACCTTCGCAAGGAAGCACAGGCTCTCAAGGAGATCCGCCAATCGATGGGATCGGATGAGTTCGCCAAGAAAGTCTTTGACAAGGTTTTCAATGAGGATATCGAGCGGCTGCGTGGGATGGAAGATATGTGGAAAACGCGCAGCCCTCCGGAAGCTCTGAATTTCGAGAAATTGACCGAGGAGTCGGCCGACGTTGCGATTACGATATCATGCAATGATCAGAAAGTCTGGTCTACAGCTGAAGATTTTGTGGTCTTCAAGGACAGTTTGGACCGTTTGAGCAAACGCCTAAAGACATTGCAAGACACCACGAATAGCGACGTCAAGCCAATCCTTGTGTTTGATAAAGACGACGTTGATACATTGGACTTCGTGACAGCGGCGGCTAATCTTCGGGCGACGATCTTCAAGATCGACCCCAAGTCGAAATTCGACACCAAGCAGATGGCCGGAAATATTATCCCCGCAATCGCCACGACCAACGCCATGACCGCTGGATTGTGTGTGCTGGAAGCCTTCAAGGTGATGAAAGGAGATTACAATCAAACAAAGATGGTCTTCCTCGAGCGTTCGGGCGCACGCGCAATCAACTCTGATTCGCTTCAACCTCCCAATCCGAATTGTCCGGTCTGCTCCGCCGCGCATGCGCGGCTCAAGATCGATCCCGAGCGTGCGACTGTCAACGATCTAGTCGAACAGATTCTCCGGTTGCAGTTGGGATACGGCGAGGAGTTTTCCCTGACCACGGAATCGGGCATCATCTACGACCCCGATCTGGAGGACAACCTGCCGAAGAAGTTGTTGGACTTAGGTGTAAAGAACGAGAGCTTCATCACCGTCATCGACGACGAAGACGAGCCGCGCGTCAACCTCCAGCTCTTCGTGCTAGCAGCCGAGCCTCCCGATCAGAACGGGGCCGCGGCCGAGAGACCAATTTCTATCGATGCCGTCCCCGAGATTCCGCGCAAACCCAAGACACCGACCCCCGCGGCCCCTGCGCAGGTCAACGGCACGTCGTCGGATCCAGCAGCCGCCAAGCTCAAGCGCAGCGCGGATGAAGCCGGACTGAGCAACGGAGACGACCGCGCCAAACGGGTTGCCGGCGTGTCTGAAGCGAACGGGGACGGGGCCAATCCCATCGTTCTGGACGAAGCAACAGGCGGTGCCATTCTGATTGATGATGATTGATGATACCAGATCCGACGAAGGAATTGCACATGCTGCTACTTGTTTGCCATCTCCCATCGCACGGTTACATGTTTCCACTTAATCTAGACTATTGGCGCTCAACGGGCAGATCGTGTTCCCCTTTGCTGCATGTACAAGTATTTCCACCTTGATTACTAAATGACTTGAATCATGGGGGTGCCGATCCGTTTGTTTTGTAGACAGGGAGCTCTCCATGGAGCTAATTCAAGAGTAATAGGTGCAAACCACCGAGAAGTAGCCCAGTATCTTACAACCCCATATCATACACCGCGTCCTCCACCCCCGACAGGACTCAAACAGCACTCAACCCCCCATCCAAGTTCAAGACACAGTTATTGGCATACTCATTCTGCGCCAGAAACACCGCCGCATCAGCGACCTCATGCGGCAGCCCAAACCGTCCCAGCGGGATACTCTGCTTGAGCCGGGCGGTTTCTCCCTCGCTGAAGTCTGCAAAAAGCGAACAATTAGCCTGTTTGTTTCCCAGCCCTCGTCCAAACCCCCTCCCCCATCCCCCTCTTCTTTCTCATATTCCCCCAATCCCACCCCAACCCGGATTGACGCGCAAAAAAAAAAAAAAAAAAAAAAAAGAAAAAGCAAGAAATGAACTCACCCTCAATCATGGGCGTCTCCACATACCCCGGCACAATCGCATTCGACCGCACCCTTACGTCGCGCATCGCCGCCCCGGCCTCCACCGCCACGGACCGCGTCAACCCCAGGATCCCGGCCTTGGACGCCGCGTACGTCACCGCCCCGGTGCCACCTTTATGCGCCAGCAGCGAGGCGATGTTGATGATGCATTTCGAGGGTGGTGGTGGTGGCTGGTTTGCCCCGGGATTCTCACCATCCCCGACTCCCTTGGAGCCAGGGGCAGGGGCAGCAGGGGCCCGTTTGCTCCGCACATGATTCCGCATCGCGGCGCGCAGGAACGCGCGCGTCGTGAGGATCGCGCCTTGCAGGTTCGTGTCCAGGATGCGGGCGATGTCCTCCGGGGAGGATTTGGTTAGCACCGAGGAGATGGAGAGGCCGGCTGCGTTGATGAGGTGGGTGGGGTTTGTTGTTTGCTGCCCCCGTTCTCTGTTAGGTTGGTTTCTTGTGGGGAGGAGACTGACTTGGGGGCATGGGAGGACGGGGCTGGACTGGGCTGGACTGGGCTGGACTGGGCTGGGGTAAGCTTACCATGACTTGCTCCAACTCGCGGCTCCAGCTGCCTGCTTCGGCGACGTCGCCGACGAGGAGGCTGATGGTTTGGGAGAAGGGGAGGAGGGTGTGTTGCGCGGCGGCTGTTTCGGGGGATGATGAGGTTTGTGGTAGGGCTGAAGCCTCCGCGGCGGTACCGGAGGAGAGCGTCGTTGCTGCGCTGACGAGACGCGTGTGGGATCGTCCGACGAGAATCACCTGGTCGATGCCTTCTTGGAGGAAGCGGGCGGCGATGGCGTAGCCGATTCCGGAGGTGCCGCCTGTGATCATGCAGGAGCGGCCTTTGAGGCGGTTGGAGGGTGGGTACTGGGGGGGGGTGCTGGAGGTGGTGTAGGGTCGGGTCTTGGGGGTGGGATGGGTTGATGGTGCGATTGACTGGGAGAGGGGGCGGGATGCTGCGCTGAGGCGCAGTGTGTGATTTGGAGGCATGGTTCTTTTCTTGATTCAGTTCTATTGGTGTTGGTTCAGTTCCCCAATGCTGCAATGCTGCTGAAGCTTGATGGGTGAGGTAGAGTTGTGTACTATGGGATGATTAGCATGGGTCTAAGACTTTAGTCTTTGGACGAGTGTAGACTTGCCAAATAGACTTGAAATTGAATGAGATGTCAAGCTCCAGGTCAGATAGGAGTATAGATCAATACGATCAAGCGTACTGAAAGAAACGTCCAGTGACTAGAACTATGCGACAATCTCCGCGCAATTGAAAGAGACAAAGCCCCGAAGTGTGTCGAAGTACTCCCGCTCGGCAGCGCTCCGCGGCGCAGCCGATAAAGCCAAGGGCGGGGGACCCACTGACGCCAGTCCAGTCCGCGGAGACTTTCACCTGCGCTCACACTTGCGAGCCACCCGAACAAAGCCACTTCTACCGCGACGTCTGCAATGCAACCGATATCCACGAGTATATAACCCAGCCTCCTCACCTCAGACACCACCACCTCCAATCCTCATCCTCATCCTCACCCCACTTCCAAACAACCACACCCACACCCACAATGACCACCCCCGACCAACAAACCGAAGACCAAGACTACGTAACCCTCGTCTCCGGCGACGGCTTCGAGTTCGTCCTCGCGCGCTCCACGGCGTGCATCTCCAAGACGCTGTCCATGATGTTCGACCCGCTGAGTAGGTCCCACGCGCCCCCGCTGCCGCCCGCCATGCTCCAGGGACTGCCGGCCACTAACAAGGACCCCGCCCCGAATCTAGGCAAGTTCTCCGAGGCCCTGACCGGCCGCTGCGTGCTCGAGAACATCAGCGGCGAGGTGCTCGAGAAGGTCTGCGAGTACCTGTGCTACAATGAGAAGAATAAGAACCAGACCAACGTCCCGGACATGGAGATCCCGCCCGAGCTGTGTCTGGAGTTGTTGATGGCGGCGGATTATCTGGATGTTTGATTCCGATCCCTTAGGGTGTGAACTGCTGCTGCTGTGGGCTTTTGTGGTGGCGTTGAGAGGGTGGTAAGTTCCGCTTGAGCATTTAATTTGATTCCTGCCTGTTCGTTCTGACTATGAATAGGTTTCGATTTTACAAACTTTTTCTTTTCCCTTCTTTCCGATTGACGATTTACGTGAAGACGATCCAGACTTTTTGAATCTTGTTTGTACCTATGTTGGAGTCGGGGTTATGTTTTTGCTGGGTGGACGGATACAATAGAGTGGCGTTTTTGAGGGCAATATAGATATACCAAGGCACATCTCCACAGGCATATTCGGTGCCATTCTCATCTCACTCTGTCCTTCGCCCATTCCCAACCCTCCCCGTGAGCTACCGGCCAAGCCATCTGAGCATCTGCATCCGCTCTTCCCACACCTATAGACGGATGCCCTAAAGATGATGGCAGATTCAATCTCCTATCCCCTCTATTCAGCCCTCATCCGTTTCATTGTGGATCGCAGGGCTTTCTCCGGAGTATTCCTCCAAAAGAAAGGGGAGACATATGCCGGTAGCGAGTCGGCCGCGATAAGCGTCATTCGAATCACCTACGCCCGTGCCGCGCTCATCGCCCTTTCGGCTTCGGCTTCGGCTTCGGCCGGTATTGCGTCTTGTTCGCCAACGCCTTCTGCTTGTAGAGCTTCTCCTTCCCGAACGCCGCCTCCGAGATCCGTAGATAACTCACGACACCCTCATCCACCACAGCGAGGATCACGTTCCGGTATCCGTGGCGCAGCCGCATGTACAGCTGCCGGCTCATCTTCTCGCTCGTTGGGGGTTCCAGGGGTGTGCTCTCGAGCAGAGCCCCCAACTGGGACAGAGTCGGAACGGAGGTGTGTGCGCGCGCGTTGACCACAGCGATCCGGAAGTCCGGCGGCGGCGGCGCAGACTTCTTGAATGGGGTGGATGGTTTGTACACATGGAAGACGACTCGGTAGGGCGCTTGTGCGGGGGATCGGGCCGCTTGGGGAACAGCCATCGGGTCGTACCAGGGGATGATTGAGAGTTTGCTGTAGATATCATCTGTACGGGTATAGGTTAGCAACAGAGGAGAGAATGTCGTAGTCGCGGGCAAGCGACACTGACCGTAGCTGCGGTGGAATCCGACTCCCGCCACGGGCCCTAATGCCGTGTTGGTACTCGGCGGGCAGAGCCACTTCATGAACCTCGAATAGATCCCGGCTAATCCAGCACCTTGCTTCCTTCCATCCTCCAACCCCGAGTCCTCGATGCCTGTCGCATCCTCCCCATCATCGTTCCAGCCCGGAGCCCGCGTGATCGTGTAGCCCAACCGTCTCAGCCCGGTATACACCGAGAACCGCTCGCTGTTCAGCCCGCCTCTCGATGCAAAGGCCGCATAGGCAGCCTGCAAGCTCATCGGAATCTCTGAGTCCTCGATATTGTTCTCATCCTCCTCCTCATCCTCATCATACCCAACCTCCGAACGCGGCCAATGGATATTCAGACTCCCTCTCTCCAGCATAAACAACGCTTCCTCCGGAAGAAGCCAGATGCGGTTCCACCGGTCCGCCTGGCCGATGGTCTTGAAAAGATTGGACTTGGGGTTCGCGATGTATACGCAGGCGTCGGGATGGACGTTGCCTACCGCCGTCGTCGTGGTCGCCGCCGTCGTGCTCGGTACTTCCGCATCCGGCAGAGGAGACCCCTCCGCTATCGATTCGAGATTCGAGGTATGTTGGGTCGGAGGCGCTGGCCCATTCGGCGCGTAGACGCCGATGATCTGGTTTTTCGGGTGGTGGACGCGGGGGTAGGCGAGGGCGTTGTGCATCGCCTGGCGGGAGGCGGAGAGGATGTCGGCCTGGTACAGCGTCGGGTTCGGTTCGAAGTCCTTCTCACCGCGCTTGGGGATGCTCGCTTGAGTGCCATCTGTCAGACTGTATTTGTTAGTTAGTCTCTAGTAGAGCTGGGGACGTAGCCCCGGTGACAGCAGATAGGAAAGCTCACAAGGAGATATTGCTCAGCATGCGAAAGTCCTGCGTCTCGTCGGACAGGTCGACTTCGATATGCGCCGACGCATCCTGCGACGGCATGTGGATCGCCGCTTCATCGGTGTCGGCCATTATGGTTGCAGCGACCAATTACGCAAGTACATGCGCCAGGGCAGTTGTAGAGGGGGAGCTTAGAGCTTGCTGGGGCTTGCTGGGGGTGGAACTCAAAAGAAAGAGAAATGCAGGCGGGCGGGTCGACCGATTGATACGGGATGCGGGCCTTGTCGATAAGAAATTCTGCCCGCGGGACTCGAGTTGCGGTGGATATCAGGCATGCGTCTCCAAATTACCAGGTAGCAACTGGAACAAGTGACAAGAGTTCCCCAACGTGACTGGCCGCTTGGGAAGAATATCGGCACTTTTCAACAGCTGTCGCTGCGTATTATTTCCAACCTCAAGTCCAACCCTGCTGCCCGAAGCTCATCAGACTCGGACATCGCGGGGAGGCGCAGGAGAGAACAAAGGCAACCAGCCATGGAAGAGTCGGTAGACTACAATGAACTTATCGCCCAGGTGAGATTGCACGCTGATGCCTCTGGAATATTGGTGAAGTCTGACTTGAAGCTTAGATTTCTGTAAACCTCAACAATGCACTCAACACGTTCGGTGCCTCATCCCCCCAGTTCCAGAATGTCCTCAACATCCTCAGAGACTGCCTGCGGGAAATGGAGGAGAAAGCGCGGCAATCGACCTCGCTGGATCCTGAGATGTTGAACCTCGCGATGGGCTTCTTATCGCTGGGAGAGTGATTGACTGTGGCCGCGTGGCAGATTGTTCTGTTTATTTTACTTTCTCGGGGAAATTAGCGCCAGCGTCTTCATGATTTGACATGGTTCGAGTAACAGCGCCTCAAGAGTTGACTTGTATGAATGCAGTGCACTGCGATCGCATATGTTGTTTCTTAGGACATTAGCAGGCCACTTCGGATACATCTTACATATTATATTGAGGTTACACCACTATATGAGACTGTGGGAGGGAACGCGAAAGAAACAAGGCAGGACGAAATCCTCTCTACCACCAACCCCGGGCAAAGCGCAGCAAAGTCAACCTGAACACCCTATTTTGTCCTGGCCAATTGCGAATGGATTCACACTGCGACCATGAAATTTATGCAACAAGAACTCCGTCGCCCATGCATTCGTAATACGTGTCCATGCTCTGTGCAGAAGTTGCAGGCATGCTGAAACGAAGAGAAGGAAGAATTAGAAGGAAAAGTCGTGAGATGCTGTCCTTGACCACTTGGGGTGGAGGAAGTGCTTTTGTGGTCGGCACTGGAACCTGGATGCTCGTCCACTGTGATAGGGCCGGCGTGCGGTAGGTGCCCGCGTTGTGGTCGCTCAGTCGATCAAAGGCTTGTGTTTGCCACCAACTATAGCCACCCCAAGATGGCGGAGAGCATTTGGGTCGTTAGGCCGTACAATGGAGGGCAGAGGCAGCATCGGATTGTCGGGGTTCACATGAACGGCGTCCCGAGCTGCCTGTTCTATAGCCTCCATTTCCTCTTTGCATCCTGCATGGTCGAGCGGGCAAACAACTATCGGCTGTCGGATGGTAATATCCCTTGCAGATGCCAAGTGGGCCTGTTCAAAATTAGCAGAGTTCGATCGTCCCACTGCGGAATGACTATACCTTGACAGTCAAATAGTACTCGATCTTGTAGAGGCTTCCGGTTGTGGTAAACCCGCTCACGGCGTATGTGGGAAACCCCGGTCTACTTCTGGGGAGTATCCCTTCAGAGTCCCGCATATCCTTGGCTGGGAATACCAAGCCGAGATTCGTCAAAAAGCCAGAAGGGGGTAATTTGACGCCGATGGGTTCTGTCCTTTTGGTCAAAGTCTTGACCTTGCGTTGTGGCTCGTCGCCCTCATGGTTGTATATAATTTCCTCATCAATACCAATCGTAATCTTGTTTATAGTGACTTTTCTGGCTTTGCTTATCCAATCCGGGTTCGGTGAGAGCTTCACGTAGACGCTCACCGGGTCCAAAGGCCCGTAAGACCACCGGGGAAGGGATATCCCCAATGTGACCAAATGATCCGACACTCTCTCAGCTGACTCGGGGCGATTGTACATTCCGAACGTCGATAGGGTATCGTACCGTGCCATTGGAACGGGGAACGAGTATTTCCGCTGTTCCGAGGGCCCTTGTTGAACCGCCACCACAATCTCATAATATGTCTCCGCAGTGCGACTGGGAAGTTGGAGACTGGCCGGAGGGACGCGCCTCGAGGCATCTGCTCCGCCCCGCCCGAAGGGAATGAAGAGCACGAAAGGCAAGTCCATGGAGATGACCTCTTCGGACTCTCGGCCGGCCGGGCAGCGGAAAAGAAGCATCTCCTTGCCCACGATATCTGTAATCTCCTTCCTGGGTGGCGCAAGGTGCTTCTTGGTCACGGAATCCGCCGAAGGATGAATGGTCTCGCGACGATGAAGGGATATTGTAACGAGGGATACACTGACGGGGAGCGAGATGCCAGTGCTGGGCCTGATCTCGACTTTACCTTCAATGCGTGGCTGGTATAGAATAGGTGAGCGACTAGGTTGCGTACTGGGCAACAAAGAAGAACCAGGGTTCAGCTCACCATTGTGGCAGAGATGCCAGGATATCCGATCAAGAAATTGCCATTTGGCGGGCCCGACACTCGCACGAAGGCGGGCTTGCTCATAGCGCTGCACCCGCACCACCATGGGCACGCGGCGGTTGAGAGGGATGCGCTCGGGGGTTGCTGCGGTGTATATAGGACTCCGAAGTCTCAAAATAAATTGACCCCTGCATAGAGATCAAGTCCGGCAACCGTTCCTGGTGGACTGCGCTGCGCCGGAAAGGTCCTCGAGGGGCGCAGATGCGGTATCCCGTTCTTGTTGCTATGCAGGACTAGCTCGGACCTGAGTGCGGACAAGGCTGGACAAGGGCGGGTTTGCTGTTCGAGACCGCAGACTGGGATTGTTTTGCTAAGCTCCGACAAAGGGCGCACAGATCTAAGGTTGTAGGAATGTGAAACCGGGAGTGAGGCAAGGCGGCTTGGAGGGGTGGGTAGGTAATCGCGAAGGAAGCGAGAGTTGTTGACAAGCGCCGATGTGGGGAGAGGAGAAGAGGGTGACGATGCTGATGATGATTGATGGGGGGGGGGGGGGGGGGGGGTTTCAGTTGGAGGGAGCGGTTCAGTTCGCAGCGGCGGCTAACTGAACACAAGACTAGCCAAATTCCAACGGCAGCCACGGAACCACTTTGTCTGCTCTCCACCTTTTGGCTCGCGGCGCTGTTCTTCCGTCATCGATCCGCAGCGGGAATAGCAGCAAGCAACATGCAGCAAGGCAGCACCACACGCAATCAATGTTCCGACTGCTGCTGGCTTAGCCAGTTGCAGTACTCCAACACACATGAATTAATTGATTGACTTCTCAACAACAACGAGTCGTGGCTTTTATGTTTGTTACTAGCGTCGTTCGTCACGCGAGGCTGAGATTCCAGCAGGGGCTGTACCTGAACCAAGTACAGTACAACCGGTCCGTCGGGTCAGCCTCGTCCTGGCTTACATGGGCTTAATGACAATGGATTCCTTCGTTAATTTCCGAGACAAACAATCGATCCTATATCGCATCACCATGTCATGGCGTGAGGCGACTACACCAACCGAAATTGATGGAACTTGTTGCGAATAGTCATGGCTCCTACAGCCCATTTACGAATTTGTCGCTCACACTTACCTACATGCTAGCTGGGAGTCATAGAGTTGACGTTTAAGTAGTTTGTACTGTACTTGATACTTGGCGAGGGCCTTGCATCCCACGTGACCCTGGCAGTATATCCCACGCATTTCATGGCTGGTCGCGAGCTGGAAATGGAAGTCTTGTCAGGGATACTAAGAGTTAGCAAGCCTGTCGACCTCGAGTCCTTCATGCGGCCTCCCACGCACATCCTGCACTACGATACGGGTACGCTGTAGGCAACGTCGAATTGGCAGCCACTCGAGGATCACATGTGGCAGAAGCTCACAGTCAGGTCGATTCTGTCTCCCCTCTGGATAGCTTGTACCAGACTTCGGCCGAGTGGCTTTCGTATCGGCATGACGCAAATGTATAGCTCGTAGATTGCTGAAGACTTTACAAGGCAAGCGTATCCACAAGCTTTGCCCCGTGCCCGTTTGTGTTTCGTGGCCATGTTCGGCACAAGCAATCGTCACGTTTCAGCATTGATTATTTGTTCAGAAGTCTCTTTCAGCGACTAACCGAATCTGGTCACGGCTTGAAACGATCACGTAGAAAGTTGAGTTATTCATGAGTTTTTGCATCATTTCGGGGTAGATGGAGCCGAAAACTTTCAGTATGGGTTCAATGCAGGGGTTCTAGGACATACTCGAGAAGTATTCATCTCTCAAGAGTGTATTATATCCAGCGAAGTGTCCTCGAAGGTTGTTCATTAGATGAATTTTGATTGCCTGAGTTTCCAAGTGCCAACAGCGAGTCAAGAAAGATGCCTTGATCGTAGGTAACCTGTCGACAGCACAGGAGAAACTTCTTTGTCATTTGATATTTCGATGGAGATTTCTAACTCGTCAAATGTTGAGTCAAGTTGATTCAAGTGACTAAGACGGGAGATAGATTGGCAATTTATAGTTGCTTCAAGTCCAGCATGTGAAATGCGAATGCTTGCGGAGGGCGATGTGCCAATATAACCCTTTTCGGCGAAAGGCGGCGGTTGCCATGTGCGACAAACACAATGACATCGTTTCCCCCACACACGCACCTTGGATCAGACCCTTCAAGTCTTTCGACGGTCGACGCTCACCACCAGCCTCTAGTGCCTTGACGTACAGAACCGCATCACACCCAGCGAGAATCGCCTTCTACTTTCGTAATCCATAATCTCAAGATCAATTCTCAAGATGCCTCCCGCTCGTCGTCGAGGAGGCAACACTGCCGCCACCCGCTCCGGCCAGTCAACCCTGTCTTTTGGCTCCAAATCTAGAATCACCAAGCCATCTGCGGCTCCTACGACACGCTCCCAGAAAGCAAAGGATCTCGAACCGCTTGTGACTGCTCTTCCTGAGAAGGAACCCGTCCAAAGTGCTTCCGAGCCAGAGGAGCTGAAAGACACCCCCACAGAATCCTCGCAGCCCCATGTGGCAGAACTCGCCGTTAGGCAACAAGCACGAACAGAGATCGAACAGCCCGTGTCAGAGGAGGACCAGAAGGCAAGCAAGCTTACGGAACGGGATTTGACAAGATATTGGAAGCAAGAAGAGGCGAAAAGGAGAGGGCCGCGAGGTAGGGAGCCTAAGAAAAACTCGTCATTGAGTACAGTGCTGATGGGAACGTTCATTGGAATAGTACACCAGAACGACCTCACGACGCATGAGAAGATCTTGCGACACTTTGATCTTTCCAGTCAATATGGGGTATGTGGCTACCCCTGCGCGTCGTCCCTGAGCCCTTCGCCGTTCCTTTCTCCGTTGAGCCCAACGACTAACCACTCTGTGTAGCCTTGCATTGGCATCGCCCGACTCAGACGCTGGAGGCGTGCTAACACACTCAAACTCAACCCGCCAATTGAGGTTCTTGCCGTACTCTTGAAAGAGAGTGATGATTCGAAGCAACGAGCCTACATTGACGAGTTGTTGTCTTGAGTAATTTGTGTATGATATGTTGGATACGGTGAGAACTTGGAGTACGGTTTGGACTTTGGAAGCGGCGTTTCGGTCATGCTACGCATACCCTTTTTATTATTTCATCATTCTGGCTCCTCAGATTAATTACATATGCCTCACTCGATTTTGGTTCTGTGTGTGCCTTCTATCCATAAAGGCAACAAGAATGAACAAACGGCTCCTACCCCTTTTGCAACGCCATGGTGCCATGGTAGGCCACATTTTCCGAGCATTCCAGTCAAATAGCTTGTGCCTTCCAGGTCCCTTGGCTTGCCAGCTCCTACCCAGGGAACTTGCTCGGTGCCAATTTCGCAGCCGCGTAAGATAGTCACACAGCAGGCAGAACGTGTCACACCCACCATCTTTTCTCTCAAATGACCCGTCCGTCCTGCCATCAGAGTTGAGCCGGGATTTGTGGTCCAATGGCTGAAGGGGTTCTACGCCACCGGCTTTTGCGTTTGCCTGGTTGCAGAGCCGTTGCCATTGATGCTGATATATGTATGACTTCTCAATAGTATGTGTCCATACATAAAAGGTGCGATACAGATGGCACCAGTCCACACAGAACAAAGCGCATTGAAAGATGCGAGGTCACTGTGATGCCTGAACTTGAAAGCAGTCCTACCACCATGTTATAAATCCACAGGAACTTGAAGATGGATGCACCTACCACGACCGTTTCGCAGAATGCGACGGTTACACGTCACTGCCGACAAGCATATGTGGTATGTCTGCCCCTTCTGATGGTTTACAGGCACGTAGGGCAGCCTAAACCAATGGGCCACAGCCTTGCAGTGCAATGGTTACGCACCTCGAAGATTGCGTTTGCTAGTACGCAGGTCTTCGCTCCAATTACCCTCTCTTGCATCACAATCGGAAAGTATGTCCGCACGTCTCAAAGGGTTGCGCCGTGCTCTAATAGGCTCCCCATCGTGCCCACGCCACCCGTGTGCCTTGGGGAAACACCGCTATATGTATATATAGAAATCTCGAAGGGACATGTGATGGTCTGCCCAAGGCTCTGTGCGAGGTGAGCCCGTTAGCTTATAAGAGCTACCGGCTGTCCTAGGGGGATTTTGGCTCCGCGCCGCTGTATATCTTCAGCAGCCATCACTCGTTTGATCTCTCCTTTTCACACTCCTTTAGACTCAACTCTGCAGTCAAAGCCCCACCCCACCCCTTCATCCCGGCCTACTGTTACCCAGCAAGATAAGATAAATTGCCCAAGATGTACCACCACCGTGCATTGATCCTGCTCCTTGTCAGCGGTCTCGCCGGAGCACAGCTACCCAACCTCCCCCAATGTTCTGTACGTGATCGACGAGGACAGTAGCGGAAGCGCCAGACTAACGAGTGTGCCAGCTGAACTGCTTCATCAGCGCGTTCCAAAATGACGGATGCTCGCGCCTCCTCGACTTCGCCTGCCATTGCTCGAAGCCAGAGGTAGTGCAAGTCGTGACTCCATGCGTGCAGAAGAACTGCAATGCTGCCGATCAGAGCGGTATGGAGACCCCTCCCCTGCCCTCTCATCTCTGCCGCAAGGGCACCCCGTTGACCACGATCCAGCCGTGTCGAACGAGGTTGTCCGGCAATGCTCCGCGGCGGGCCATCCCATAACGCTGCCACCCGTCGCTGGCGCCGAGACCACAACCACAACCCAGCCCCAGCCCCAGCCCACTGCCCCCAACACGAGCGCACACCCCACCAACACAGGAGCGGTGACTCTCCCCACCATCTCCTCGGCCGTGACTCCCTCCGTGCCCAAGTCCACGCCCGAAGCCTCAGCCACCGCCTCCCACAGCTCCTCGTCAATCATCCAAGCCCCGTCCAGCACCCCCGGAGCGTCCTCATCCCGCGCATCCCCCAGCACCCCTCTCGCCACGGGGGCCGGCTCCCACGCCGAGGCCAACATGGTCGGAGCCGCTCTCGCCGTCGCCGCGGCAGCGTACATTCTATAAGCGACGAGTGGGGAAGGAGACAGACATGAGCCTTACTCGACGCTGGGTCTTTCCCAGAAGACACCACCCGTCGCCGAGGTCAATGTCCAACCGGCACGATGGATGTAATACCAGGACGACAGAACGGATCATGTAAGGGGACGATACACTATTCTTGGAGGGGTCTTCAATCGTTCCCAGTGTCATTCGTGTTGTCTGTCTGTCTGTTTTGTTCGCGCACTGCTCTGGCGGTGTTTTCCGGTCCGATGGGAATTTGAGTTCTGTGTGCGCCTTCTATGAAAGAAAGGAAATCGCCTCTAGGTAATGGTAATACATTTGCTTTGGGCTTGAATCGGGGTTGCATGACCGTTAGGATTTTTGATGAGGGTAGGGTTCTGCTGTGTAGCTGGTGTATGTTGGTAGACAGAGGAGGTATTCTGCTTCTGTGGCCCTTTGCAAAGGTGGTAGGATGCGCCTGTAGCTAGACTGGAAAGAGCATTGTCGTCCTTATAAGCTGGGATGCCCGGGACCAGGATTCTGTTGAGAGACTTGGGGGAATGCGGTGTAGTGTAGGTGTGGGCAGAGAGGACACAAAATACCTAGGCATCCACGTTCCTGCTGTTGTATCCCGTAGCGCAGACCGCAAAGAAATCACAGGCTGCCACACCGATAGCCTAAGCATGACCCATGTGGGGACCATGATCCTCTCTATGGACGACTGAGAGCAGCAAAGCCAGCGAGAGAGAGAGAGAGAGGCTATGGCAAATCAAGCATCGTCCTCAAGGACAAGTACCCTCAATTCCGCATCCTATGTCTGTATGTACGAATCCCCACCAGACCATTCACCCCCGTCAAATGCATATTATGTCTAGGGAGAAAGACAATCACAGCCCTGCTAGCTCAACGCAACAAATATCACATCTAGATCTGACCACCTCCAACCGGACGATCGATCCCGAAAGTGGTAGGTAAATCGACCCACTGCAAATACTAGGTAGAAAGATCCCAGGTCCGAAACTCCTACTTCGGCCAGAAGACCACCTGAGCCAAGCAACCAATCCAAGCAGAAGTCACAATGAGAAAAAATCACCGCATAGACAAGACAGGCGAGTCCAAGCCCTGAACCGATATGCAACGGCGGCGCAGCGTACACACACACCAGGTAAGGTAAGCAAGATCTAGCTTCCCAAGGTCAAGGTCAAGGTCAAGGCCAAGGACCGACTCCCCCCTGCACCACCTCACTTCTTTGCCTTAGCGGTATTGCCAGCACCGCCAGCGGCAATATCACCGGCAGTGTGAGTGTGAGTGTGAGTGTGAGTGTGAGTGTGAGTGTGAGTGGCATCCTCCATATCCGACCAATCGCTAAACTCCTCCCGATCCGACGAATTATCCGACCGATCGGCATCGTACGCGCGATCGGGGTCCTCGCGCAGCGGCTCGACGGCGAACAGGTGGGGGTGCACGGCGGCGATGTCGAGGTAGGCGGCGCGGCGGGCCATGGGCCGTGCGGGCGTGTTGCTGTCGGCGCGGCGTCGGGGCGCGTACGCGCTGAAGAAGCTGCGGATCACCGGGCGGCCGAGGTCGGAGTCCGAGCTCGAGTCGTGGGGTCGGCGGCGCACGATCGTCTCGCGGGGCGTCTTGGACGCGGCCACGGTCTTCTTCTTGCGGCGGCGGGGGGCGGGAGCGGGTGCTGGGGCTGGGTATGGGGTTGCGGAGGTGGTGGCGCCCGGGACTACTTCGGGGCGGCCGAGGTGGGTGTAGGTTGTGCTGTGGCGGAAGGGGGTGTTGGGGAGGATGTGGGCGTTGTCTTCTAGGGGGTTAGTTTGGAGGGGCTTTGGGGCTTTGGGGTAGTAGGGGTGTTTGGGTATAGCACGGGGAGATGGTGGTTGACAGAGGGGGAAGACTTACGGCCACGCTTGCACGCCTCGGTGTCGCTGGAGCTGTTGCTGTGCCTGCCACTGCGGACTGGTTCGGAGCTCTCGTTCATCGACACAGTCTCATCCAGAGACATAGTCTCGGCCAGGGACATGGTCGCGTCCTCGTCCTCAGCCTCAGAGGCTCCGGGCCCGGCGCTCTCACTGCCGGTCTGATCCTCGGCCTCATCCTCCATGTCGGTGATAGGAGGCCACAGACGCATCCGCTGTCCGCGACGCATGGACTGCGTGTGAGCGAGGTTCTGCACGCTTGACTCTTCGGACGAAGAATAACTCGAAGACATGGTGTCGGCGTCGGAGATGTAGCCGTCTGAGCCAGTGGATGAGTAGTAGGAGGAGGTTGGAGAAGGAGTGTCACCAGGGCCACGCCCGAACAGAAAGGGGAATAAACACATCGGAAATTTCGTCTTGTCGCGCGATCGTAACGTGCAGTTGTAACAATCAAATCTGGTTTCGCGTAACGAAATCACTTCTGGACAGTCTAAGGCATAAAGGTTCATCGATGAGCGCGGCACAAATTCATGCTTGCTTGCTTGCTGGGCTCACTTACTTGCTCAGACTGTGTCTGTGAGTGTGGATCTTGCTTCTGCACGCCAGAGACGGCGAGATGAAGCCTCAAGACCAGGATACAAGCTAAGAATCAAAGGTGTTACTAGAAAGGAGGGTGGAGGAAGATGAGAGCAACTGGCCAAGGTGACGAGTTGATCGATATGAGCATATAAATGGCACCTTGTGTTGCTCGCAAGCGGTGAGACCAGAAGAAACAAAGTGACTACTTCTTTCAGCACATGCTCTTAGACTCAGCATGGCATTTGTTAATTGTGCTCCTACTAGTGCACACGTAAGGCTGCATGGCTGGTTCTTGTGGACTGATATTGTGGACTGGGAGTCATCAAAGCACACCTCTTCGGGTGGGTCTGACTCTATACTGCCTCTCCATCTTCGAAGGCACGTTCAGAGAGTAAAATGCTGGATGGGTTATGTTCATTTATCTAGCGCGTGGGAGTGAACAGTTGAGAAAGAATGCTCAATGCAATTCTACCATTTATTCTGGTAAGCGAAAACGAAACGACGATATCCCGAACGCCGTGGTTAAGGCAACCTGTTATGCATAAAGTAACAAAGAAGGCAGAGAAGAGGAGGAACAGCATCTGCCAAGACAGTATGGCTGCAGACACAACTCAAGGGAAACAGACCTGGAGTGTAGCTATGGCACCCACAGCCGGACAAACCCTCCAACTTCCCGACGGCAAGTCACACAGCTGCCAAAGTTGTTCATTGCCAGGCTCACCCGACAATCCTCACAGATACACAAACACCGACAGGGCCATGTTATAATGGACCGCGGACTGGTCTGACAGATGACACACGGCGGTCCGCTGGGACCAAGGCCTGATGCTCCCGACTCCCACGTCTGTTCATTTGATGGGGATTTGCTGAATGACTCCGATCTTTGGGAGAGGATGAGCTTCTCCAAGATCTCGGTCTCCTCCTCTGGTGTAGGCTTCCGCTTCTCGTCACCGGAGCCCTGGCTGAGCTGTGAGAAACGCGAGGTAAGCAGAACTCGGGCCCTGTCGCGCTCGACCTGTTGCTGGAACTGGCGACGCGTCATGATCCGACCTTCACGGCCCGCAGCAAGGTGTGCCGCGAGTATACGAGCTTCCTGCCTGCTTTCCTGGTCGCGAGGATCCAGTAAACGGGCAAAGGATCCAAGATCAACGAGTGTTTCCTGCACAGGGGTGTCTTCACGAGACAAACGACCAGGATACGGGTCTTCTTGAGTGGGAGTCCGGCGTCCATCCGACTCATAAGCTTCCCAGTCCGAGTCGCTGGTTGTTGCCATTGACACAACGCTGGTTGTGTCATCCCAGTCCTCAACAGAAGGCACGTAATCAGGACTTTGATCTTGATTACCCCATGCACCTCCAGCTCTCCACCAGTCGTATAATTTTTCGTCAAGCCGCCGTTCGTCTGACTCTCCCCAACGGCTGACATCAATGATCTCCCGCCGGCGCATTTCGGACTCCACATCGAAGTCGGAGTTGGCAGGTACTTTGAGCACTCCATCCTCCGACATTATCCAGAAGTCTAGCTTCTCTAGATTGTTCTTCCTTCCCCGATGCTTCTTCTTCCGCTGACTCCGAACCAACGATTTGAGCCACTGCGGCCGCCTGTGGATACCAATCTTGCTCAGTAGCTTGTCAGAGCCATACGCGGTCCACCGGAGCAAGAAATGGAAGATAGCACGAAAAAACGCAAAAGATTGATAGCAACGGACAACACCGCGAAATGCGCCGACACCTTCGGATTCATCGTGTGCTCTCGCGGACTGCGAGGCAGTGGTCTCGATTTTCTTCTCCCGATCATATCCAGATTCCCACTCCCACTCCGCAGTGGCTTCCATCTCAAGCTCCTGCAATTCCTCACTTTTCTGGAGGTCGCCGTATACAGAGTCACGACTCTGTGCATCTGTGTATTTGCGCTGCATGAGCTCGATTTCAGCTAGCCTATCCCTTTCCAGCCAAGTCATTCTTTGCGCGACTACTCCCCGTCCTTCATTCAAGAAGACTGCCTGTCTGGCGGCAGTCAAGGCTCCATAGCCGATTCTTAATGAGGTGGTGTAGAAGTCATCGTGCCGGTTGAAACGTATGCTCTGGATCTGGTTGGCACCCTGCATATTTTCATGTGCCAGCGAGAATCTCTCTTTCAAGGATAGGTTCTGAGGTGCGTCCATAGGTAGCGAGAAGGCAGTGATCACGAGAGCCAGGGCATAGATAAAGACGCAAATGAATATTCCCAGCAAGATGAAAAGATGGGGCACAAATCCAACAAGGCAAACTGTCGGTATTCTGAAGACCAAGCTTTCGGTGCCAGTAGATGTACCACCAAATGTGCCCCATGCGATGGCGGACATGAAACAGACCCCCCAGAAAGTCGTGTTGACGAGTCGATACTGACTCTGCTTTCCGAAGACATCAAGCAGATTGGATATCAGACTGTTACAGCAAGAAATCAAAGTGATGAGCAGCAACTCCGGGGAAACGTTCATTCGCTCCAAAGCCTGTGCCTTGCTCAGTGACTGGAGCACAGATTGACCGCCTTCTCCTTTGAAGTCTTTCGCAGGACTCTGCTTCGACAGACCGAAGATACCCAGGCCGAGCGACTGACTTATCGTGGATTCTGCTTCGGCAAAGGCAAGCGAATGTTCGAAGATAGACATCCCTGCCTCTGTAACGACGGACCTTCCTTGCAATGCGCAACAAAGCGTTTCCACAAAGTGACTTATACACAGCCGGAGGAAGGCCGGCCACAGGAGCCGGAAGGAACCGTATGATATGTCCGAGGCGTTGATAGGGCGGCCCATGTGTACTGCACTGCAAGACTGCTCATCTGTTTCCCAAGGGAGCAGTGCCGAGCTGAAAGTGTGAAGAAAGCCGCCGTTTCCGGCATAATCAAAGAACAATCGCTTGTTCGGTTTTCCGTATCGGATAAGCGAATAGTCCGGCGATGTCTGGCATCGGAGAGCACGAAGCAGGGCATGTATCTGAGCGACGAAGAGGACGATTGGTATTATGCGCAGGGCGAATCTCCTGCTCCAGTCTAATTGAAGTCGCCGTCGCGTGGATGCATATATGGTGATTCTATTGAGGACAAGAGACTTGAAATGATCAGATGGACTGACTTATTCATAGCAACAGAAGACCAAAAGCGATGATGTACTTACTACTGTGAAACAAGCCAATGACCACCGACCGGTCAGATACGAAAAGAACCCACTGAACTTTACCACGGCTTGTACAATGTCGGAAATAGTGGGGAGGCTAGAGTCAGCCTGGGCGGCAGCGTCTGCTACGCTTTCTCGAACCACTTCCGCCGCGGCCTGCGTTGCAAGAACCACTGTATCGCCTCCCGAGCCCGTAGCCGGGACTGAGCCCCAGATGTGTGTCGCCATTTCTTGGAGTCCAGCCATCCTAGCAAACTGTTTTGGTACTATTGAGAATGCAAATGTCTCTGCTTTTGAAAGACCTCGAAGAGGTAAAGAGAGGAGCTCGCGCGGTGAAGTAGACAGCAGGGATGTAGCGGTGATCGGAGGCGACGTGTTTAGGGGTTGCGCGGATGATGTTGCCGTTGTCACTGCTGCGGTAGCTTCTGAGAGTATCGACATTATTGAGAAGCTGAATGTCCACAGCAAGACCGGATGATTCTCGACGTGGCTCTCACAGCGGTTTTGTCAGGAGTGAGCATGCGTGAGCGGGGAAGAGTGCTTCACGGCTTACAGTGCCAAAGGGGAGGAGGGGAGGAGGGTACGTAAAACAGTAAGAGAAACCAGAAGTCATTAGATTAGCTTCACAAGATGAAGAAGGCGGAGGACAGGCCTGGAGTCATCTTCTATTGTCACAATAGAGCATAGTAAGACCCCAGGCGATGGGATCTGGAGAATGAAGCGTAGTTTCCGTACTCCGTAATACGTACGTGGACAGCCCGCGGGATGAGGAGTGCAAGCCGCCGCGGTCCAGTATCCGGCGCTAATCCGAATCAGGACGGCGCACATGTCACTGGGTAGCCAGCACGTGCCACAGTAACTATAGCAGGTAACAACAATCTACATAGATGTTTGAACACAGATGCATGAAGATAGAATATATCAGACTTCTCACTCACAAGATAAACATTAAAATCCCCAGTCATTTGTTAAATAAATGATCTTGTGTCATGCTTGAACTGTATCTGCATGTATATACTCCTCGCGTCGCTGGATCACACTAGTACCGAGACAAATGACAAAATTGCAGTAGAACAACGGCCAGGTGAAAATACTATGTTCATGAGTATGCTATGAATAGATAGCGTAGTGATCCTCAAGTAAATCACTCCAGTCTAGAAGAAAAGATTGAGTATCTAGTACTGACACTAACTACGGAGTAGCACTCCACAATCCATCCATTACTGGGTTGCCTTATCAGACTATTTTCTATGCCCCACAGTGGGCTAGTCCAGACGGGAATCCCATACGAATACGGGGCGAGCATCGACCATAGACCCTTTTTTAGTATGCAAACCTTGTTGGTGACCCCAGCTCGGTTCCAACTACAAGTACATCCATTCCCACCTGAACTGCGAGAAAATGAGCATCTTTCCACGGTTCCTGACTTTCGAAACCTGCAATCATGCCAAACCCCACCAAAGAGGATTTAAACAACTTGAGGACACCTGACGAACATAGTCTACCACCGTACTCGCTCTACCCTGATGGCGTCGACAACAATCTGGCCGATGAAATAGGAGATGTTCAGGGTGAGATTTTGCAGGACAACAAGCCCTCATCTAGTTGTTTGAAATGAGACTTATCTTAACCAAGCTGATGGACGCATCGACGTCGATCTCGACTCCGTATTTGCCAAAACCCTTGCTCAAATCATCGAAGCTCAACAAGAGGACATCCACAATCCGCCACCAGACTACTTCGGCGAGCATGCAACGCAGCCTGAACCAGTGATCTGCGACATTCAACTCAACATTGTGATTCAAATAGTAGGTAGTCGCGGAGACGTTCAGCCATTCATTGCGCTGGGGAATGAGTTGCAGAAATACGGCCATCGCGTCCGCATTGCCACTCATGATGTGTTTAGAACCTTTGTGACAGAGTCCGGGCTGGAATTCTTTCCGATTGGGGGCAATCCGGCAGAACTGATGGCATTCATGGTCAAAAATCCCGGGTTGATTCCTCAGATGAAGACCCTGCGTGCTGGCGAGGTGCAGAGGAAGAGGGCTATGGTGGCTGAGATGCTCGACGGCTGCTGGCGATCATGTATCGAGGACGACCCAGTCACACAGGTACCATTTGTGGCTGACGCCATTATTGCTAACCCGCCCAGCTTCGCCCATATACACTGTGCACAAGCTTTGAGTATTCCGGTTCATCTGATGTTCACCATGCCGTGGAGCAGCACGAGGGCTTTCCCGCATCCTCTTGCCAACCTTCGTGCTTCAGAGATGAACCCCACAACTGCGAACTGGGTGTCATATGGAGTCGTAGAATGGTTGACCTGGCAAGGGTACGTGTTTTGGACGAAGGTGGCCGAGATCCAGGCTAACGATGCTCATTGTAGCTTAGGGGACGTGATTAACCGATGGCGGGCTGGTATTGACCTGGATCCGATCCCAATGTCGGAAGGACCCAGTCTCGCAGAGACTTTGAAGATACCTTTCACATACTGCTGGTCCCCAGCACTAGTACCCAAACCACGAGATTGGCCGGGTCACATTGGTACGTGCTTGACAATTGGATACAATATACGCGAACCGAATTAATAACACGCGGTACAGATATATGTGGGTTCTTCTTCAGAGATACACCATCATACAGCCCGCCCAGAGAGTTACTCGATTTCCTGCAGTCAGGCCCAGCTCCCATCTATATCGGTTTCGGCAGTATTGTCGTTGATAACCCCCAGCAACTGACGAGGACCATCCTCGACGCCGTCAGAAATCTTGGCGTTCGTGCTATTATATCACGTGGATGGAGTGAATTGGCGGGAGATTCTACCCAGAACATCTTCTACATTGATGATTGTCCGCATGAGTGGCTTTTTCAGCACGTTGCTGCAGTCGTGCATCATGGTGGTGCAGGTACCACAGCATGTGGCCTTGCTCATGGGCGGCCAACCGCTATTGTTCCTTTTTTTGGGGAGTAAGTCAAGTCCGGTGGGGTTCGTCAATCTACCAGCACTAACACGATATCATTTCAGTCAACCTTTTTGGGGTGACATGCTAGCCCGTGCTGGCGCGGGTGCCAAACCCATTCCCTACTCTCGCCTTAACTCGAAGAACTTGTCGGACGCCATACGACTTTGCCTCACACCGGGGGCAGCAGCAGCGGCTCAGCAAATCGCAACCAAGATGCGAGCCGAGTCTGGCGTCACTGCAGCTGTTCAATCATTCCATCGCCATCTGCCCTTAGAGCGAATGCGTTGCCATGTGATGCCTAACCAAGCTGCTGTATGGAAGTGTGTCAAATCGAAACGGAAAATCTGTCTATCCAAGGCAGCGGCTCAAATCCTGATTGAAAAGTCGGCGATCGACGCCAAAGACATTAGAAGGTCTGCTTATGCTTCCAAATATGCCTTGTGGATTTGAAGATGATCTGTCGAGTTGCTCGCATGCTGACATTATCCTTGAGCTAGTCATGAAGTCAACCCAATCTTCATCGAGAATCGCCGCTGGGATCCTCTCACCGGGTTGATCTCCGCCTCGACAAGTACAGGGTACGACATGCTCAAGTCGAGCGGTGGGATGCTCTACAAGCCATACAAAGAATACAAGCGGAGCCGCTCTCCTAGACCCCCTACAAACTCCACGAACAGAAATATGACCTCAGCTACGAGCTCCACAGCATCCATAGGGCACCGAAGCGCCGTCGAAATCAATCCTCAGTGCTCGAGAACGAGCGAGAAAAGCAAGGAGCTGCAGCCAAGTTCGTTGGTCACCGCAGGCAACGTAGCCGGTGCAACTCTGAAGGAATTTGGCAAGTTTACCGGTTCTTACTTCAAAGGTGTAGTGGTGGACATCCCGCATGCCGCAGCAGAAGGGTTCCGACAGGTCCCCCGGCTGTATGGAGAAGAGCCTAAGAATTATGGCACAGTGAAGGACTGGAAGTCGGGAGCTGTGATGGGTGGTCGAAATTTTGTGGATGGGATGGCCGATGGCTTCACTGGATTCTTCACACAGCCCATTAAGGGAGCCAAAGAAGAAGGGGTACTGGGCGCCATGAAAGGATTTGCGAAAGGTACCATTGGACTGGCGACGAAGGTCCCTTCTGGTAAGTGAATAATCGCTCGCTGCGCAAGCTCTGATTGCGCACTCGTATGATGGAGAAAGCTGACTATTTCTGGACGTAGCTGGAATCGGACTGGTGGCATACCCATTCCATGGCATTGCGAAAACGGTCGAAGGACTCGCCAAGTCAAAGACCAAGAAGCTCATCGTCAATGCTCGCCTTCGAGACGGGCTGTATATCGTACGACGATCTCATTTGACGCCGGAGCAAGAGGCGGAGGTTCTCCAAACCTTTCAGGCTCTTGCGCGCTCGATGATGGATTGAGGCAGATGCAGTTTTATCACAGACACATAGCATTTTGATCATATGGTCATGTCGCGACACGAGTCAGGTTTATGATAGGGAAAGAGCTTGTGCATGACCTTCATCACCCGACAACAGGCTAAAAGTCTTCCGAGCCCCTTGCAAGGGGACAGTGATGTTCTAGCCCAAGGAGGAAGTCATCGCCCGATCTGTGGTAGAAGCGAGTATCTTCAGCCGGACATTGCTCCCTAGCGCCCCGGCAAATAAATTAATCTCAATATCTTCAACTTCCTTCCGAACCACTCTTACCCAATCATTCTCGCGAATGTCTCGGCATGCTCGCTACTGTCAAAGCTTCATTTCACTCTTCACTCCACTCTTCTCGCTACAAAGGGTCAATCATTGCCCATTGCAAAGGAACGTGCCTAAACCAAGGACATCGAGGAGAATGCAACCTGTCGACGCGCTCAGTGCATGGGTTAGTCGAAAGTTGATCAATCTGGTAATTATAAAAGCCAAGTAAAGCCTCCTGCTCTCTGGGCAAAGTCAAGCTTCATCCTCCCGTGCACCATGAAGATCTCTCAATTGCTTTGCTTTGCGGGTCTGCTTGGCGCTTCTGTCGCGTCAAGCGGACTGGACAAAAGATCAACAGTGAGCGAAATTTTGACAGATATCGAGGACGCTACGACATGTGCTGCGTGTGAGGTGAGCAAGCTTTATCAGCAACTTTCACTGGTGGTCTTGAACAGTAAGCTGATTTGGCTCCAAGGCCCTGCTGGTTGTTCTCCAAGCGCTTGCTCACCTGGGCAACGATGACTTCGTGGATGTCATCACTGATGTTTGCATCTTGGCTAAGGTAGGTGAGTCTTCCATCGTCTCCGATCGATTTTTCTGATGGAGATAAGGTGGACGACGACGATGTTTGCGAGGGTGCAATCTCCCGTGAAGGACCTATTCTGGCCCACGATCTCCGTAACATGGATGTCCCTTCCAAGACAGCAGTCCTCTTTTGTACTACCATCTTTGGACTCTGCGACTATCCGGCTGTGGCCGAATACAATGTTGAATTTCCTTCTGCTAAGCCAGCGAATGCGTCTCGGCCTGCTTCAAGTGGAGAGACCCCTCTGCAAATTGTCCACATCAGTGACATCCACGTTGATCTTTCTTACGAGACAGGTGCCAAGTATGTCCTTCAAACCGACGCTTCCTATACCTCCACCCCCGCATCTATGCTGACCTTAGTCTCTTTTTAGCTACAACTGTACCAAAAATATCTGCTGCCGCCCGTATACCGCTTCAGATGAGCCTGGGTCGACGGACTATCCTGCAGGGGAGTATGGAAACCACAACTGTGACGCCCCTCTCACCTTGGAGGAAAGCATGTACGCAGCGATTCAAGAACTTGTCCCGGACGCCTCTTTCACAATCTTCACGGGTGACGTCGTTGAAGGCGCTGTGTGGCTGGTCAACGAGACTGAGGTAACCAATGACCTCAACGACGCTTACAAGACGCGAATGCCCAACTACCTCAACCTCGTCTACGGTGTCACCGGTAACCACGATACTGCGCCTGTAAATTCCTTCCCAACCTCGGACATCGACACTACCATCTCCAGCCAGTGGGCCTACGACACCCTGTCAGCCGACTGGAGTCAGTGGATCGGATCTACCGCTGCCAGCACCGCGGACGACTATGGCTCCTACTCGGTCAAATACTCGGGCGGCAACCTCCGCATCATCTCCTTCAACACCAACTTCTACTACAAGGAGAACTTCTGGCTTTACGAGCAGACCATGCTGAGCGACCCGAACGGCCAACTCGCCTGGCTCGTCAGCGAACTGGCCGCCGCCGAGACCGCCGGCGAGCGCGTATGGCTGATGGGCCACATGCCGATGGGCTCGGGCGACACCTTCCACGACGGCTCCAACTACTTCGACCAGATCATCCAGCGCTACGAGGCGACCATTGCCGCCGTCTTCTACGGGCACACCCACAAGGACGAGTTCGAGATTGCCTACTCGAACTACACCGACCAGACCGCCGCCACCGCGACCATGATGTCGTACATCGCCCCCGCGCTGACCCCGACCTCCGGCAACCCGACGTTCCGCGTCTACTCGGTCGATCCGGTCACCTTCGGCGTCCTCGACTTCACCGTCTACATCGCCAACATGTCCAGCCCCACCTACCAGGAGAAGCCCGTCTGGGAGAAATACTACTCCGTCAAGGAAACCTACGGCGCGCTTCTCGACCCGCCGGTCACCGACAGTGCCGCCGAGCTCACCCCGGCGTTCTGGCACAACGTCACCGCACTCTTCGAGAGCGACGACGCGGTCTTCCAGGACTACTACGCCCGCAAGAGCCGCGGCTGGGACGTCTCCTCGTGCACCGATGACTGCAAGACCGACGAGATCTGCCAGCTGCGCGCCGCCGAGGCGCAGTACAACTGCGTCACGATCACGCCCGGGATCAGCTTCAAGCGGAAGCGAGACACCGGGTCTAGCTCGTCGGTCGCGCAGGAGAGCCCGTGCGGAGAGTCGGTGGTGGGGAATATCTTCTCGAACTTCGACGGCGCGGTCGAGGCGTTGATTCAGGCTGCCCAGGCGAAACTGGGGTCGAGCTTCATGAACACCACTGTTAATTCAACAATTGTGTAATGTGCTGTGGCCATATAGAGCATAACAGGCATTGCAGAAGTGATCTACGGGTCTGGCTCACGCTTCGGCCATGGTCTTGGTCTGGTAAGCCATTTATGATGGTGCGGTGCGATCCTTGTGTGCCAAATGTATACTGTGATTAGATATCCGCCTACCATACTTGAACATTCTCGCTGTATTGGACAAATTGCTGCGTTCTACATCAATGCAAAGTTATCCTTGCAAAGTTCTATGTCTCAGCTATTGCTACCTATCATCTCGAAGTATACTAAACGGATGACTTCCTGCATGTCTCAATCGTTGCCCAATTCCACTCACTACACCTTAAGGACTCCCCGGGGTTCCTGTTCTGTCAGAGTTCATTGACGACATTGGCGTTTCATCGGTCTCAGCCACTTCTACATGCTCGACGTGGGGAGAGTCCTGTTCCATGCCACCGGAACCTTCCGGGCGATGATATGTCCACGCATGACCCGTGAGCAACTCCAAGTCTCGCGCGATGGCGCCCTCCTCATCTGCTAAAGCGATACGCTGTTTCCATGCATAGTCACTGTCGCGGGAGCTCCGATTCACACAGGACCGGAGGTCAACTAGAAACACTCGCAAGAAGGGGGCGCTGCTCGCGTCGTCATCCTCATCTGGGTCCGTGACATACCACACTTCCAAGTCTTTCAGACTGAGACGATCCGTTCGCACGCCCCATTCCTGAATCGTATGCACTATGTGCATGACATCGTCGCAGGCGGTACCCCAGAGCGTATCCGGCAAAGCCCGACACAGATTGCCCAGACTGCACCCTTCACGATACTGCTGCAGATACCCATGGCAGGTGCCGGTCTTGGTGAATCCCCCGTCGTCCGCCCTGACCTCCCACGTCGCCAAGACGCCGCCGTAGAACCGCGGGATAATCTTGCCCTCCAGCCGCCGCAGGCGGTGCCAGACCGCCAATTCGTTCGCCAAGCTCCGCTGCATGAGCCCCTCGAGGTAGATCTCCTTGTGCGCGGGCGCCCAGCTCAAGTGCTGGAAGCGCGGGTGCTCGTTCTGCGAGAGCAGGTCCACCGCGATGTGGCTGGCCTGCTGGCAGAGGTATTCGTGGTAGTCCCGCTCAACCGATGCCGCCCAGCGCGCGGCGTCGGTGTTCCGGCGCCCCAGCTTCTGGACCCGGGCCTCGGCCGCGCAGCGTCGGTCAAACAGCTTCAGGGACATGGGCGTGGTCATCTTCCCCAGCGGCGGGTCCACGTCGATCAGCAGCACACATGCCATCTGGCTCTCGACTTCGTACACGTCGAGGACTCTGGCGCTCATGACGGAGACCTGGTCTGCGCGGGGGCTGGTCGGGTGTAGTTTGATCTCCTGGCCTACATGATAAGGTAATTCGCTTCGCGGGGTCAGTTTGTTTGTTTTTTTTTTTTTTTGGTTTCTGGTGAGCTAGGACGAAAGAATTCTGGGTAGGCTTACTTTGGCTCGGCTGGATCCGGGGAGGTATCGAAGTGAACTTTCTTTGTTGGTTCCATCTGGATTGGGCCGTTGCCTGAATAGAATAGAGTGTTCGAAAGACTGGCTGATACAGTCAGGGGGTGATGATTGATAAGAATAGGTAGATGAGGTGAGGGGGGGGATGATTGAAGTTGTCGTTGATCATTGCAGTATCTCTGTTCTGGTTATCGGTGGATTTACTTGCTGCAGCGAAGGAAGTCGCGACCTGAGTCGGAGTGGTGGACTTACTCGCAGCCCAGTGGTATCCTATCCATCAGTCAGTCAAGCGCCCATCTACTGCTTCAACGATCTTGAACCTCAAGGACCTTCATCCCTGGCGAAATGTCCGTATGAGAGCTGACCATCGGGTGACTCTGATTAGCTCGTGGCGGAGGTATGCGAGATACGCGACAGGGCACTCACATAAGTATACCCGTATAGTTATCTCTGGCAAGCTATAGCAACAATATCTTTGAGGGAGAGAATGATGCAAACCGTCTTATACATAAGCAATTGTATCAGGCTTCCTGTGAGTGAGGTATATCACTGTATGTGTAAAGTGGTGTTTACAAGCGCGAAGTCTCTCTAAGACAATTTCGACCAGTTATAAGACTAGCACATACATGCGTCGCAATCACCCGAGACACCCAGACCGTACAGACCCAAGCCCCAAGAAGTGTAGTTGACACCCTCACGTGAAAACTGCAATTTCAGCAATGGTGACAACTCTCTCACTCGTTTCAACCTCACAGCTGCGGATGGAATGGCAGCCCCACTGCGATTGCGGGGCCTGGGGGATTTCCGTGCGGGGGGTTTCTTTACTTGCCAGTTCACAGCTCACACACTCGCAACCTTCCCTCAAACAACTCGATGCCTCTCCAAAGCAGCATCCTCCTTCCAACATGACGATCCTTCTAACCCAAAACCTGGGCAAGATCCGGGGGCGAGATAGTAACCAAGTGACCCAATTCCTAGGCATCAAGTACGCCACTCTCAACGACCGACTCGCAGATGCACAACTCATCGAAACTCGCGGAGGGGACGTGCTCGACGCGACCAAAGATGGGTAAGTCAATCAGGCCAACGGCTGGATTCGGATGGCAGTCTGACCAACAACGACTCCGCAAGCCCGACGGCGCTGTCCCCGTCGTTCGGATGCGACCTGGAGCTCAGCATCATCCAGCATACACTGCCCAAGAAGCCTCTCCCCCAGTCCGACGTCGACTGTCTGAACTTGAACATTGCCATCCCGAGTGACACCACGACCGATGCTCGTCTGCCGGTGTTTGTGTTCATCCACGGCGGCGGGCTGTTCATCGGGGCCAACTCCTGGCCGCAGTTTGATCTCGAGCGGCTGGTCGCGCTGTCGGTATCGAACAGGCTGCCTATTGTCGCAGTGTCCATCAAGTATGTCTGTTAGCCGGGCCGTGGGACGATGCGTGTGCTAATCAGCGAAGCTATCGACTGGGCATGTTCGGGTTCATGACCTCGGAGGAACTGCGGAACGCCGGCTACAAGGCCAACAATGGCCTGCGAGACCAGCGGGTGGCTTTGGCTTGGGTGCGCAGGCACATCGGTGACTTCGGAGGCGATCCGGACAACATCACTCTTGCTGGAATGAGCGCTGGCGCGGGTAGGTACAGAAACTTGACCTTTGAACGGTATGGGCACGGGTTGACCCAGCCGCGCAGCATCTGTCGCCTGTCACCTCGAGTCCGAAACGCCTCTTTTCAAACGAGCCATCATGATGAGCGGAAATCGCTTCTTCTCGCCCAGCCTACCCTACGGGGCTCACGAGCAGAAATACGAGCAGGCAATGGCGGCATTGGGCTTGGCGGATGCCTCACCCGAAGAACGAATCGGTGCCTTGCTGAAGACTCCTGGGGAAGAGTTGGTCGCCAAGGTTCCTCCGTCCCTAAGTCCGACGTTTGCAGTGGATGGAGACCTGGTTCCATCCGCGATCACTTACTCACAGCTGGCGGATAGGACCAACCACATCCCCAAAGGCAAGGACTGGTGCCAGGACTTGATGGTTGGAGATGCCCAGATTGATGTAAGTGACAATTGAAATTCATCCAGTCTGATGTCGCCCATGCTGAACCGACAGGCCAATATCATCCATGCCATTAGGTCTGATCTCAAGAACGGATGCGCTGAGCGTTTCTTCAAGAGTCTTGCAGCCGTCCTTGCCACGCAACCAGAAGTCGCAGAGCAGATCTCGCTCAGGTACGGCATAACTAAGGACTTAGATGACGAGCACGCCTTTCTTGCCATTCTCGAGTTCTTGAACGACGTTTGGATGTTCGCTCCCTCATTGGCATCTGCACAAGGCTGGAAGGGACGCGCATTTGTCTACTACTTCAACGAAGGTAACCCATGGGACGGCGCATGGCAAGGTCGAGCTGGGCACATTCTGGACCTTGCCTATCTCTTCCAGAATTTCCGTGAGTCTCTGTCGCCTGCACAGCAGAAAGTCAGCTCTGCGATTGCGGAGGACTTTTTCAAGTTCTGCCACGGCATCCAGCCGTGGCCTCCGGTTGTTGACGGGAACCTTGAGGGTGGATTTACTGCTCGAGTATACGGCCCTAGCTCGCAAGAACCTGCGATCCAGCAAGTCGACCAACCTTTTGGCGGGAAAAGCCAACGTCGCTCCACAGTCTTTGACCTCGGTGACAAGATCTCTCTTGATGAACTATCGAGAATCGCTACCATGTTCACTGCAGGGCAGTAGTTGAACGACCGCCCTTGTAAATCATGTAATAAATAAAATTATAGCTCACTCCAAATAAACAGTCTATCGCTGTCGCTCGTAAAATGCATCCCAACTCCAAATGCGCAGTGTCATTATATACCGCCCCCTTGGGGCGATGTCAACCGGACTGGAAGTTCATGCTATACCCGCCGGTCTTGGGGTCCTGGACGAACTTGAAGTTCTCGGTAGAGAGACCAAAGGGCTTGAGAATCCCATTGCCCAGCTGAGTTTTCTCCAATTAGCACAGACATGAAACAAAGACCACCGAAAGGCCGACTTACATCTTTCAGCTTGCCCATCATCTCGGCCATATCCTTCTCACGGGCCTGGGCGATCCGGTCCGGCAGGTCGCGCAAGCCCTTCTGCACGACGCGCCGATCCTCCGGCGGGAGGTTATCCATGGCCGCCAGCGCCTTGTAGTCCTCCTCGGCGCCCTGCAAATTCGCCCAGCCGCCGAGCTGCATGCGGGCGCGCGCGCGGCGCATCAGCGCCTTCGCGCGGATCCGCAGCACGTCGCGCGTCGTCTGGTCCCGCTCCTGCAGACGCTGCAGCTGCGCCTCCTCGGCCTCGTGGTCGTCCCCGGTGATCTCCACGACCGCCTCCGCCGCTGTATCCGCTGTCCGGCTTGCCTCGGTGTTTGTGGTCGTCGACGGCAGCACTTTCTCCAGCCGGTCGAGACACGCCGTCGCCGCGTCCACGGAGGCCTTCCAGTCGTCCAGCTTCAGGTAGCAGGCGGCCATGTTGCTGCGCAGCACGGCGACTTCGTAGTCGAGGTAGTTGGGGCACGCGGCCAGGGCGCGGTCGTAGCAGGTGATGGCGTCGTCGTAGCTGGCGGCCGTGAAGAGCTGGTTTGCTTCGGCTTTGAGGGAGCGGGATTCTTCGAGGAGTTTCTAGGTATTGGGTCTGTTAGGTTTGGATGTGGTGGTGGTGAAGGTAGTGGTGGTGGCTGCACTGACCGTCTCCTCGTCGGCGGGGAAGCGGGCGTCGTGGAAGACGTCCTCTTCGTCTTCGCTGTCGCTTGCATTTGCTCTGGTCTCGTCTTTGGACATTTTGAGGATGGTGTAGAGCTGTGCAGGGGGACTCTGCTTTGGATCTCCTGATTGTAATGGATGGACGGTCCCGCCGCGGCGGTCGGCGAGTGGGCGGCGGGGCGGAGAGCAGCAGTGCCAGCCTGAGGCAGAGATTTGTTCCCCCCCCGCTAAGTTATCGATAGCCGATATCGAATCATTCTCGCAAGTGCGGAGAAATCGCTCCCCTCCCCTCCATTCCATTCCTTTGCCTGTCTTTTGACTTTCAGCATTGCTTTCGGGAAACTGACCAGCACAGTCCAGTCCACCATGTCTGCATCTACCCCTGAGTAAGTGCGCCCTCACACTGCCAGCCTTCCTTCGGCCAATTGAACCCACGCTGACGCTGTGCAGATTACCCCGCGTGCGGGCATGTCTCTTCGACATGGACGGCCTCCTCATCGACTCGGAGGACATCTACACCTCGATCACCAACACCGTGCTGCAGGAGTACGGCAAGCCGTTACTGCCGTGGTCGATCAAGGCCCAACTCCAGGGCCGCCCTGCACCTGAAGTACGTCTCCCTGTCCCCGTCCCCGTCCCCAAACAAACCACCACCACCACCACCACCACCAAAACTAACCCCACCCCTAACCTCAACCAAAAGGCCGGTCGCATCTTCCACGACTGGGCGCAACTCCCCATCACGCAAGACGAATACATCGCCAAGATCACGGCGCTGCAACTGGAACGCTTCCCGACCACCCAACCGCTTCCGGGCGTGGAACGCCTCCTGCAGACCCTGGTCGCCACGCAGTCCACGGCCTCCCCGATCCACATCGCGCTGGCCACCTCCTCGCACGCCAAGAACTTCCACCTCAAGGCCTCGCATCTCGGCAATTTGTTCGCCGCCTTCCCGCCGCACCAGCGCGTCCTGGGCGATGATCCCCGCATCGGCCGGGGGCGCGGGAAGCCGCTGCCCGATATCTATCTGCTGGCGCTGGAGACGATTAATTCGGGCCTGAGAGAGAAGGGGGAGAGGGAGATCACGCCGGCCGAGTGTCTGGTCTTTGAGGATGCGGTGCCCGGTGTTGAGGCCGGGCGGCGCGCGGGCATGCAGGTGGTTTGGGTGCCGCATCCGGGGCTGTTGGAGGCGTATCGTGGGCGCGAGGAGGAGGTGCTCGCGGGGTTGACCGGGGAGCATAAGGAGGAGGAGAAGGGGGCGGCGGAGAAGGAGGCGGAGGAGTTGGTCGCGGCCCGCGAGGGCCAGCGCAAGGATAATGGGAATGGCTCGCCGGGGAAGTTGGGCGATGGGTGGGGGGTGTTGTTGTCGTCGTTGGAGGATTTCCCCTACGAGCGGTTTGGAATCGTGCCTGCGCCTGCTGCTCAGTAGATTTGGGGAGTGTTTGTCTAGTGGGGGTGATTCTGGTAGAGAGTGAAGGGGCCAGGCGGAGAGATCTACGCCGCTGCGAGGGGAGTGTAATTGATCGGGTTTGCATTAAAGAATAACTGCATCAAGAACGAAAGAATAGCAACTTGAAAACCAAAACGAGTCTCTGCAATTTCAATCTGGGCACAGGAAGGAAAGACAACACCAGCAAAAAGAAACCGTACTTTCGTCCCGGAGAGCCTTGTCATCTGTACATCGCTGCCAATGGGCCTTGCCTCCTACACCGAGCCTTGGCGTCATTCTCGTAGCGATCGTCCTTGCGTTCGAAAAACCTCTACACCTGGGCAATCATCGCGGGCTGTGTCCAAGACACGAAAGATAAAAATAGAGCAGGGCAGGATCACATTCAAACGGAGCGCCTATCATTCCTCGTCATCAAGGTCCGTCCGTCCTATGGTGGATGGGGAGCGCAGGTCTGGCTCATGGCTCCCATCCACCATGGGACGGACAGCCCTGTTAAAAAGCAAAGAAGCAAAACACCAAATCGCAAAGCATAACCACCAACTCCTAAACCCGAGAAAAGCAAACGAAAGCAACGCAAGAAAGCAGAACTGAATAGCAAGTAACGAAACCAAAGATCAAAAACCACAATCGCAGAATCTGAACGACAACCTCAAAAGCGAAACGAAAGCAAAACCTGAACGACAATCTCAGAAGCAACAGAAGCAAAGACGACAAAAAGGAAAGGTAGAGATCCAAGCACCAAGATGTACTGGACTGGATGTACGTTAGTGTACCGGATGCAAGCAAGCTACTGCTTACGCTTGCGGCGCGGAGAATCATCCTGAATGCCCGCCTCCGCCTGCTTGCGCTTTTTGATATCCAGAAAGACACCCTCAACCCTAGCACGCTCAGTTTGGGGCAGGGCGGCTCGAGGTGGAGGGGCAGCTGCATTGTTTTGAGGGGCAGCACGTCTAGGCGCAGGGCTTTCCACCCACGCGCAGACCGCAGGGTCCACTCCCTGCAGATAATCGGTGACGCCCTCTTGGCAGGGGGAGATCGTAGGGCCTGCATGCCTTCTGCTCAGATCGATCAAGGGCATGGGGACGATATAATCCGGGAGAGGACCCAATGCATTCGTGCTGGTGTGGGAGTTGCACATGTTCGGATCAGCAGCGTCTCGGCCCATGGCTTTCTGCATCTGTCCGTGCTGGGGGCGTTGGATGGTGCGGCCCGCGGGCACGAGGCTGTTCTGCGCCATAATCATGCGAGGATCGACGGTCTGCATGTTGTTCTGGGGAGGAGCTGCCATATTGCCCTGGTTGAGACCGTTCAAGGACTGGATGTTTGGCTGGAAGTTGTTGCCCTGTGCCATGTTGCCGCCCTGTGCCATGTTGCCGCCCTGTGTCATGTTGCCGGGATCAACGTAGGCTGGGTCGATGGGCTGTGCCCCGAAAGGGACCAATGGAAGATTACCCATCCAGGGGTCCAGAAAATCCTGGAGGCTTCCGGGCATCGCATTGTGCGCAGCAGGGGCTGTAGCCATGAAGGGGAGGTGGGGGTCCGCGATGGGGAACAGGGAATCCGCGGCCGCGTTGCCTCCAGCAGTAAAAGAGGGTTCACCCATGAGGTTTTCAAGATCGTCCAGACCCATTCCTGCCGGAACAAAGGCGCCTGCAATGCCATTCTGCACAGCGGAGTTGGCCACAGGTACCTGGGGAGTGCTGCCGTTGGCATTGGTGGCGCCATTGCCCTTCTCCGAGGAAGGTCCCGCGGTCGCGAGAGGAGGCGAGGTAGGCGGGCTTTCCAGGTCAATAGACTCATCTACAGATTCTTCATCGTCCGCGGAGTACTCATCGTTGTCGAGAACGAGTCCCTCTTCAACGAGTCCCTCTTCAACGAGTCCCTCTTCAACGGGCGCCTGGCCCAAGGCTTGAGCTATAAGAGCCTCCTCCTGTTCCTTCTTGAGGGCCTCCTGTGCCGCACGAATCAATTGAGCCTTCTTACGGTTCACGTGTTTGTTTTCGCGGACGCGGTAAAGGCTGCCAACCGGGTCCTCCACGAGAAGGTTCATGTACTCAGGATCAAGAATGTGCTTGAGCACAGCCTTGTGGTAGACCAGGGCCTCCATAATCTTGGAAAGTCTATCTCTGAAACTCATCCATTTGGGCGGAGTTGGGAACTTCAAATAGTCATAATAGAGGAGCTCTGGACCGTTGGTATTGCGACGAATCAGTGCTTCCTGCGAGTCGGTCTGTCAGAATGATCCCCTAGAATTTGCATTGCCTGAAGGAACTCTTACCAGTAGCTCCCAGGCGGCTTTTTCCATCACATGCCTGGGGTGCTCGACGCGGATCCAGCTTTTCAAGGCTTTTGTGCCGTCCTGCGCCCAAGAATTGTCCATCATCAAATCGGTCAACGCCACCACGATAGCCTTCTTGGCCGCGTGCGTTTTGGGGATAGTATCGTCGACCTCGATGTCGCTATCGGCCACGTGGTCAGCACGCGCCTCCCTCGCGGAATCATATATGGTGGCCTGTGGTATGTCGTTGGTTGGGTTGAGAAGTCTGTCGATATCTGGGAAGTTTGCGGGGCGAACTCCGCGGGAGTTGGGATCCAAGGAGTTCCAAAACTTTTTATCTTTAACCTTGAAGCGCTCCGGCTCAGGAATGGGCCCCGGTTCACTCTCTGGCTCAGGGGATGATTCCTCCTTCAACTCAGCTTCCTGTTTACCATTGCGTTTGCCGCCTCTGCCGCCTCTGCCGCCTCTGCCCCCTCTACCCCCTCTGCCCCCTCTGCCCCCTTGGCCTCTCCGAGTAGACTTGCCCTTGTTCTTTACCCTGTCGCGTTTGGCCCTCATCGCGTCTATCTCTTTCTTGTTAAGCTTCGCCCTCTTGGTGGGTCGCGCAAGGTCAGCATGACGATCAGCCAGCGAGCTTGAGCCATCAGCAGCGATGCCTAAGCCACTAGCGACGTTGTTGGAACTGCTCGATGGAGTTGTTAGCTCGATGACTAGTTTCTGCTTGGTCCCATGTCATGGGGGAGTGGCATACCTCTGAACAACAGCGTTCAACGCCTCATAGTTACGCTTTCTGCTATTTTCTATTGCCTGCCGGAGGATTGCGTTGGCCGGGACGCGACCAAACGTCTGAGCAGGAGCCAAGGGCGGAATTTGCCCAGCTGATGCTGGGTTAGCCTCAGCCATGAACGGGTTCGACGCCACAGAATACCAAGTCCCGAATGGCAAGTACTCGGCATTGCTACCACCCGCGAATGCAGAAGTACCTTGAACCCCAAACATATCAGAGTTGCCGTACAGCACACTACCGGGATCCTGATGACCAGGCTGCCCGTAGTCGCCTTCCACATTGTGTGAGGAGCCGCTGGCGACCACTTGCTGCAATGCGTAGTTTGAATTCGGGTGGACTGGCTCCGATGACGACTGGGTGCCGAGCTCCACCGAAGGGTTCGTTGGAATCATTTCAGCAGGCCATTCCTCGGCGTCACTGACATCAGTGATGTCAATAATTCTAGCAGAGCTGCCCCAGTGGTTGGGAACTGGTTCATTGGGCTGCACGGGCTGAGCAGTTTCAACGCTCTCAGCACTGTTTGTCCCACTTCCAGTATGTTCAGTGGCGTTTGGGCTGCTTGTGTGGAGTTCATCACCATTAGATCCAGCCTCGTCTGGGAGAACCACGTTAGTAAGCGGCCACGCTGTAAAATTGGGGTGCAGCCAGTCATTACCATAGAAAGAATCAAACAATTCAGCGATTCCCCTCTCACTCACGGATTCACCCGTAGCGTTGAGCACATCGTTGTCACTGACAGCAGTCCCAAGACTTTCATTGATGAAGTTATCAAAATTCTCATCGGAACCGCTGGGGTTGAAAGAGTTGACTTCCAGATCGCCAGGCCCATCCGCTCTGCGTAGTATTAGCTTGGATAATTCTTTTTCCAAAAGATGTCGAAGACTTACTGCATAAGGAACAGTTCGGAAGATTCAGAGGGTGTAGTGTTTTCGTTGTTGTTGCTGCCGCCATCGAGGTTGAAAGGGTCAATATCGAGATTGCCAGGTGCATTCGCCCTGGGTGTGTCAGCCTGCATAAATCTCTCCCAGAAGGTGTCGAAGACTTACTGCAGAAGAGATGCTCCGAAAGATCCAGAGGGTGTATTGTTTTCGTTGTTGTTGCCGCCATCGAGGTTGAGAGGGGCGACATCGGAATTACCAGGTCCGTCTGCCCTGCGTAGTATTAGCCTGCAAGATTCTTCTTCCAAGATCTGTCGAAAACTTACTGCAGAGGAGATGTTTCGAGAGATCCAGTAGGTGTGGTGATTTCGTTGTTATCATCACTGTCGAGGTTGATAGGCTCGATATCAAGATCGCCGGCTCCATCGAACCTGCGTAGTGTTAGCCTGGATGAATCTGTCCTCGAGAGCTGTCAAGGACTTACTGCATGAGAGACGGTCCGGACGACCCAGAGTGTGCGGTGGTTTTGTTGTTATGGGTAAGACTGTGACGCTGTCTGAGCTGTCTGACAAGGCTCAGACGCGCCTTGCAGCGCTTGAGGATCTTTGATCCCAGCATTTGAAAGTCCCGTTGCTAAGCAACGTTCTTACTGTTGTATTCAAGAGAGAGATTTGATAAGTTGAGATGAATGTTTGAGATACGAAAAAGGAGATATGTAAGATGGTGAAGTTATGTATTTCACTTTGTGAAGATGGTTAGAGAGCAAAGACGTGTTCACACGCTCGAAGAAAGCAGAAGATACTGAAGACTGAGAGAGGGTATGTGCAAAGGGATACGGATTCAAGATTATGTACCTGAAGGTGTGATAATCTTGAGAAAGTTGGTGGTGAAAGAGAGGAAGATGGAGGGGTTGGAGGAGAGGAAGAAAGAACGAGGGGAGAAGAGAAGGGAGGGAGATTAAATAGTAGGCCTGAGATTGAAAAGAATTTTGGGGTGTGTTAGTGAATATCAGGCTGGGGGGATTTTTTAAATTATCAACACATTCACCCAATGTTTGAGGTTTCAGGTATGATGGCTGATCCAAATTACCCCTCTGGTAGAGCAATATTCACTTCTAACACAAGAGCTGCCACCAAAGACCGGTTGGAACAACGAAATAGGAAAACTTCGATGGGGTCCCTCCAAGCCTTGGACGATTGCTATTATCTGCGTGCGAGAAATAGAGGTCGAGCCATATTCCAAGGTTGTTTTGTGTTGGGCAAATTGGCTGACAAGGCGCTTTCTTGCACACTACAACTCCAGGTTGATAACTTTAGCATCGAAGCGTAGCCATGGCCAGGCTACAGTAGCTTCGAGAAGATGCTTTTCATATCTGATTAATGCTGAACCTCGCCTATATGTCTCAGGTTTGATACTCACATCAACTCGTCCCCAAGCTGTGCCTCGGCGAGGTAGCCTGATGTTGGCCTTGAGTCCCAGGGTCCGATGTTCGAGTTGATGAGATCTTCTTTCGCTGACGCGCCTCAGTCCGTGACTGAATCGATCTCGTTGCTATCGTTCAAGAACGGCATATACCAGACTTTTAGACTCCTGTCAATCTGCGAATTAGAAGGCGGAATGCCGTCGTCAGGTTCGTCTGCAAAGTATCTTTGCCCTGAGGTTGTTGCAGCCACATTGCCCAAAGGATGCACCACAGTACTGCTTACTGACTCTACATGATGTTAGCATAGAATCGCGCGACATGCTGCGGCAGCAGCAACGCAGACTCACCATCATGAGCCTTCCACTCCCACTTCGGCTCCTGTGCTCCAGGATTATAGGTGGGGTTCTGCCAAACTCGCATGCAGCCATCGGTTCCTCCCGCCCAGATCTCATGCGAATCTCCTTGGCCCGTGGCCACCACGTCGATCTTCATGCGTTGATTGGTGAGAGCCTTGCGCCCTTGCAGCCACCCGAGCAATTGGCCGGTCACTCGGATATCATAGACCAGGACGCCATCACTTTTGCGTTCAGCGACATACAGATACCTGCCACAAGGACTCCATAACAGTTGCGTGATCCCGCGCCCTCCTATGTGAGGATCTGCCTCTGTTTTCGCAATGCTGAACGTTCCCAGAGATTGCCCGCTTCCGTGCGAGTCATAGAGCCCGACGTGCCGGGTAAATGTTCCTGCAGCAAGGATGCCTTGTGCGCTGGGATCCACGGCCAATGCAGAAACGATGCCCTTCATGCCAACACCACCGCCCACCACTTGTTTGCGCTTACTTGGTATAGTAGGCATCGTCGTGACAGGCCCATCGTTCCCTGGCCGCGAAACATCAAAAAGGCAGATGAGGCTATCAGATCCAGTGAGGAATTGAGTGCCTCCTAGACTGGGTGGGTAAATCATTGAGTGCGGTGTAATGAAAGCCTCTGTCATGGGATTGACCAGAGAGTAAGACGCCATTTGCATTGGCGCCAAAGCCGATGCCAGTCTGATGGGGTGGTCTCTCACGGAGGAGAGAAATAATGTGGTGGAAGGGTCCTGGAGAGAGAAGAAGGGGTACATGGCTGTGGCATAAATCGGTTCCGCTGAGGCCAGTGTCGAATAAGGCGAGAGGTGGATAGGTGATGGTCTCTCTTCGAGTAAGTCTGGTGGCCTACACATACATTATCAACTCATGCGCTTGTAGTCCCTGAGTCAGAAGATACTGACAATATATAGCTCCTGATATGATGGTCTGTAGAGTCTGTCAACAACGTTGTCCCATCAGCGGACCTGTGACATCATTAGCCGTGAGTTCGAGCTGGCAGAACAAGAGTTTGTGCATACCATTCGGCACTTTTAATGATGTTCGAGTCAGAAAGTCTTGAAGCTGCTTGCGAAGTTCCCCCCGTCCGGCCATCTTGTTCCTGGCTGGAGATATGTGTCTCCGTTCGTGGACTCTGCTCCTCAATTCCTGCCTTACTTGAGGTGGCTACACAGAGAGGCTGTAAAGTGGTAGACTCATACTCAATCATCTTCCCGATTTGAAGCTCAGGGCCCGCTTGGGATCGGGCTAGGATGTGTTCGTGATTTCGTGATAGGGTATAATTAAGTAGGAAACATGCTAGAGGCCAAGCAGGCCGGGTCGATTCTGAATGATTCCAATCTCAAAGTCTAAGAGATCCAACGCCTATGTGGCTTAGCACACGGAATAAAGGGAAGCACTCGCTTCCAGCGAGGTATTGATATACGGAAGACGCGCTGGAAGAGGACAGATGGATGCAGCCTCCCTGGCTGGAACAGGAGTGGTAGAATTGCTAGTGGACGGAGACTGATGACCTTCCCAAGTGAGCGTGGAAGTACTAACGAAGCCCAAACTATAAAGTTAAGACAATTCTTGAAGCTTGTACTATGGAGGTCAGTACCTTAGACTAGATAGTAAAAGTGAGGTCTTCAGATGTGATTTGGTTATCAGATTCCGATAAGCCAAAAGTGAGCTGGGGCACGTCAGGGTCACGGGATCCCGGAGAAACTTGCCGGAAGTGAGGTTAGCTCCCGAGCAACCATCGCTGACTTGATTGTTTTCCACTCACCAATCCATCACTACCCATTGCGGCGCAGATTGGCAGGTACAAAGCGCCTTTTTCTTTGTTTGTGGATAATTTGTGCTTGAGCACCTTACAGTCCAGTTATTGCTACTGCCCCAACAGTGCGCAATGTTCTCCGCAAAGCCCGCAGGCACTGGCACCGGCCTGTCCCTCAACACCGGTTCATCCAACCTCTTGTAAGAGCCTTCCATCCAACTGCGCGTTGTTCCTACCTCTCGTCGCCTCCATTTTCAACTCGAATGTTCGGTCGCTCCAATTCTATATCTCACTATGGCCGCGAAACCTGACTCAGATGAGCTAACCAAAGATTGCACAAATAGTGGCGGCGGCACCAACACACAAGCGACCACACCAGCAACAACGGGCGCTTCCGGTGGCCTCTTCGGCAATCTTGGAAATAACAACGCAGCGCAACCAAAACCAGCCGGTGGACTCTTTGGAAACTTGGGAGGTGGCACTGCACAGCCATCTCAACCGTCCGGATCGAATATGTTTGGCGGCCAACAGCAAACGAACACTGCCACCACTGGCGGCGGCTTATTTGGCAACACGGCGGCCACCACATCTCAACCACAAACCGGAGGACTCTTTGGGGGAGCCACGGGCACTGCCAACACTGCGCAAAGCGGAACCACCGGTGGAGGGTTGTTTGGTGGTCTAGGCGGTGCTGCGGCCACCCAAGCTCAATCCAAGCCGCTCTTCGGTGGCACTACGACAAACACTTCTACCACTGGAGGAGGTCTATTGTGAGTATCTACCTACATTATTCATGTTAAGAAGTGGTGTTTGCGTCCTAACAGAAAGCTTGTCATAGCGGTGGCGCCACTCAGAACAATGCACAGCAAACCCAGGCTCAGAAACCTACACTGGGTCTGTTCGGCAATCAGAGCACCACTACACAACAACCCGCACAGCTCGGTGGCACCACCGTAATTCCCGGAGTCAAGATCGACGTCAGCAACATCCTCCCCACAACCAAGTATGAAAGTTGTGCGGATGAGATCAAGGCGGAGCTTGAGAGGTTCGATAACTACGTGCTGGGTCAGATCAAACTATGCAACGAAGTCTCGAACATGATTCCTACCATTGAGACACAAGGACAGAGCATACCACACGACGTGGACTTCGTTCAGGGGAAGCTTGAAACCATGCAACATGCTCTGGAAAACGATGCCCGTGAGATTGATCAGCTGCGCAATCTCGTATCGCGCGATGCGGCCGAAGCCCAGGTTGCGTTCCGCGCCATTGACACTCTGAAACTACCTCTACAATATCAGTCTACCGGCGGTGCTGGATGGTGGACCTCTCAGAACCAGAAGACTGATGCGCAAACGCTTCGCTCAACGCGTAAGAATACATTGGCCCTTCCCGATGATGTTGAGAGCGATCCTGCCACTGCCACTAGCGTGAACGGGGTGCCTGTTAACCTGGTGGATTACTTCTCCCAGCGTTCGGATGAGATGGGGGTTGTCCTCGAGCGCTACACTCGGAGTCTGAAGGAGATCGAGGATCACCTTCACGGAGTAGAGTCTACTCTGGAACGACAGATTCATGACTTTGTGACGGCGCGGAGTCGTGATGGACCGGCGTCTGGAACTCCCAAGTCCATAGTCAACGATCTTGCTACTGTGCTTAGCGACGTGGAGGCTGGTATCTTAGGTGTTGCCGGGCGGCTCGGCGGCGTGACCGAGCAGGTGCAGGAAGTTGTCCTGGGTCCTCCTTCGGCCGCTGATGGCAGGCTAAACCTTTGAAGGATGGGTATCTACCTGATACACACTTGCTCTGTCGGCGCTGAGTCTTTGTTTTTCTCATTGTACAATATAATGTTCTTGGCGACGGTGAAAAGCAAGGGGCCATGGCACTTTTGTCGGTTGGTTTAGCATGGTTTTAATGAGGAGTTCTTTGTGTGATGCAATACAGGGCTAGGGGCGCCGCCGGCATATCATAATGGAATTCAGAATAATCTCAAGATTTACGAGCTTTGGACTCTAGAGATAATTTGATGGCTAATAACAAGAATAGACTAGGAGTCGGATTATAAAGAATTGGGCTTTAGATAAGCCTAATGGAAACTGCTATCTAAAGCACTCAGTACTCATAGTAGATGAGGTCCGACGGAGGTCAAGTTAAGGCCGGGCGGTGAGGGGGAAAACGCAAGAGGGCGGCAAACTGGCGTGATCGCACCTCATCCCCGGATCCACCTTCTTAGCCTCATTCCCCGTCTTATCAATCAGTCAGACTCACTCGCCCTCTCGGCATCTGTCGGCGTTGCTGGCTTGTCACCATGACATATGCGACGATAACACTTCTCCGCTAGCTTGTGATACCGACTGCGAGCGTTGGAGGTTGGTTGCATCACTCTACCTCGATACTCCATCCAAATGATCGCCTGTTGACTCACCCCAGCACTAGCACTAGGATCTACGATCTGCGAGGCGGAAGAACCCCCGAACGCCGCCCCCCTGAATCTAGAACAGCTCCTGTTTTTACCACCACAACATGAAACCCATGTCCACGTCTTAAAATGTCGGTGTGACGCTGCCAATTGACGACGCAAGGCATGTACCTGCCCTCTGCTCCCTCAGGCGCACTGATAAGGTATGATGGCAGACAATCCTATCTATCCAGTCGCAACCTGGGTCAATGTCCTTCCCCACAGTTTTCAGTCGCGATGACGCGATCGGCGCCGAATCTGTGGCGCCCGGGGGCTTCGGAATGTTTTCTGGAACCCGTCGTCCCATGGTTGCTTCATGGCTAGCTATCCTGCTGTGTCCGGCCTCTTGGGTGATTTTCCCCATCGATGGTGCAATACATTGTCCGTAACATCAGCCCGGCGTGGAGATGAGTCTTACTGCTCCCAGCACGTCTGCTGACATTTGGGTCGGAGAACCAGGCTGCTCTGCCTCATGCCTATATATGAGCAACGACTCCTAACCTCTACCTGTATCCCTTAATAAGTCCGTTCCAATACTATCATCTTCATCTTGTGCATCTACTCTTGCTTTCATTCTCAGTTGCATTTCATCTATAGAGTTCAGATTCTGTCTCCCCCTTAAAACATGGCGCCCTCGTTGGTGGACCCTCTTCCCTCCCAGGATCTAAGATCCATCTCCATCTCCAAGAAGCAGGACATCGCCGGCAACAAATTCGGCTACCAGCCGGGCAGGACGACTGTGGAAAACCACGATAACTATGCGTACGAACATCTGTTACCAACATTCCCCAACCTTCATTGGGCACCATTAGAAGAGATTCCTCATGAGGACAGGGGGCTTCATGGTGACCCCGACTTCCGGAACCTTCTTCAGGACGCAACAGATGTCTTCGATTACACTCCGAAGATTGGCACGGAAGTTCACGGCGTCAATCTTGCCAAACTGACAGACGCCCAGAAGGATGATCTAGCCCGTTTGGTTGCTGTTCGTGGCGTGGTCTTCTTCCGTGATCAGGATGATCTGGACATTGACGCCCAGCGTGACCTGGGCAGGCATTTCGGCAAATTGCACAAGGTATGAAGCCGGTTTCTCTTGGTGTCTCGGAGCTCGTCGGTCTAATGATTGTCATCAGCATGCCACCACGGCTGTTCCTAGAAAGGAAGGATTGGAGGATATTCATGTCGTCTATGCAGGTGACAATGCTGCCGACCAGCGGGCAATGTTCACACCCAGCTTTCTGTGGCACTCAGATGTATGTGGTATTCATTCCTTTGCGTATTATTCGCAGCCTTCTGATAAGGAACAGGTCACTTATGAAGTTCAACCCCCTTCATATACATCTCTCAAGGTTCTTACTGGCCCCCCTCGGGGAGGCGGTGGAGATACTCTCTGGACATCTCAATATGCAGCATATGATGCACTTTCATCTCATATGCAAACATATCTCAAAGGCTTAACAGCTCTTCACTCTGCCGAAATGCAGGCTTCCGACTCCAGAGCCCTTGGACGAACGGTTCGTCGGGAGCCTGTCACAACAGAGCATCCATTGATCAGGACCAACCCTGTCACCGGTTGGAACAGTCTTTTCTTCAACCCTGGCTTCGTGACCAAGATTGTCGGAATCCCCAAGACTGAAAGTGATGCTATCATTCGCTACCTCACCGAAGTGATTGCAACAACACAAGAGATGCATGCTCGCTTCCAATGGAACAAGAACGACGTGGCCATCTGGGACAACCGAACCACGGTTAGTAGTGGCCCCCACTGGCTTGATAACTGTATCAGATTGCTAACGATATCGATAGAATCATTCAGCTTCTTATGGGTTTGCCCCTCACCGTCGCCATGCCGTCCGAGTTGCATCCCATGCTGAGCGCCCAGTGTTGGACCCAGCAGGGAAATCACAGGAGGAGGAGTACATTGCTCGTTACAATCTCCCTCCTGTCAACAAGGATGGATCCCGTCAGTCAAACTACAACGACTGAAGAAGATTCTCATCTGAGGTGCTTCCAACGGATAAATATTCTGGGGCACTGGCGTTACTTCGTTTGCTGTTTTATATTGTCGGCCAAAGACTGCAAGAGCGGGCTCTTCATGCAGACTTGGGAAGACTGGGGCTATTGCAATTCTAGCGTCTTGATCATCAAGATCCAGCGAGTTTATCTTCTCATTGAAGCCGGAGCGTTACATGGGCTATCGTTATTTACTTTGAGCATTTGCGGGGCACGTGGCTAGGGACCACCTTCCCTCCTCAACCATCTACTGATACCAACTAATTCAATCATTACCATTGATATCTTCCTGAATCTTCACCTTCATGGCTCATTCCATAAGCTCTTTAGTATTACAGTATGCTCGGTTCCATGGGATAGCAACTAGCTACACAGACGTGGATCCCCTCGAGCATGTGCAAGAAAGCTGTGTCGCGGTCCCTGATCTTCCCCTACACTCCCTTTCTCGGTTCCGAGACCACCTTAATAAGGTGCACACATCTCTCGAACACAGCCTTCATCATGAGAAGCTAAACCTCAAGAAAGAAAGCGTGTTCTTTCTTACTTCTGCACTTCGAAGAATTGAATTCACTGACATCGAAAGCGACTGGGAGAGTATTCTGCCGTCATGGGACCGTTACGACAAGCTGAAGGTGGAGACTCCAATTCTTACCAATGACGAGGAGGAAAATCTACCCCCTGTTGCAAGATCCGCTTGCTATGGTCCTGGAGACTTTGACCTCAGTCCATTGGAGGACAAAATCAGCGATTGTGACGTGGTTTTAGCGAGAGCCTTGGTAAATGGGATAGACACTTCCGGCGAGAACATCCGAGAGGAGAAGCTTGAGTGTACGAAGGATGTATTGCTTCTGATACAGGAGGCTCGAAAAAGCTTTGATCTTCGCTATGAGGATCTCGAGGATTTACTGCGGACTGAATTGAGCTTAGAGGAGGCGGGTCTACATTTGCCGTCTTGCTCGAAATGGTCGCCTGCTGACTTCAACAGGTCCAAGCTTCACATTCACGTTCGGATTCCCCTGACCTTCTCCCTGCCAACGATGACCATTTCTCTGACGAGGAGGAACCGCTCCCTACGGTTGACGGCACACAATCCAACTTCGGTGTATCTGCAGAAGATGAAGACGGGGGCTGGAAGGATCCATGGAACATTGATGAGACAATCATCGACCCTACGCAGAATTGGCTGATTGGTACCCCATGCGTGCGAAAGAAATCTTTTCAAGCAGACTGGCAGCATTTTAACACCTCGCCGCTGATTGCGGATGATATCGAACTAGCTGACTACGTGGTGACTCAATCCAAATCACTCGGGGAATCCTTCGAACTCTCTGATCATGCCGAGCAACATGGCGTTCCATTACACTCTGCCAGTCAACTCTCGACAAGCGACGCGAAGTCGAGTCATGGTATCTCTCAAGTGACGCTTACTGATATAACTGATAATATTGGTACATCTGACTCCATCCCTTACAACGAAAAGGTCTTTGCCATCAATACTCCTCCAGCAAGCGATACAATTGTTCGGGAGCTCAAAGCTCAACCGCAGAAGACGCATACAGACTGCATTAATATGCGACAAGTGGATTCGAACTTGTTGGAGCTAGGTTCGACAATTGGAGAGTCGTCCATGTCGACCGCGGTGAAAGGGGCTATTGCGTTAACGAACAGCCCTGAAGCTGTCTGTGCGAGAGAGAGAAGCGATCATGTGAGGATAGAGGTCACAAGATTGCCGGAGGATCCATTGGAGAGCTCTGAGATACACAGTGACCATACGCCCAGCCATGATGCCAAAACTTCTTCCGGCAACACATCGCTCCGCAAGAGCCCTTGTCTACCCCAAAAACGAAGATCCAGTAATTGTAGCATGCCCTCGAAAAGGAAAGTTCTACATGGAAAACAGAACGAGTCATTCCCATACAACGAAGGATGTGAAAGTCTGCATCTGCTTACTTCCTCAAACCTGGGCTCCTTGGCCTCGTACATGCAGGTCAGAGGACTCGATACGAAGAATTCAGTGGCGCAAACTGTTGACTTCATCTCACCAGCTCTAGAAGCAAAGGCTAGAGAAAGAGTGCTAGTCACTCGACTGCCCGAGGAGATAGCGTTCATTTCTTTGGATCCCGCTCAGCAAATTCCTCTTGCTCCACACGATCTCTCGGGTGGTTTAAGATTGTCGCTGTCAACCCGGCTTCTCCGAAGTCATCCAGATCTTGTGCGTCATCTCGAGGAGAGCGAGCTTGTTAATTCAATAAATTATGTTGATCCACAAGACCACATCTCAGCCAATGCGTCGGGTACTGGATACTCCTTCCAACATGCCGACATAATCATAGATTCCACGACGGCACTCATAATAACGAACCCCCAAGCCACCACGCAGCTGTTCTTACCAGGACATAAATCCAGCATAGCGAACAGTGCCGGCAACATCAACTCACCTCTTCGCGAAAAGGTTTTCCTGCTAGCAGGAAAGTATGAGGTCGTGTATGTTCTCATATGCCACGGCAGTAACCCAGCATACAACTCCACTGGTGGAGATCTCTTACTACACAAAAACATTTTGAAATCTCTGACATCTTTCATCGCTTTCTGTGACCCTCTTTCGAGCTTTTGTAGGGTTCAGTCATTGTTGATCCCAGCATGTCCTGATACTATCGTTAGGTGGATTTCTGCTATTGCAGGCAAATGCCAAACTTGATGTGCTGCTCATATGTGTAAGAGCTCTTCTATATCTGGTTCATACTGTCTTGTCTTGAGTTATATAACAAGTGTACTATCTGGGACCTCTAACCACCGCGATAGCTGTTAATAAAAAGGATCCTTGAACTTTGATTACATTTTACAAGACGATCCGCCGATGCGGTCATTTGTCTTTGGGTCAGGCAAGTAGATAGCGTCCGAGTTGGCTGCCTTTGTCCGCTTGCCCCAAACCAGCTGTATGGTCAATTCATCCAAGCATTTTCATGATGGTTGATCCCCAATCAGTGCTTCAGAAATCCATCAACGGTACTCACTAGCGGGAGGTCAGCCAACTATATGTTCCTCAGTGCCAAACTACGAATTACTGGACAAGAGAACCATATTAATGCATCAAGGCCAGGGCCTAGTTCTCCAGATGGGAGTATAGCAGCTCAACCGTACGCTACCCACTTAACCCATACATACACAGCACCTGCATACGGCCCCGAGCAACAAAACCATCCGTATAATGAGCAAAGTACATATATACACAAGCACAGTATACCACCTCCCTTCCACTCCCCTGAAACGCCGAGCGTAAATTCTAAATTGGCCTGCATGCATGACACAAGCCAAAGCAACTTGCAGTGAGCAACAGACAAACCAGGAAGATCCGGTCACACCACACCAAACCTTGTTTCCACCTCCCACATCCACATTCCTTCACAGATATCGAACTTTTGAGAAGGGGTCCCTGTAATGCATGCGTAGGGCTACAGCCCCGTCCTGTCGAAATAGGATCTCCCGCCCGGAGGCTCCCCGGGATAGTCGGCAGGGCGCCGATGTCCGCCGTCGGCCCTGGATATCGCGGGGGCACCGACCAGAAAAGAATGATTCGGTCCGCCGTCGGCCCCGAATCGAGCGAGCAGCACGCTGTCATGCGGGAGCGTCGAGGATCCGGTCGTTGGGCGCGTGCTGGAGCCACCTCTTCCTCCTCCTCCTCCTCCTCCTCCACCACCGCCGCCTCCACTTCCACTTCCTCCAACTAGCCGGGTTCGGTGCTGGGTACTCGTCGTCTCGCCTGAACGTTCAAAATTAGGATCTTCTTTCATAACAGAAGTGAGATCTTTGCACGACGTACGATGTCTCGGATCCCCGAGTAACCGCCCCTGCAGCGGCGGCGGAGGCATAGCCACCGCTTCCGCATTCTGCCTCTGTTTCTGGGTCGCTGCCCCCTTCGAGCTCCCCGTTCCACTGCGCTGGTGGCGGTGCAGCTGTTCCACGCCTTCGCAGTCGACCGGGTACCGGTGCAACGGTGTCTGCGGGGGCATGGAGGATCCCAGTGCCGTGTGCGTGTGCATGTGCATTGGGAGACCCGCTGCACCTGCACCTGCTGCATCTGCTGCAGGACCAGAAGCTGTAGCAGCAAACGGCGACGGTGGCGGCACGTTATTCGGGTGGGGCAGAGCGAGCGAGTTCAACATCTGATGGACCGAGTCCGTCGCGGCGGTCTGCATCTGCGACTTCATGGCGCGCGATTTCAGCAGGTTGTATAGGTTGGTGATCTGCGTGAAGCGGGTGCATTTCTCGCGGTACAGGTCGACGAGCTCTTGGTTCTTTTTGCGGAGTTGGTCCTGCGTGGTTTGCATGTCTGCGTGGTGCGGGAGGGTGTGTTGGTATCTGGGTTTGGAGGGTGCTTCGGGGCTGAGGGGAGGGGAATCGGATTGGACTTGAGGGAGAACGCACCTGATATTCGTGCTTGTAAGGCGGAGATCTCCGAGTTGGCGTTGTGGATCACCTTGTCCATCTGGGTGTTGAGGTTGGCGTATTTCTCGGTCAGGGTCTTTCCGAGGAATTCTTGGTAGAAGCTGCGAGAGGGGGCTGTTAGTGACTGTCTCGAGAACGGGTTTGTATGCTTCATATGCTGGGGAAGGACGATGCGCACATTTCCTGGGTGGTCTGGTACGTCCAGAACAGCAGGGCCCGGCCGGCGCATTCCATGATCGTGTTCGGGTCCAGTCCGCTGAGCACGCTCGTCTTGTAGTCTTCGGATGGGTTGAGGATGGTGGCGACCGCGTCGTCTGGATTGACAAGGATGGTTTGGCAGGCCGGGCAACGACGGTCGACTGATGTTGGATGTGAAAGTCCTAGATTGCTGGCACATTGGAGACAGAAGATGTGTCTTCGGAAGGATTAGTGACGGAGGTTGTGGAAAGGTGAAGCTGCTGTTGGACTGGACTTACGAGCAGGTCGTGACGACTGCTCTCTCTTTCAGTTGGGCTCGACATTTGAGGGAATTGCATCGAAGGTAGAAATCCATTGTTGATAGTGATCTAATCCCCTGGGTTGTGTGGATTGACGAAGGGTGAGAGTGGTTGTATGAAGCTGCGCGAAAGCTAGATCAGGAAAGCAGACGGAGGCACTATTCTAGACATAGAATATCAAACGGCCATGAAGGTCTCAAAATGGTAAATATCTCAACTTCGACTATATACTGCCAAAGGGTTTATACGGGTATCTTAGCATACATAACACTTCTCGCTCTCTAGCACATCCCCTATAAGTCTACTCTTCCCTGCACCAGCGCTCTAGAAGAAGAACGTATTTCCGGACGCATCGCGCCTTGTCGTCCGCATTTTTTCCTCAAACTCCGGTCCAGGTTCATATTCCCGCCACAGGCTCGCAGGGAAGATGTGCTTGTTGCGCTCATACCAGCGTCTATCGACCACCTTGGTCAGGGTGGGATCCTTATCAGCTCCTTCCAACTGATCACTATTCGGCTTTGAGAGAGGATCGTCGGTTTGTGAAGCCGCCGGCGGCTTGTTAGAGTAATCGAACAGCAGGCCACCGGCGCTTGTGTAGCTGGGGACGCTGTTGGCAATAAAATAGTATAGCTCGTAGTGCTGCATCAATCAGCCAATGCCCCATATCAACTCAGGTTGTGGCAGATACTCACATGTGGCACAATGACCTCGCCCTTGACCAGCATCAAGTCATCGACACTAATTCTAGCCCATTCGCGCCGGTTGTCTTTGCGCGCTTTGGATGCTTGGCTGTTACCACTGACGCCGAGCTCGGCTCCGACCTTCCGGCATCTGTCGAGAAACAGCCACACGGGGTCGCCCTTTTTGACTTTAACTGTCCCAGCGGGGATATTCGTTCCATCGTAGAAGATAAAGGGAATCAATATCTCGGTGTTCTTCACGGCCTCCTGCATGGCCAGGAACTCCCGACGGAGAGCATCGCGCGCCTCTGCCTCGGCTTTCAAGGCCGCTTTTGTCATCGCCTTCGGTGGTGGAGGGGCATTGGGGTTGGGTGTGATGCGCCGTGATGGTGGCGCAGAGCCATCGTCGACTGGAGTCCTCGAGGCGGACCGCGGAACACTGGAATCGCGTGGGGTACCGGCAGCGCTGTCGACCTCTTCCTCTTCCTCCTCGTCGTTGTGGAATGAGAGCTTGCTCTTCACGAGCGGCTTCTTCTTTTTCTTCTTGGGAGGGCCGTCGCTTCGGGGAGTCGAGTTGCTAGTGCTTTGCGATCAGCATCGTGGGGCATCAACGGACTACTGTCAAGCCTTGACCTACCCGTCAGTTATGTCGCCCGTAGAAGGAGTGGCACTTCTAGAAATACCGGCTGAGCTTCTCCCAAGCGATTTATCATGGGCTTCTCGTTCTTTCTGCTCGAGGACCTCTGCGCGGCGTTTGCGAAAATCGGAGAGATGCACCAGACCAACCGTCTGCGACTTGAGTAAGTCTTCTGCAGAGACAGTCTGGCTTGTGAAGGATCTCGGAGTCGAGCTATGACTGGGCTGTTCGGAGTTCGACATCGTGTCGGGAGTTTTTGGAGGTCTATCTCGAATCGAGTGGAAGTGGCTTGTCGTTCTTCCTCACATGCAAACGACTGACGTGCCGGCACGTGATTGGGAGAGTTTCCGGATTGGGGTGGTCGAATTGATGCCTGTAAGCCAACAAAATGTCAATGGCACGGTAAGATAAGACCTCGACCAAGCCAACAAGCTTCCAATAGCTTCTTTTCTTTGACCTCCGAATCACTTGACCCGGGAGAACTCTTTCATTGACGTTGCAGGTTGGAAGCTCGTCGCGAGCAAACAAAGCCCGAGCAAACAGGCCAAACCCGCCGCCCGTGCGATCTCCGCAGGATCGCCGTAAACAGGATCGCATTTCCGCTACGCCTCATTACATCCGTTCACTCCATACTCCCTGCAGCTCTTCAAGATGATGGACGACGAAGACGACGACTTCTACGATCCCGCCGATACCGTGCCGGCTCCTCAACACCAAAATGGTGCCCAGAATCCTCCTGCGGATAACTATGGCGAGGAATATGAGGAAGAAGAGATAGAAGTGGATGAAGATGATGTATGGTTTCGATACCAAGTGCACCCATATTTTGGTCGTCTAACTCAAGCTCTAGGATGACTTCAACATCATTACTGAAGCGCCCGCCGATGCGCCACCTCCAGAAGCGTGAGTCGAGCTCCGTGATTCTGTCCTGCAGCTTGTCTAACCCTCGAACAGCCCACATCCTCGCCATGCCAATCTACGCGCAGAATCACAACGCCCCTCGTCCGCAGAGTCTCCTCCTGCTCCGAAACCCTCCACACCCATCCTCACTACTCCCAAAGCTGAATCCGCTACGCCCGTACCAGTCAGCGCAAGACCCGCTGTACCCGCTGCACCGCAAAGGCCAGGCTCATCATATCCTCCAGTCCAAGTGTCCACGATCGACGTTCATGCCAACCCCGTCCACCCGACGACGGGCAAACCCATTCTACTGACCGACATGGACGCGGACTTTCCGGAAGACGACAAGCCATGGCGGCGACCGGGGTCCGATATCACGGACTACTTCAACTACGGGTTTGATGAGTTCACGTGGGCCAGTTACGTGTTGAAACAGCAGGAGCTGCGCAAGGATATCGGGGACCAGAAGAGACAATTGGACGATATGCAGGCTTTCCTGGGGATGGGTATGCCGCCGATGGCCGGTGGCCCACCCGGGCCAGGCGTTCCTCCAAGCAGCGCGGCCCCTCCGATGCCCGGTATGCCCGGTATGCCGGACATGTCGCCGGAGATGATGCAGGGAATCCTCACGAGCATGATGGCGCAAGGCCTGGATCCCACCTCGATGGACCCCATGACGTTCATGCAACACGCCCAGGCGCTCATGGGCGGGCAATCCGGCCCAGGCGGCGGACAGCAGGGTCAACCTGGATTTGGGGGGCAAGGTGGTGGCCAACAGCAGATGGGTTACGGAGGAGGTTTCGGAGGAGGTGGCCGGGGACGGGGACGAAGATGGTAGTTGAAGTTAGGGGCTTTTCCTCAAAGTATCAGTCACCTTGTTATGATAACGGCTTTGTAGGGGTGGCATTTTGGATGGTAGGATGGAGTTAGAAAATTCCCAAGGTATATGCAATCCATTTATTAAGCAGAACCGAGAAGGTTTGACAGCCCCGGAGTCGGTCTGGCCGGCTCGGGAAAGGGAGCGAGCGGGTAATGATGTGCCAGACTGGAGATACTGGGGTAGTTGTATGAGTAGGTATACCGGGTGGCTGTTCCACACGAGACAGCATACAGTGGTCTGTCTTTCCAATGTTCAATGCTAAGCTCTCTCGGAGTGACCGGAAAACAAAGAACTGCTCGTAGGAAAGGTCGTGGTGGTGAATCCCTCGGCAGAACGCAAAAGAGGATGGAAGCTTGTTGGTCTTGGCATTCTGGAAATTTCTCGCGACTCCAGATCAGATCTTCGTTTCCCCGGCCGGCCGCTTCCTCTTCTTCTTCTTTTGCTCTCCACGCCTTGACTCACCTTCATCCTTAATCACTCCTCTTTGATTTGCTCGCTGCCTCCTGTGCTCAGCACCCTCAATCACAACACCACCACAATGGTATGTTATCTCCCTCCGTCTTTGGTGCTTGGAGCTCCGATTGAACTTTTCCGCCTGTTTCCACCGCATCGTCGATTCCTCTGATCATCACCACCATCGACCTGAAACTCTTGAACCTGTCACTAATCCGTTCTTTCTGTGCACAGTCTTTCCTCCGCAACGTCAAGAACCTTGCCCCTCTCCTGGACCGCGTCCTGGTCCAGCGTGTCAAGCCCGAGGCTAAGACCGCCTCCGGTATCTTCCTCCCCGAGAGCAGCGTCAAGGAGCAGAACGAGGCCAAGGTCCTCGCCGTTGGCCCCGGTGCCGTCGACCGCAACGGCCAGCGCATCCCCATGGGCGTCGCTGTCGGCGACCGTGTCCTCATCCCCCAGGTACGTTTCGGACATCGCCCGGTCCGTCCGAAGGAGCATTGGGTCTCTGGCAGCTCCAACGCTTTTCCGGCCATGGCTAACATTCTGCTGTGTAGTTCGGTGGTAGCCCCATCAAGGTTGGAGAGGAGGAGTACACCCTCTACCGCGACTCCGAGTACGTGCATCCCTTTATTCATTGATTGCTGCCGCTCTGGATTCTAACCCGTCCCAATCACAGGATCCTCGCCAAGATCAACGAGTAAATTGAACTAGCCAAATAATGTTCAACGTCTTGCTGTCTTCTGTTTTTCCGGATGTTCGAAGCCGCCTATAACGTGTATTATACCTCCCTTTTTCCGCAAAATCATGAGCCTCGGCCATTCAGAGCTCTCTTCCTAAACTCCCACCATTAAAAAAGGCCCCATACGAGCTGTGGAGAGGGGACTTTGGTTCCTCTCTTCATCGTTAGTGTTGTGGTCCTATCAACTGTTCTGCTGCGCATTTATTGCCGAAAGCGTGAAATGACTGTTTTTTGCATACCACACGATGTACTTTTGTCGCTTGTCAACTACTTCACTCTCGTCGTGTCTGGGGCTGTTTGCCGCGGTGAGAGTATGTAATACGATATGATAATCTCCTCTCTTCTGATGACTTCTGCTGGTTTTGTTTTCTTGAGGTCTCGTAGCTCCTAGCATCAGACCCATCGTAGTCCGGACCCTAGATTAATCACTCGTCGTCCGCCTCGAAAGCAGGTATCGCGTGAGCCTTCCATGAGATACTACACCATACCTGTAGAGGAATGCATATCATGCACAAGTCGCACAATCATCATCACAGTCTCAGATATCTAGGGATCAACCTCTACTGTCCTGCGTAAAACTTAGACAGACTTGATGTAGGAACCCGGTTCAGCAGTAAGGACTTGACGAACATGACACTTATGCATCACCTCCTGTCCAGATCTACAGAAACGAGTCTCAACAGTGCGGTTGTGGAGCAGCAACGCTGGAATCGATGTCATCGACCAATAGATCATGATGCATTGCCAGGATGAAGTCGTCCGCACTGGAGGTCACAAGGTCGGACTAGGTGGTATAATTCCTTATGTATCAGTCCGGACTGGCTTGAGTCGCACATGCACTTAATAAGAGCAAATGAGCCAGATTCTCTTGAGATGATACTGTCGATATGAGGATGGCTGCTCCCTGTTCTGCAGAAGTTCAATTAGATGTCGCGGTTGATGGAGGATGCGTAAGTTGATCGATTCTATATAACTTGGTTAGGACACGGGTAAACCATCGTAGTGTCACTATGAACCTGTGCTACTCAGAGAAAGTATGATTTATTTCTTAAGGATAACGGCAGTCTCGTGTCTTGACTAGAAGAATTTGATTGGGCGTTGGATTTGAGGAGGTAGGAGAAGGGGTGGCATTGTTGTTGGTAGGTTGTTTATATCCTGCTCAATCGGGACAACCTGGAGAAAGATACATACGGGTGTGTTTACATCGACAACAATCTTTGATTTGGTGTATGAGCGATGGTCAAGAGAGGATAATTCAAACTTGATCCTTAATCAATACAGAGCACAGAAAGGAAAGAAAGCACCATCAGCTTCGCATCTTCGTCCTGCTTTCATTAACTGTAATAGTCGAAACACAGACGAGAACTATGTAAGCCACTTTCCAAACCCAACCCAACCCTCTACTCGATAATGTTAGTAACCAATTCCCACGAGCATCCATGCTACGGTGCCCAAACCCCCCCCCCTCCTTCATATTATCCCCCAGGCAAGCTAGTTGGTAATATATATACCGCCAGCATCGAATGCAAACCAAACAAAACCTTTCTCCCTCCTGCCCTCCCCAGCCCTTACCCAGGGCCAGCAGAGACCAAATCTCCCAAGTTCCATCCATCCGCCTCCCGCCTCGGACGTACGGAACCTCCTCCCTCGTTTCCCACACACCCACCAACCCCTGCCCGAAAAATCTTTTTCCCACCTCCTTTATCTTGATCTTGATCTTGATCTCTGCAGAACAGATCTCTAGACCATGTGGATCTGGGAACCGAAGCCTTCCCTTCGGATCTTATCTTCGTAGCTGTAACCAAAGGGGGGGAGGGGGAGTGTAGTCTATTTTGACGTCGGTTTGGGGCGTTACATACGGCGTTTGTATTGGGTTACCATACACCATACCAGACACCGTCCACAGGTACAGACACAGACACAGGGTATTGTATGCCTTCCCACACACATATACTATACTTTTTCTTTACTTGGTCGAGTTTGTTGGTTTGTAAGGGTCGCTGTACGTTTGGTATGCACATTCTGTACAGCACACACTTGCGTTGCTGCGCTGCGCTGCGCTGCGCTGCACATGTGTCTAATGTGTTCTTTGTGTACGAAGTTGCTGTTACTATGTGGATTGTGCACACCGCATGTAGGGGGGAGCTGCTTTGCGCGATTGCTGGAATGATGGCTACATGTACAACACATATTGCAGCTGCGGTTCTTTTGGCACCGGGCAGGTTTTTTTTCCCCCTGTCTACTTGGTGAGTGTGGGCGTCGCTTGGAGGGGTGGACAAGTCATCCTTGCATGCGCTGCTGCATGGTTTTTCTTTGTTCTTTGGCATCTCTCTCCCCCTGGTCATTACGGGAATGGGCTCTAATCGCGATACGAGCCGAAACATCTCAACAAATCTAGAATCTCTTTACGGACCGAACAACAGATCGTATCGTTGTATTCACGACTATCACAAGTCTAAGCAGTGTTTCAACTCCAGAACGGATCAAGTCCCGTCTTTCCCTTGCACTTGAATTCAAAGCAAAGCCGGGGAATCCATGTGTGTGTGTGCCGTCAAGAAAAGAAAAAAAAATGAGTAAAATAACAGAATGACGTAAAACAACCGTATCATGCCATGCATTCAGAAAATAGAATCTCATAGGAAGATTAAATTAAAAAATAGAAAGGGGAATCAGCAGAAAAGACCCTCCTTTTGCTCTTACGCGGAACCAAACTCCTTGATGTCGGTCTGCTTGCCGAGAAGGGCAAGGGGCACGATACCACTGACGTGCATCTCGGGACCGTAGACGTGCATGTTGAGGCCAAGCTCCTCACCAACGGCCTTGATGTTCTTGAGACCCTCCTGGTAGTTGGGACCGGCACGACGAACCCAGATCTGGACCTTGTGCTCGTTGAGGACGGGGGCGACCTCGCGGAGAGCGCGGATGACACCCTTGAAGGTCGAGGCAACGTTGGTGAAGTTGGCAATACCACCACCGATGAAGAGAACCTTGCCCTCGGGGTGGGTGGGGGCACGCAGCATCAGGTCGAGGATGGTGCGGGCGTAGTTGAAGGTCTGAGTCTCGGTGGGAGCACCGGAGTACTCACCGTAGTTGGCAAGCTCGCTGACGAAGCCAGCAGAGGCAATGGCGTCGGCGTACACCACGGAGGCACCACCACCAGCAACCAGGGTCCAGACACGGCCGTTGGCGTTGAGGACGGTCAGCTTGAGCGAGGCACCGGTCTTGGCGTCCATCTCGGAGATGAACTTCTCCTCCTTGCTCAGCTCACGGCCGAAAGGAGCGGGGAACTCCATGGGAGGGCCAGCATCGACGTTGACCTTCTCGCTCTTGATGACGGGCATGCCCAGGTTGGCGGGGCTGCGGGCAATGGCCCACTTGGTACCGCACTCGAACTCAGCGGTCTGGTCGAGCTTGGCAGCCAGATCGAGGAAGTGGACTTCAGCGGAGGTGGCATCCGCGTTGGGGATGACAACCAGAGGGTTGATCTCAAGGTAGGTGAACTGGCAGTCAACGTAGACGGCGTAGAGGCGGGAGATGAAGTCAACGAGGACGTTGTGGACACCCTTGGGGACCTTGCTCAGGAGAGTAGCAGCGATCTCCTCGTTGGAGGGGTAGTTCTTGAGGTTGACGGGGATGAGGAGCTTCTCAGCCTTAGCATCGACATCACCGACATCGACACCACCCTCGTGAGTGAAGAGGATCCAGTCACCCTGTTGTGAATTAGCATTCCTGCGCATAGTGGCAATCGGGTTGCGATCTTCCTTACCTCACGCACGGAGTGGATGTTGATGTAGTACTCAGTCTCCTGGGGGTGAGGCACGAAGGGCTCAACCAGGAACTGACGGAGGTAGCCGGCCACGGTCTCGACCTGGATCTCCTTGCCAGCGCGAGCCTCAATCCACTCCCGAGCCTCAGCCCAGGTCTTGTTCAGGGCCAACAGGCCGCTCTTTCCACGTCTCTTGATCAATTGATCGGGCTTGGCCACGAACTTGGATCCGGGGGTCAACAACCAAGGGTAGAGGACCTCAGCCTGGTCGAGAACGTCCTTGACGGACTCATCTTCGGGGAAGTAGAGGGAGGCGAGCTTGGGAGGAGGGTTGTGCGTGGAGGAAGGAGGGAGAGGAGTCGGCTTGATGACGGGGGCACGAGTGAGGTGGTAGTTGAGGATGGCCTTGCCATCAGCCTCGAGAATCGATTTGGCGGACATGATGATCGTAAGAGGAGAGGGAGGATAGAATTAAACTGAAGTAAGTGTAAGAGGCGGCGGATAACAACAACAATGGAGGATATAGAGGATGTATATGGGAAGTCAACCCCGGATTAAGAATATACCTGATAATTGAGAGAGTAGGAAGAAGAGTCAAGAGGAAGAGGAGGAAGAGAGGAAGACCAGAGATATTTTTCGTAGGTTGGTAGGAATTATTACCAGATGCGAGATGTCACTGGAAATAGATCGGAGGGAGGAGGGGTGGGTTGAGGAGAGAGTCGGAGGGGGGGGAGGGGGGGGTCAAGTGGGCACAAGAGGAAGAGTAAAAAAGAGGTCGGAGAGGGAGAAAATGAGAAAAAAAGGAACCAAACGGAAGCTGAGACGGGCGCCGATTAGTCGACTCGGTGATGATACTGAGTATGCAGTGTCCGATGAAAGGAGCAGGTGGAATAATAAACGGGGTGGTGGGTAGGGAATTTTTTCTGGGCTGGCGGCCGCCAGAGTAGGAATTGGGATGGATCAGTGCATGGAATGATCGTCCCAAACGGACTTACCTCTGGTTTCCTCTGGTTTTCTCTGGTTTTCTGGAGCCAAAATGACCAAAACGCAGTGATACCAGACGCTATTGTGGCCGATACCAGGAATACCAGGGGAGTTTGTGGGAGTCCTGGGAGTTGTTGAGATGCAAGTGGAGCCTCCGTAAGAAAAAGCGGGCCGAGCGAAGACCCAGCCTGTCATCCAGACTCATCCTGGATTGGGCGGGCGTTGGGGATCCTCGGGAGGGTCAATCCAGAGTCTGAGTATTTTAGTTCCGCAGTATCTGCCCTACGCTGTAGCCTCAATACCACGCCCCCTAGAACTATGCAAAAGAATTTGTTGGGTACGTGGTCAATTTGTTGGCCATGGTCTCGTACGAAACCGGAAGCAATTGCAGCAGAGTGGCCAGATGATGTCCCAGAATTGGCAGAGAACCTAACTGGAAGAGAGAATGAGAATCAATTCTACATTATACTTGACTACTGACAGTCGATCGATATTGACATGCTGTACGATGATGTAATCAATCTCCCTGGGTGCTCACGGCCACGCTTCTTTTTCCCCAGTTTCTTCAGTACCTGAGGCTGCCACTGGCTCCGATAAGATAAGGAAAGACGGCCGACTACTGTACGATGGAAATGAGGGGCAGAGCCGACAATACAAAACAGCAACAGCAACGATCGGACTCAACGGTGCACTGTACATACCATCCCGAGTGACATAGTACTCCGTAAGTTACTACTGACTGCCAAGTAGGCAGCTCCTCTTGCGATCAGATTCCAGATTCAATCTCCCTCCTCCTCCAATCCTTTACTTCCACCTCATACCGCTTGCTCAATCTTTCGGTGAGGGGAGACAAAACAAACGCAATGATCCCGGCCAACTTACAGGCCTCGTGCATAGTCTACGTATCGGATCAGACCAACCCATCCATGTCCCTGGCCTCCAGTTTGCGGATCCTGGGCTCCACTCCGCTCTAACCCCAACCAGCTCAATGCTAGGACCTGAAATGAACCAAATGAATAAAATGAACCAAGGGAGTTTCGGAAGACGGAATGGGTATCGGTCGATTTCTTGATGGCAGTGCACTGTCGAGACAATCCGATGTTCCAATCATCGACTTGGGCGAGTTTCGCTTCGAACCCGCGGGATAGAAGATTCACGAGTACTTCAGATACTGACCGGACACTCCGTACTTTGTTGCTGTCGCTGACGGGATTACTGCGGGAAGTCGAATTCCTGATGAAGGCACGGATGATACGAGTCAAGAGGGAAGAGGGATTCACCTGATGCCATAAACTCCGTACTCCGTTCCCTATTGTAGAGGACTCCGAGGATGACAGGAGTCTCTGTCGCATTCTAACCCCGGTAGTCGATGATAACACAATGATAACAGAGTCGCGTTCTCGAAGTATTCCGGATCTGTCGAGTACCTATTCAAGTAGTGGGTGATTCTATAGCTGCGCAACTCGGGTTTCCCCAACTGAACGGCGGCGGCTGTTTGAGCCAGAAAGAGCCAGAGTTGACGGAGTGACGGTTCGAGCCGGCGTCCAATACGGAACGTTACCAACTTTCCACCCCATTCATACCACCAGCGGTATGGTAAGTAATGGAGTTACAACCCATACGCCCCATACGCCCCATAATTCTTTACTCTTCCTCCTCCCCCCCCATCAAGCTCCCGATATCGTCCCCCTCCTCGAGGCTTTTATTTTTTTTTATTTTAATCTTTTTTAGAATCTTGCATTTTTTTTTTGTTTTTCACCCATCATCCGCCTCTTCCCCATCAGTCCATTCATCTGTCTCGCCGATTCTCGTTTCTCCATCTCCTTGATTGCATTACTCTCTTCCTGTTCCCTTCCCTTTTGTTCCCCTCCTCATCCTCCTCCTCCGTCAGGTCGCGACATTCGGTGTGACTTCTCTTCCTCCTACTCCTCCTTCCTCTATACCACTCATACCTACATATTAATATCCCTTCCTCTTCCTTAATTCTATTTCCCCATCAGTCCAAGCTCTGTTGACAGGTAAGCATCTCCCCTCCATTGTCTCCAATGCCGTCTATTCGACTTCCCTCGACCTAATTCCATCTCACCCACCATGCCATATACCACGGTGCTGACATGACAATCGAATTCGCAGAGTATCAGCCATCATGCCTAACGGTGCTCCTTTGATCAACACTGCCAACGGCGCCTCCGCCAACGACAACATCACCCGCTTCGACCCCCCCAGCCGTGTGCTTTCTCCCCTCAACCACACCCTCTTCCACAACAAGACGAGATGTTTCGTATAGTAAGTTCCACTCGGTGGCTCCCCATCCGTGGCTCGTCATTGACAATGGCAACAGTGGTATGCAGCCCCGGGCTGTCCAGGGTATGCTGGACTTCGACTTCATCTGCAAGCGTAGCACTCCCTCCGTCGCCGGTATCATCTACACTTTCGGTGGCCAGTTCGTCAGCAAGATGTACTGGGGTACCAGCGAGACTCTCCTCCCTGTCTACCAGGATGTCTCCAAGGCCATGGCCAAGCACCCCGACGTTGACACCGTCGTCAACTTCGCTTCTTCCCGTTCCGTCTACAGCTCTACCATGGAGCTCATGGAGTGCCCCCAGATCAAGAGCATTGCCATCATTGCTGAGGGTGTCCCCGAGAGAGTACGTTCGACCTGCTGAATTTCGTATCAAGTGGGCCATTGAGACTAACGGTGTGGCAGCGTGCTCGTGAGATTCTCGTCACTGCCAAGGAGAAGGGCATCACCATCATCGGCCCTGCTACCGTCGGTGGTATCAAGCCCGGTGCTTTCAAGATCGGTAACACGGGTGGTATGATGGACAACATCGTTGCCTCCAAGCTCTACCGCAAGGGTTCCGTCGGTTACGTCTCCAAGTCCGGTGGTATGTCCAACGAGTTGAACAACATCATCTCCCAGAACACCGACGGTGTCTACGAGGGTGTTGCCATCGGTGGTGACCGTTACCCCGGTACCACTTTCATCGACCACCTTCTCCGTTACCAGGCCGAGCCTGAGTGCAAGATCCTCGTCCTCCTGGGTGAGGTCGGTGGTGTTGAGGAGTACCGTGTCATCGAGGCCGTCAAGAACGGCACCATCACCAAGCCCATTGTGGCCTGGGCCATTGGTACCTGCGCCAGCATGTTCAAGACCGAGGTTCAGTTCGGTCACGCCGGTGCTTCCGCCAACTCCGACCTGGAGACCGCCGTCGCCAAGAACAAGGCCATGCGTGAGGCCGGCATCCACGTCCCCGAGACCTTCGAGGAGCTTCCCCAGACTCTTGCCCAGGTCTACAACGCGGAGGTCCAGAAGGGTGTCATTGTGCCCCAGAAGGAGCCCGTCCCTCCCAAGATCCCCATCGACTACTCCTGGGCTCAGGAGCTCGGTCTCATCCGTAAGCCCGCTGCTTTCATCTCCACCATCTCCGACGACCGTGGCCAGGAGCTCCTGTACGCTGGTATGCCCATCTCCGATGTCTTCAAGGAGGACATTGGTATCGGTGGTGTCATGTCCCTCCTTTGGTTCCGTCGCCGCCTGCCTGCCTACGCCAGCAAGTTCTTGGAGATGGTTCTCATGCTTACCGCTGATCACGGTCCTGCCGTCTCTGGTGCCATGAACACCATCATCACCACCCGTGCTGGTAAGGACCTGATCAGTGCCCTGGTCTCTGGTCTCTTGACCATTGGTTCCCGCTTCGGTGGTGCCCTGGACGGTGCTGCTGAGGAGTTCACCAAGGCCTTCGACAAGGGCATGAGCCCCCGTGACTTCGTCGACACCATGCGCAAGGAGAACAAGCTGAGTATGTGCCCCGTTGTTTCGTCCATGGGAGAAATTCTTTACTGATCTCGTTTAGTCCCCGGTATTGGTCACCGTATCAAGTCCCGCAACAACCCCGATCTCCGTGTCGAGCTGGTCAAGGAGTACGTCAAGAAGAACTTCCCCAGCACCAAGCTTCTCGACTACGCCCTTGCCGTCGAGAGCGTCACCACCTCCAAGAAGGACAACCTGATCCTCAACGTCGACGGCTGCATTGCTGTCTGCTTCGTTGACCTCATGCGCCACTGCGGTGCCTTCTCCCCCGAGGAGACCGAGGACTACATGAAGATGGGTGTCCTCAACGGTCTCTTCGTCCTTGGTCGCTCCATCGGTCTCATTGCCCACTACCTCGACCAGAAGAGACTGCGCACCGGTCTCTACCGCCACCCCTGGGACGACATCACCTACCTCCTCCCCGCCCTCCAGAAGGGTGGCTCCGAAGGCCGTGTTGAGGTCACCGTCTAATTTCCTACCACCCCCTTTTAATATACTTGCATTTCATGACCTAGTCATAAAATCCGTCCCAGCTGACGTCGGAGTTATGATGGCTTGTTTTTTCTTTTCCTTTTCTGCATTGGCTTGGTTCACTTCATACCTCTTCCCTTCCAACTTACAATCTGTAGTGGCACGTGTGGCATGACTAGCTGATAAGGTTGATGAATTTTACGCGATGATTCAGACAAGGTGCTTTTCATAGAATAATCAATCGTAACTTATGATTCTGAATGACTTTGAAAGAACCCGTACATGATTTCCATAAACCTTCTTAAACATTACCCAAATACTTCCACAGCCAAATGCATCTCCGACGGTGGTTATCTTGGCGGGGAGAGAGGCCCGTCCGGCGCCCCACATCAATGGATTGGCGGCTGAACATACCCGGCAGAAAACCAATCCCATCACCGCCAACAGGTTCATCGCCGGTTCAGTCCAGAGCTCAACCATAGCTCGAGGTTTAGACGCGCAACAAACCTCGATACCAGCAAACAAGCAAGGAGGTCTACTGTCAAAATCGAGCACAACACTCCGCGACCCCAGCCCCGTCCAACCTCAAGACCAACCTCCAACTACAACCTCAACACTCTCACCACTCCAACATCCATCGATCTACAGCACCACCGCGAAACTACCTCCCGGCACCACCAACAGAAAATGGTCCGCATCAAACACCGCTACCTCCTCCTCGACATCCTCTACCCCGACCCGACCACCTGGCCCCGCAAGCCTGTCTCTGTATCCTCATCATCGACCCCGCAACTCCAGATCCACGCGCCCACCTCCGACGCCCTGACCCCGAGTCTGCTGGCCAAACTGGTCCGCGAACAGGTCGCCGAGTTATTTGGTGATTGGGGCGTTGGTCGGCTGGGCGGGGCTGGTGCTGGTGGTGTCAGTGGTATGTTTTCCCCATCCCCCTATTTCCCATTCCCGGGTTTGCATGGTGTGTTGTTGTGGGAGGAGATTGTTTGTTCCTTCTTGTTTGTGACAGCGGATTCGATGTCCTTCGATATTGTCTGTGGACAAGGATGAGGGAGTGGTTCGTTACAAGCTAACTCTTTTTTCTTCGGGGGCAGTCAAATACCTCTCCCCGGCTACATCCACCGCAATCATCCGGTGTCCCCGGGCGTCGTTCCGGCTGGTGTGGATGGCGTTGACGTGTTTGGAGGCCGTGCCTGATATGAATGGCGGGGGACGGAATGCGGCGTTGACGCGACGGTGCGTGGTGCGCGTGGTGCGCGTGTCCGGAACGATGCGGAAGGCCGAGGAGGAGGCGATTCGGCGGGCGAGGCGGGAAATTCTGAAGGTTCGTGGGGGTGTTGACGATGCTGGGGTTTTGGAGGGGTTGGTGGGGGGGTTTGCGGAGGGGGTCTCGAGAGGGAACGATGATGATGATGATGATGATGGTATGGATGTTATGGATGAGGATTTGAGTGATGGTGCGTTGTGAGGGAGTGCGTGCTTTTCTGAGGACTGTACTTTGGCTTGCCGTTTTGATATATTAGAGATACCCTTATTATACAATGGATAGATATTTGATGAAACAAGAAGGAAAATCATGACTTTCGTATCACCTTCACCCCGCCGTTCGGTATCGAGCCTCGGCCCAGATCGCCGTATTCATCGTCGTCTGCGTCGTTGTACTCTCCATGATCTCCTGCCGCGTGCTCACGCGCTTTCGCCTCGGCCTCCAACTGCTGCAGCTCGTGCTCGTCGTACTGCTCCTTGGCGTCCAGCCACCGCTCCTGGACATCCCGCACATCCATCTGGCCCAGCCCCTCCCGCACCGCCACCTGCCAGACGGTGTCGTTGGCGCCCTCGGCGGGCCCGAAGACGTACCCGCTGGCGCGGTCGATGGCATGCAGCAGGTTCATCATGCTCTTCTTGTCCTCGACGGCGAGCGTCTCGAAGGCGACGAGCCCGAACTCCTCGACCAGGTCGACGATGGCCTGGTTTAGCGGGCCGAACTTCTCGTGCGCCAGGCGCGACGACTCGGCCTCCAGGTGCGGCAGGAGGTAGCTGAGGTCCTGCACCTCGGTGTAGTAGTCCAGGTTGAACGGTAGGGGGGCGTAGTTGGCCAGGTTGTCGATCTTGGTCAGCACGTTCAGGTGCGGGAGGTCCATCTGCAGCATGGCGCGCAGCGAGAGGAGGAGCGCGGAGATGTACATCGAGGGGAGGGTGAGGTTGTAGGAGTCGATGAGGTGGATCACGATCATCTATTTATTGCGCCCAGGTTAGTTCTTGGGGGCAGTTGATCCCGTCCGGGGGGAAATGGCGCGCATACTCTATACCCCAGTTTCTGGATCTTGAAGAATATATTGCGCAGGGAGGAGTGGTGGGTGAAGATCTCGACTTGGCCGGGGCAGTCAAAGAGCACGTAGTCATCTTTTTGAAAGGATTACCAGTATCAGTACATTTGGGTCTCTATAGTAGGTTTGGCTTGGCTTGGTCGATCGGGATGGCACGCATACCTCCGAGCTCCTTCAGCCCCTCCTCGAGGAAATCAAAGTTCTCCTCCAGCTCCTCCAGCGCGTACAGCACGCCCCCGTTCGGCCCTAGCTGGTCCTCGCTCATGATCTCCTCCAACGTCACCAGGTCGCGGACGTCCAGCGCGCACGGATACGAGGTCTGGTCGTTGGCGGGGTCCAGGTTCACGATCGAGCACTTGCGGCCGATGGCCCCGAGGAACTGCTGCATGCCGTTGCAGTAGGTCGACTTCCCTGCCCCCGGGGGCCCGATGACAAGCTGTGCGAACGGCATGATTGCTTTTCTCTCTGACAGCTTTTTCCCCTCGAAAAATAATGTCGATGACAATCGAAACTGCGATGATGCAAATGGCATGGCGGGGGAGAAGATTCCATGGAGGGCGGTCAGTGGCGACAGAAAACGGATCTTGAAGCCGGAGCTTCGATGACGCCGGGACCGATCAACAACAGTACGGGTTATTTTGTTCGAAAGCTTCATGAGATCCCCCCCCCGGCCAAGGGAAATCTATACATAGTATCATGGCATCTAGTCAGTTTGCATCTCTCTCCGCTGGGCTGGTCCTGGAACAGCTCGTGCTAATCTAGCCTGCAGATCAATTCGTCGTCGCGTCCCCGCCGACGGACGCTATATCCGCGCTCAAGTTCTCGCCCAGCCCCGACTCCACGCGCATCGTTGTCTCATCGTGGGACAAGAATGTCTACCTGTACGATCTCCGGGATGAGAATGGGGCGGTAGGAGAGGGCAAGTTGCTGCAGAAGTTCGAGCATCGCGCGCCCGTGCTGGATGTGTGCTTTGGCGCAACGGAGGATGAGATCTACACGGCCGGGCTGGATTGGGATGTTCGGAAGTGAGTACGCCTGAGGATTGTGATAATGGTGGTGCTGCTACTTGTTGTCGCCGCCCAGGGGTGCAACGCTTGCCCAAGCCCAGGTACTAACAACCGACAGAATCGACGTCGCCTCCTCCACACAGACCGTCCTCAGCACGCACGAGGCCGGCGTCCGCAGCGTCGTCTACAGCAAGGACCACAACCTCGTAATATCGGCCTCGTGGGACTGCACGCTGCACGTGCACCTGACCAACGACCCCGCCACGCTCCCCGCCGTCATCCCGCTCCCCTCCAAGCCGTTCTCCATGTCGCTGACGGCCACGAAACTCGTCGTCGCCATGGCGTCGCGCGCGCTGCACATCTACGACCTGAAGGCGCTGGCCCTCCTCACCGCCCAGTCGGAGGGCACGGCGCCGGGCTCGCTGAACAAGGTGGAGGTCGAGCCCTGGCAGCGCCGCGAGAGCAGCCTGAAGTTCATGACGCGGTGCGTCGCGTGCATGCCCGACGACGCCGGCTACGCCTCCTCCAGCATCGAGGGCCGCGTCGCCGTCGAGTGGTTCGACCCCTCCGCCGAGTCTCAGGCCCGCAAGTACGCCTTCAAGTGCCACCGCCAGACCGCCGACGACGTCGACATCGTCTACCCTGTCAACACCCTCGCCTTCCACCCCGTCCACGGCACGTTCGCCTCCGGCGGCGGCGACGGCGTCGTCGCCCTGTGGGACGGCATGGCCAAGCGCAGAATCCGCCAGTACCAGAAGCTGCCGTCCAGTGTCGCGGCCGTGGACTTCAGCGCCAACGGCAAGTACCTCGCCATTGCCATCAGCCCGGGCTTCGAGGATGGCAAGGAGGACGTGGCCGAGGGGACGGTCAAGATCTTCGTGCGCGAGCTGGGTGAGACGGAGGCCAAGGGCAAGGGCGCTAAATAAACCAACTACCTTACGCTTCAAACCTAAATCATGAAATCTATATCCTGTGATGACTGCACGCTGAATTGCTTCAAACAACGACCTGTCTATGGGTCGTACGATTACTGGAAAGTATTAGGTAAAGTAGAGTAGTCAACGAAGCTAAATGTTCAAATGGTATCATTTTTATATCGTCTTCAAATCAATGGAGAAACATGTCATACATGGAGATGTACAGCGTCAATTCACGCGGCCGCCTTCCTGACGGAGACCGAACCGTCCGGCATACCGAAGTAGGCGGCAATGGGCTTCTGCCCGCCAACGCCGCCCAGGGCCCGGGCTTGCGGGCCCGTCAAGCCAGAGAAGATGCCGACGTCCAGGACCCCGGGGATCTGCTTGATCGCTCGCGACAGGGCCTCGACCTCCCAGATGCCGTCCTGTCCGCTGCCGTTCTTTCCGGCCGCGACGTCGGACGCCGTCAGCAGGGTCGGGAAGGGGGCGTCGATGATGTAGAAAGCCTGGTCGGTTTTCAGGGGGCCTTGCTTGGGGTCGGTGTTCAGCCGCAGCGCAGGCTGGATACTGCCGATCTCGCGGAGGGCCGTCAGCACGCGGGCGGCGGCGATCGGCGCGACTTCGATGGGGATGTACTTCCAGTTGGACAGGAGGCGCGATTGGAGTTTGCGGGAGTCTGCGCGACGGAACACATGGAGTCAGTCACCCAAGCGTTCGTCTATGTAAATATTCCGAGCGGGCGAGAGAGAGAGAGAGATATGGAGGGGTACGCACCAGCCACGCAGATGAACTCCTTGGCCTGCAGCGCCACGATCTTCTCCTGGAAGAGACAGGCACCACCGCCCTTGATCAGGTTGAGATCGTCGTCCACCTCGTCGGCGCCGTCGAAGGCCACGTCCAGCACCGTGCCTTCCGGGAGCGAGTCGAAGTCGACGGCCGTCAGCCCGGCGGACAGGATCAGCTGCTTGGACTGGAAGCCCGTGGGCACGTATTTGGTCGCGGAGGTGTCGACGCCGGACTCCTTGATGGCCTCGACGACGTAGACGATGGTGGATCCGCTGCCGATGCCGACGAACCTGGCGTCCTTGGGGTAGTGGTTTTCCACGGCCGCTTTGCCGGCGGCGCGCTTTGCGGCCTCGATGACGCTGACGCTGGCCATGGTGGAGTTCCCGCGATGCGAAGATGCGAAAAGGACGGTTGAGATTGGAGGGTGCGGGGAGGGACGAGTGAGCAGTCGGCTAGAAGAGTAACAATGGTGACTGAGCAGCGCAGAAAGGGAAGAAGTCGACCGGGTCCTGCAATTCGTATTAATAGCCCGGTGCTAGACGGAGGAGGGGCTTAAAACTGCCAGATCGGGGGAGAGGAGGAAGAAAGAGGCTACTGCGGAATACGGGCTGGACGGACCAGTTGGTGCCCGCCGCCGGTGGGGTTAATGGACAGGCAGCATGTGGAAGAGTTCACGGAGTTTCCAGGGATCTTTTTGGCTGCCAATTGACGTGCCACTCACAGGATATTGTTGAAGCAGCCACGAGGGATCAGCCCTGCCATAGCTCTAGACTGACACCTCCGAAGCTGATCTGCTTTGGTGGTGTTGAGTACAGAATTGCATAGAATTGCACTGTTGACTTATTGTAATGGTGACACTTTATCCCGGCGGGGTTGTGTTTCGTCATAGTCGTTTTAGCCTCAGGCATCCATATAAAGTCATCCTGCTTGATCCGTGCGTGCATTTATCACGTGTCAGCGCCGAACAAGTGCTCCAACCATTGCCATCAACTAAACTACCAGTACACATCACACATCACACATCACCAGCTACAGCCAGACAACAGAGAACTTCGGTGTTGGTTCTGTTGTCTCCCTTACGCAGAGGCTTGGTTGATAAAGCTCGAGCCTCTCACCATCTCTGCAATCCTCCAACTCCACTCAACATTTTGAGAGCAGATCGGCTCCGCTTATCCGACGATAGCCCCTCATGACTGAAGCTTTCCCCGGTGCCTTGGTAGGCCCATCATCCAAAGAGAGGAAATACGACCGGCAACTGCGGCTGTGGGCTGCAAGCGGTCAACAAGCGCTCGAGGAAGCACGGGTACTGCTAGTCAACTCCGATGGCCCATGGGGTAAACAGAGCACCGGCGTCTCCGGGGTAGTCGGAGTAGAGACCCTCAAGAACCTCGTGCTTCCTGGCATTGGTGGTTTTACCATCGTAGACCCTGCGGTGGTAACGGAGCCTGACCTGGGGGTCAACTTCTTCCTTGAGGAAAATAGTCTTGGGAAGTCTCGAGCCCAGGAGACGTGTCGCTTGCTGAAAGAACTAAACCCCGACGTAGAAGGAAACTTTGAATCCAAGGTATAGTGAACCTGTAAGAAGCATCCTAATCTTTCATGGCCCCAACGCTGACAACGATCAACCGCAGCCGGTCACCGAGCTTCTGCAAGACCCCGAATTTCTACCACAATTCAAACTGGTACTGGTCTCAGGTCCGGCCAACAAGTCGACCTTGATCACTCTCAGCAGTGCTGCCAAAGCTCTTGGCATTCCTGTCCTGTATACGCGCTCAGTGGGTTTCTACTCCACCTTTTCTCTCCAGCTTCCAGCTGTTTTCCCCATAGTAGAGACACATCCGGACCCCGAAAGCACGCAGGACCTTCGGTTGCTCAACCCCTGGCCTGAATTGGCAGCTACTCTGGCTAGCATTAGCAACTTGGAGGCTCTGGACGACCATCAACATGGCCATGTTCCTTACATCTTACTCTTGCTTCACTATCTGGAAAAGTGGAAGGAGACCCACGACGGAAACGTCCCCTCCAACTACAAAGAGAAAACCGCATTCAGAGAACTAGTGCGGTCTGGTGCACGAACGGCCAACCCCGAAGGTGGCGAGGAGAATTATGATGAGGCCGTGGCCGCAGTCCTGAAGTCACTGAACCCTTTCACTTTGCGGAGCTCAATCCGCGAGATCTTCGAGATGGACGAGTGCCACAATCTGACCTCAAATTCGGCGGATTTCTGGCTCATCGCATCAGCGATCAGGGAGTTCTACACGAAACACAACGTACTCCCGCTGCCAGGCTCGTTGCCTGACATGAAAGCAGAGTCAGCCGACTACGTATCGCTGCAGAACATTTACAAGTCTAAGGCCCGGAAGGATATGGCAGAGGTCGTTGAGGTCGTTCGGAGGCTTGAAGCAGAACTCAGCCCCCGACCTGCGCAAGTTGCGGAAAAGGACATTGAAGTCTTCTGTAAGAATGCGGCTCATATCAAGGTCATTCATGGTCGAGACCTTCCTCAATTGAACGGTGAGAAGCACAATGTGAAAGCCATTAACAATGCTCTGGGGGACCCCGAGTCACTGGTCTTGGCTTTCCTCGGCTTCGATATTCTTGATAGTATAATCACCGATATACAGAGCGGCAAGCAAAACGAGGCAGCGTTGGATTCCGCCCTCGCGTGGGAGGCAGGAGTGGATCGGGTGATTCAGTCCCTTACGTCGGAGGCCTCGGCAGCCATCGACGAGGAGACCAAAGAGCGAATTATTCAGGCAACTCAAGAGCTCCGGCGAACGCAAGGCGGAGACTTGCACAATGTGTCTGCTCTCACAGGAGGGCTAGTCGCGCAGGAGGCCCTCAAGGTCATAACAAGGCAGTATGTCCCCTTGGACAACACCTGTGTATTTGATGGGATTAAAAGCCGCAGTGAGATGTATAGACTTTGAATACCCCTTGTCAAACCCTTGACAAGAGTCAATGCTATGGAATGAGACCACGAATAGCCTTTTATCCTGCCATTTTCGAGCGCGGCCGCGCGTATAAGATGTCAAGAGCATAAGCAAGCGAGCCGGCCAAGTCAGCCAAGTCAACGGCCAAGGCCAGCTCACTTCAACATGTCGACTTCGTAGTGGTGGAAGGAGGCGGATGAATCCTGATTATTATACTCCAAACATTCCTCCAAGACTCCAGGCACAAAGGCCGAGCCTCGCGGATTCCCGCCATCATATTATCAACTCTCCCCCTTGCAGACACTCCTTGAATGATCAACATGAGTCCTGTATCTCCTGACATCCACTTTAGATCCTCTTTTTCCTCCATCTGTTTCACTCTCGCTCTTTTTCTCCGTCTAGGTGGACACTCAGGACGATAAAAAAAAAGGAAACGGATGCTGTTACGTCATTCAATTGAAGGAGATTCTGAATAGATGTTTGTCTCAAATAGAGAACCAACATTATCAAAATGGTGCGGGATCTGTGTGGTTTGTGGTCAAACCAGGGGCAGCAGCAACCGCCCAGATTTCTCAAGTGGAGGACATCAGATGCGTTCATCTGCTTCGTGGTGTGCTTTGCCGTCTTCACGGTATAGGACCTTACCCACCCAGGGGGAGCTTTTCTGATATGTTTGCTAACGATTGGTCGTTTGACAGGATGTCTTCATGTATGGGTTGGTACGCTTGGACTCTGGGGCATCAGTGGCGGAATATCCCCGATAGCTTATATTGACCTTCCTCGCAGATTGTGCCCGTGGCCCCAACGGCCCTCCGAGATAGAGTTGGGATGTCCGATGCTGATGGTAAATCCCTTCATGCTTCTCCATGAATCGTTTAAGCTCACCGTACCTCAGTCCAATCATGGCAATCGACCTTGCTGTCTCTCTACGGAGTATCTTTATTAGCCGCTTCACGTGGGTTTCTCCGATCCTTGAACAATTGTGCGGTGCGTACTGACCGATCCTGACCTAGCCATCTGTGGGTACCTCGCCGATAAGTTCCAGTCACGATGGTGGCCGTTTATCGGAGGCCTGGTGGTTCTCGCGGCCGCCACTGCTCTCCTCTGCGTCGGGACGAACCTTGCGTTGTGGATTGTGGGGCGTCTCTTCCAAGGAGCTTCGGCGGCGGTTGTGTGGACTGTTGGGATCGCGCTGCTCGTTGATACGGTCGGGAAGGAATTTCTGGGTCAAGCCTTGGGATATCTGGGAATGGCGACGACCATAGGAACAATGACCGGTCCGCTGCTGGGAGGAGTGGTCTACGGTGCCGGGGGCTACTATGCTGTTTTCGGGATGTCGTTTGGCATCATCGCCTTGGATGTCGTCTTTCGACTCGCCATGATCGAGAGGAAGGACGCACTCAAGTGGCTGCAGGCCGATGGCCGACCGATTGTCCCGGCAGAAAAGCAAGGAAGTGGCAGCGACTTGGAAACTGCTGTTTCACCTGCGGCCTCGGAGGGCCCGAAAAGTCCCCAGCACGGCTGCCACGAGCAGGAGCGCTCCTCCTCCTCCGCCTCGACAGATGATGATGGATCCACCAAGAAACGACCCAGCACCATGTATACACTGCTGACCTCGGGCCGCATGATGACGAGCATGTGGGCGTATTTCATCCTCTCCCTGACTCTGACCTCGTTCGACAGCGTGCTGCCGCTCTTTGTCGAGCAGAAGTTTGGCTGGGGTCAAACCGGCCAAGGGCTCGTCTTCATCGCGATCTCCGTCCCCCAGATCCTCGACCCCGTGGTGGGGTATATTATCGACAACTACGGCCATACGCGACGGTACATGACGACGGCGGGGTTCCTCGCGGCCGTGCCGGCCTTAGCCTGCCTTCGCTTTGTGACCGAGAACACGGTTGGCCACAAAGTGCTTCTGTGTGCGCTGCTTGTCCTGATCGGGATCTGCTTCTGTCTGATCATGTCCCCGATTCTGGTGGAGGCGACCTACTACGTGCAGGACCGGGAGGCGGAGACGCCGGGGATCTTTGGCGAGGGCGGAGCCATTGCGTTTGCGTACGGGGTGATGAACATGGCGTACGCGGTGGGGACGATCATCGGGCCTTTTTTCGCGGGCTTCATCAAGAATGATGCCGGTTGGAGCACGATGAGTTGGGCGTTGGCGTTGATGTCCGGTGTGACCGGCATTCCGACCTATATATGCCTGCGGCGCACTGCGAGAGACGGGGCGTCTTCCAAAGTCGGGTCGCCCTGATCAGATGGTCAATTGTGGTGTCTTGTGTCTTGTGGTGGTGCGAGATCTGGCTTTTTGGGCGGTGTTTCTGGAGTTGATGCCTTTTATGACTACATACGAATCAGCTAGATTGGCTTGACTAAATTTGAGATAATGATATTACTTACCGTGAGGATAAGATAGGCAGATAAGTGCTGAGGTTTGGTGGTGTAGGTACTGCTCTTATTGCCTGTGATTTGAGGAAGTGCAGTGCGTAAGTTGTAGTAGTGGTCATCAGAAGTTACAGACCGTCTACTGCAGTGAGACCTCCGGACCTCCGTTGTTGCCAGCCGAGGGAATCTGCCCCAGCGGGAGGGTGCCCCAGGCTGCGGTGCCCAGGCTGCCAGGTGCTGTGGTGGATCTCCCCGCAAACCGGACCCACCATTGCCCACTGCACCACCGGCACAATCTACACATCGGGATCCCATTGCATTGCCATCAGCCGGACTCGAGGGAGACAAGGTCGGTACTAAGGTACTGTACCAGACACTACAGGAACAGAATGACCGGTACATAAAGTTCCCTACTGATGGCTAGTCCAGCCAGTCTTCCTCTTCTCTCCCTCCCCCCATCCCTTCCACTCTACCATTAATCTCCCAAGTCTCCAATCACCATGGCATCCCCCCAGATCCACCACGCCAGCCTCCAAGCCACCTTCACAGGCATTAAACGAGAAATCGACGGTGTTCCCATTCACGAGTTCCGCGGGATCAAGTATGCCGACATTCCGGCGCGGTTCGAGCAAGCTCAGCCGCTGGAGAGCTTCGATGGCGCTACCGTTGACGCTACGCGATACGGGTACGTTACTATCTCCCTCACCCTGCCTTATTGTCTATACTTGTCTCCGGGCCCAACTAAGCAGTCGCGATCTCAGACCGAGATGTCCGCAGGTTGAGGTCGACGTCCGACATCTCCTCCGCATCCCCGAGGATTTTGTGATTGAGAAAGAACCCGAGGATGAGTTTGAATGCCTGAACTTGAACATTACCGGCCCTCCCTTGGCTGCGTCCAGGGGACCGCTTCCAGTGCTGCTCTGGATCTATGGTCGGTGCCTTTGACTACATGGAGGGGTTGCTCATGTGGTTAGGAAAGTGATTACTGATTGTGACGCGGTTCTACAGGCGGGTCACAAGCTGTGACGTTTTGTTCTGCTGCGTCGAAGATTTGCGGTACGCTTGTTTGGTGACTGGACCCCAGCCGGGAATGTGATCTGACTACGTGGGAGACTCTAGATCCGATCAAGATTGTGGGTGGTTCGATTAAGAGCGATCAGCCTGTTGTCTTTGTGTCGTTCAACTATCGACTCAATGTTTTCGGGTTCGGTGACGGGACGGAGAAGAATCTGGCACTCAAGGACCAGAAGTTGGCCATCGAATGGGTGCGGAGGAATATTACTGCCTTTGGGGGTGATCCGGTAGGTGACTGGGAGGTCTGTTTACAGGAGAAGGGTTTGTTGTTGATTGTCTCATGTTCCAGGAAAACATTACGCTGGCCGGGGAGAGTGCTGGCGCGGTCTACGTGCACGCTCATCTTCTCACTGGCACGCCGGTGAAACGAGCGGTTCTCGCATCCGGCTCCATCTATCTCTCCAGTCCTCTGCCTTTGGAGAAAGGACAGGGCCTGATTGCGACATTGGAAGCCAAAGTCCAAGACCTGGGCCAGCCTTCTCTCCGTCATGCTTCGGTGGCGACCATCGTTCAGGCTATAGAGGAGTGTAAGATGAACTCTTTTTGGCTCCAAGAAGACGAGAGCTTCGACGGTTGGGAGGCGAAGCCGGAGCTGGTGGAGGAAGTCATGATTGGGGATGCAGAATACGAGGTGAGCGCTACAACTCTGGTGTTAGGTTTCGACTGACCGCAACATAGTCGGTCATCTGGAGGAACGGCATTGAGACGCTCGATGGACCAACCATCGCTGCTGCTTTCGAGCAAGATCCCGCATGGGGACATAAGCTGCGCAAACTATACCAGGTCGTGGCCGATCGCCCGACAGCTTGCAAATTGGGAGCTCTTGATCTACTTCACGACACGCGTTACTCTCTACCGGTGGAGGTCGTCTCTGACAAGCTCCGAGCGGCAGGCAAACGGGTCTACAAGTATGTCATCGACCAGGTCAACCCTTGGCAGGCCTCTAGCCGAGCGCACCATGCCGTGGACCTTCTGTTCTTGTTTGGGGGCGTTGATCTATCATCTAACCGCGCCGCTGAAACAGTTGGACGAGAGATGAGGGAGCGGTGGGTACGCTTTACAAATGGCCGACAGCCATGGTCAGAGGCACGACGCTTCGCCTTTGGACCGCTTGGGGAATGTCAGGAGATCAACGAGGAGCAATTCGCTGCCCGACGACGGGTGGAGCATTTCCAGGTGCTGCGAAAGGCAGGCATGGGTGTGTACATGCCCGTTGTGTTTGGCGTGTCGGCGGGGAAGATTAGTCTCATGAATTGATGATGTAGAGTAGAGTATAACTATACTCAGTAGTAGAAAATGAGGAAATGAGGAGGAGATGGAGGCGAGCCCGGCAATTCTGGGCTGTTTGGAGATCCGAGATGGTGTTTCGTCGTTTTCCCCCACTGTTACTCAGATCTTACTCATGTGGGGTCACTCCACAAATGATCCCCAGCTTCCCTTCCACCTCCTCCTCTTCGGCAACAATCCTCCCTCGCGACATGCCGAACTCGACCTCTTGCCTCCTTGTGGCCTCATAACCTCCTTGTTCTCGCGCTCAGGTCAGCCAGCCACCCAGTCAACATCACTCTCTGGTTTCCGGGATAGCCGGTGGTCTCAATAATTCGTTCATTGTTCATTGTTCATTGATCCCCGTTGACCCCACAAACTGAAGTATATCAGGATGGCTCGACGCCGGGGTTCCATGCCTGACAATTTGGCATTCGGTCTTTCAAGTCCATAGCAACAAGTTATCGCTTTGATTCGTTCTATCCCCTCGTTCTCTCTCTGTGATTCAACTCCTCCAAATCAATATGCCTTCCACAAGCGACCTATCAGACCCCCAAGAGTACCAGAAGATCTTCCACTGGGCAGAGACGCAAAAGGACGGCACTATCCCGTCGTTCAACACGCGGCGGAATGATCCTTATGAGGTATGCTACTGCTATAAAACATGTACTCGTGCTAGCACAATGCTGACCCATCCATAGTACCAAGCCGGGTTCGGCAACGCGTACGTTCAACTGTTGTCCTCCATCAGCGATTCAACAAGCTGATGTAGCATGCAGATTCGTCTCAGAGGCTGTCCCTGGCACCATTCCACAGGGTCAGAACAGTCCCCGTAATGTCCGATTCGGTCTGTATGCGGAGCAGATCACGGCCAGCGCCTTCATCGCCCCCCGACACTGCAACAAGAAGGCCTGGCTGTATCGTGCTCGACCGGCCGTGGCACACCAGGGATTCGTAAGTCGAGCGAGAGGTGGCGTTCTGTCTCGACGGACCAGACCACAGACTGACGCACACATCAGACCAGTCTCCCCGACAACAAAGACACAGAGGCGAACTTCCTCCCTATGAACCCCCGCGTCCACGTGTCGCCCACCCAGCTGGCCTGGTTCCCCTTCGACATTCCTAGCGGCGAGCAAGTGGACTTCGTCGACGGACTCAAGACTGTGGCCGGCTCGGGCGAGCCCACCCTCCGCGAGGGGCTGGCGACGCACGTCTACACGGCGAATGCCAACATGACGAAGAAGGCCTTTGTCAACTCCGACGGGGAGATGGTGATCTTGCCCCAGCAGGGTGCACTGGACATCCAGACCGAGTTCGGGCCTTTGTTCGTGCAGCCCGGCGAGCTGGTGGTCATCCAGCGGGGCATCCGGTTCCGGGTGGAGTTGCCCGATGGGCCGTCGCGGGGATACATCCTCGAGATCTGGGGCAGTCAGTTCGAGCTGCCTGAACTGGGCCCGCTGGGTGCGAATGGTCTGGCCAACGCGCGGGACTTCCTCGTGCCCACCGCCAAATACGAGATCGCGCAGGAACCGTGGGAGATCGTGTACAAGCTCGGCGGGAAGTTCTTCAAGAGCACACAGAACCACAGTCCGTTCGACGTCGTCGCCTGGCATGGTAACTATGTACGCTTGTCCCCTCCTCGGAACCGTGTAAAGGCACTGACAGAGACAGGTCCCATACAAATACGACCTGACCAAGTTCGTCAACGTCGGCTCCATCTCCGTCGACCACATCGACCCTTCTATCTTCTGTGTCCTGACGGCCAAATCGCGCGACCTGACCGCTCCCTTGGCGGATGTGCTTATCTTCTCCCCGCGCTGGGATGTCGCATCACGTAGGCCCCCGACCACCGTCTCCTCGTTACCCTTCGATCCTAACAGAGTTTGGACAGACACCTACCGCCCGCCGTACTACCACCGCAACGCCGCCTCGGAACTCATGGGCCTCCTGTACGGCGACTATGGCGGCCGCTCCGACGCCTTCCAGCCGGGCAGCGTCTCCTTCGAATGCGGGAGTAAGTCCTGCCCTTCTTCTTCCCCTGCCCTTCTCCATCTAATCTCAACCCAACGTATCGTAAGTAATATAACTAACATCAATGAAGTGGTCCCCCACGGCGTCGCCTACGAGGAATTCCAGTCCGCCACCGCCACCGCGCCCCCGGCGATGCAGATCTCCCAGGCCTCCATGGCCTTCATGTTCGAGTCGAGCCGCCCCTTCACGATCACGGAGTACGCCTGGACTAGCGAGAAGCGGCACGAGCACGAGCCGAAAATGTGGGATGACCTGGTCGATCATTTCTCCGAGCATACGGCGGAGATCGAGGCGTTGTTGGCTGCTGCTGCCAAAGGGGGGAGAGTTTGATTATCGATTACCTAATTGGGTGGGGGGGTGACGGTCTTGAGGTAGAGGAATTGTATATAGTTAGTGGGTGGGTGAGTGAGTGAGTGCTCGGGTTGGTTGGTGTCAGTGTTCGTGTTAGCGACAATTCTGAGTTTTATTTATGACCTATGGCTTGTGTTGGGTGAGTTGGGTTGAGGTAGTATAGTCCAATAAAGTCAATTCCCTGCGTTAGATGAACAGATGTATAGCCTAGCGAGACAGATGGTATAATACCGCTACCGCTGAGATATAACAAAAACAGGGCGTTTACTGTCAAATAGGATCTGCGAGGTACTGGACGTGAGCAGAGCTCAAAGAGCTAAGTTTGTGCTAATGTACCCGTGCACTGTAAAGCACTGCCCAATGCAACGGCCATATACACAACAGACCATACAGCCAGGCCCCCCCCCCCAGGCTCCAGCAATGCATGGAACCTCCACTGCCAGGTCTGCCGCAGCCGGTGTCGAATAAACTCAGTAGAGCTCCTTCCTCACTTGTACATACAGTATTGTACAATATGCAGTCCAGGCATTGTCTAATGCGCGGTAAGCTTATGCCTACCTTTCCCTCCCGCCAGCCTCTGCGGTTCTTGCTGCGGTTGGAGGCTGGATGTGCCGAATTGGGGCGGGGGGGGGGGAAACTATATCATGTTACATAGATCATGAGACAGCGAGAGTGGTGAGAGTGGTGAGCCGTGAGCTGTGGAGAACCTCTGCGCTGGTTGGGGATGCTGCTGCTGCTGCTTCCTGGTTGGTGGGATGCTGGAAGGGTCAAGATAGATGGAGCCCAGAAGCACAGAGTAAGTCTATGAATGGAGAATGACGCTATCCACTGTACTGCACTGTGCCTGTGCCTGTGCCTGTGCCTGTGCCTGGGGCAGTAAATAAAGGGACCAAGGTATGGATGGCGGTGAGCTGGCCACCAACCCAACAGGCGGTTGCCACTGTGCCTTGCCGTACTATGATTCCTACTAGTACTTACTTCATAGCTACAGAGTTGGATTTTGGAAAATCATGCAAGTCCAGCCGCTAGAGTGTAGCAGCCCTTCTGTCCTGGATATCACCCCCCGTCCCCCAAAACGACAGGACACTTGATGTCAAAATTCTGGACCTCAGAAACGTCCTTTCATGGGTCTCGGTCTCCAGGGGCAGAAGTAAAGACACACTTCGGATGCATTCAGACTTAGGCCTCCGGCAGAGCTAACTGCTCGACCTTCTTCCGCCCATCAGCGTCGTCATCTGAAGGGGCACGGCGGCGAGGACCAGCAGCCCCGCCAACGCAACCGCCAAGTAGAAGGTCGAGCGCACGGCGAGGTCATACGAGAGGGCGACGGCGGCGACGTCCTGCGCGGGGACCTTGCCCTGCAGATCGGTGGCGCCCAGATGGATCACGCGTTGCGGGTCGAGATCTGGGGCCGTGGCCTGCAGGGCGCCCGTGAGGCGGGTCAGGAAGACCGCCTGCGCGATGCTGATGAAGACGGCCTCGCCCAGATCCTGCGAGAAGGTCATCAGGGCCATGCCGGCGGAGAGGTCGCCGAGGCCCAGCACCGCCTGCGCCGCGATGAACGGGATGGATACGCTGCTGCCCGACCCGATCCCCAGCAGAATCAACGACGCAATCCACAGCCCCGTGGGCGTGGTCGGCGAGAAGCGCGTCATCATGGCCACCCCGCCCACCACCAGCAGGCCCGCCGGGATCATGATCGGGGTGTAGATCCCCGTCATTGACATGAAGCGGCCCGCTGCCATCGCCGACACGAGGACAGCAATCACCAAGGGGAGGGTGTAGATACCCGACTGCAGAGCTGTGGCTCCCCGGACCGTCTGGAACCATATCGCAAGCTACAATATCCACACCCGCGAGCGTGCTCCCATTAGCTTGGAACCCCGAGCCGTGGCGAAGCAAGAAGGGGACCTTACATAGTATTGCACGATCGCGCGACACGCCGAGAGCGAGAGACTGAAGAGGGCCCCCGCGAGGATGACGCGTTGCTTGAGGATCCGTGGCGGCAGCATTGCGCTGTCCTGCTTCCAGTGCTGGATGAAGCAGAAGACCGCGAAGGCGATGGGTGCGAGCACGAGGAGCGCGATGATCCGCGCGCTATTCCAGCTGTACGTCTCTCCGCCCCATTGCAAGGCGAGGAGGAGACAAAGGATGGCGGGGGCAAAGAAGAAGCACCCTAGGAGGTCGAGTTCGCGGAGGCGCTCGATCTGCGATTTTCGAGGGCCCGAGGGCATCTGGGGGAGCGTGAGTAGCAGGAGCATGGCGGCCGGTGCAGCCGCGGTTGGGAGGTTGATGTAGAAACACCATCGCCAGGAGAGGGCGGAGGTCAACGCGCCCCCAATGATGGGCGCCGTGGCCATTGCGGTGTACTCGCTGGCACTGATTACGCCGAGGTAGGCGGCTCGTTTTTGGAGCGGGGTGGACATGGCGACGATGCTGAAAGAGAATTCTGGTGCCGTTAGTGCCTTCGCGCTTACTTCGGAGGCTGTCTCATCTTAGAGGCAGACTCACACCATACACCCCTGGCTGATGCCCGAGAAGCCGAGCCCGGTGATGGCTCGTCCGATGATGAAGACCAGCGAGCTGGACGCAACCCCAGACACCAGAATCCCGGCCTCAAAGATGACCATATTCACGAGGAACACCCATTTGATCGCGTAGTTGTCGTAGAGCTTCCCCTGGGAGAGCTGGGACATGCACGAGGTGAGCCGGAAGGCAGCATCGTACCAGCCAACGTCGTCCACTGAGCCGAATTCATCGGTGATGCTGGGGATGGCCGTGGTCAGAATCGTTGCATCCTAGCGAGAAGATCAGTTTCGGACCTGGCTCGGGGTTGACGGGATTGCAGACGTACCAGTCCAACCAGAAACACACAGAGGCAGAGCGATATGCAGATCAGAAGCAATTGCAGTCCCTGCGCGTAGTTGTGCGTCTCCTCTAATTGCTGGGTTGCGGGATCCTCGGAGCGGACGAGACCGTCTCGACGCTTGTCTGGGTCTTGGCGTCGGCTGCAGAGGGCCATCATCTCCGATTTGGGTGAGAGCGATTTGGTGCTCCATGGACACTGTCTAGCGATGGGCAATGCAGTTCTCACGCTGCGAGAGACAAAACAAGGAAGAAAGAGAGAAAATACAGGGCATGAGCCTTGTCTGTAATGGGTAGATAAACAGCTGGCAACCCATGGCAGCCGGTGTCAGCTCGGACTCCGATGCAGCATGCATTATCTAGGAACCTGATAAGACTAGTCCAGTGGCAAGCTTTTTTTTTTTCTGAGATCATCGTTCCTGTTTCTCACTGGCACCGTCTCGGATGCTAGGAAGCGCAGTGGCAGGGATTATCACACTCCTAGCAGGGCTCGATCACCACCCTGCCTGATTAGACGCGAACTACTGACCGTCAGTGGGAAATGAATCAACGGACGAGCAGCACAGAGCGTCATTCAACTTATCAGTGCCGAGTAAGGGCTGAGGTGGCTTCTAACCTGAGCCCAGCCTTCTGCTTGCTCCTACCGCAGATCAGACATCTGACGGTCCGGAGGGGGAAAGGTAAACTGTTCTTAGCGATTGAGCTTAACGTTGTTGCCTTGGCAGAATCATCTCCTTGTGTCAGATCGCACTCCTTGGAATGGAAGCTCTTCCATTGGTGTCGAGATGCCGTCCTACCTTACCGCAACCTGAATCGAGACCTGCTGCAGACCGGGGGAGACACAAGTTCTTTGCAAGTAACATTCTCCCTCTCGTCCAAGTACACCTCCACTCCCTCCCCTGGGAACGACGAACTCCAGGAACCTCGCAGGATATCAGTCTCTCCTCCCAGCTGACTGAAAGCTGCCCTTTCCATTCAAAGCCTCGACACATGGCCAACGAAGCCGTCCTTGGTCGGGTGGCACTCATTCCTCTGTGGCAGGGTCTTCTACAGAGAAAGTCCTCATGCATCTCCGACGTACGTCGATAAATGCAGTGCCATGATGGACGCCTAAGCCAGACCACGAGTATTGTTGGTGGGGGTATGGGATAGGCAGCCTCTGACGAAAAGACTTGATTCCGGCACCGGGAGCTGTGTTGTGCGCTGGGTCCCGACGGAGATGCATGGCACTTGGCAAGAGGGAAGCGAGGAAAGTCTGAGTCAAATTCCGTGATATGCGATGTGTTGAGTTCAACTTGGATGGGGTGTTGTAAATTCGGAGGACTGGGTGCGATGGAGTCAGATGATGCGTGGTGCTGTTGGTTAGTAACTGCATCGTGCCGGGCAAGCGGACGGAGCTTTATCTTGCAGCGAAACATTTAGTAAGGACCGCACCGCGGGCAAGAGAGAAGCTGGGTGGCACCATTGTCAAGGCAACCTGCCTTCTTGAAGAGGGATTCGTCTATTCGCATGATAACACTCACCAGCAATGGCTTATCTGTGTAGCGGGTCTACAAGCCGGTGACTACACCAACTCACACATTGTATTTATTCCAACCGAAAGATTGGAAAGATTAGAAACTCAGCAACAGCAACACCAACACCAACAGCAGCAGAAACCGACTTCAACACGGTCTTTTATTTTCATGAATTTGGTATCAACACGGGCCAGAAAATACGGACATACAATTACTTTAAACGGCGTAGACGGACCGCGGGCCCCTGCTGTTGTATCCCTTGGGTTTCGAAATATCCTCCCCCGGAATCCTCTCGAAGGAAGTCGACGAAAGAAAAACCTCAACTTTGCCGGCGGGGAGGTGGAAAGGAAAATGTCTATCACAACGAAGAAACTGATTACAGGAAGTAATCCGGGGTGCGCCTCGAGACCATGGGCTCTCCTGCGCGCGGGCAGGGATCGAATTGTAAGCTAGAACGGCAGTGTTAGCGAGGTCAACTTCGAGCAGGTGCGGAAATCCGACGGTACGTACAACGTGTACTTGAGGTGCTCGTCAATCTCCATGATTGCGGCCTGGTTGCCGCAACGGTAGCAGTAATTAGGAGCTGCGAGAGGAACTAAGGTTAGCCGCGTCATCCAAGCCGATATTCCGGTTAGAAAGTACCTGAGAAAATCGTGACCACATTTCTATCCTGCGACCAGTTGTAACCCTCCATTACCAGCTGGTGCGCCCGTGCAACCAGAGTCAAGCCGTTGTTGTGATTGAACGCCTCCGAGATGTCCTGTCCGAATGTGTAACCCGCACCACGGGGAGAGATTCCCCAGCCGCATCGGTCGTCGGGGTCACTCCACAGCAGATCGCACATGGGGCCTTCGTGCGGCACCTCCTGGATGCGGTCCAGGGAGCGGATGTTGTCGAGCGTGTCGATCGACGGACTCAGACCGCCGTGCAGGCAGAAAATCTGGTTCTCGATGAGTGCGGTGAGGGGGAGATAGTCGAAAAGGTCGGTGAAGTATTTCCACACGTTGGCGTTGCCGTATTTGCGCAGGCACTCGTCGTAGAACCCATAGACTTGTGTGATCTGGCGGGACTCGTGGTTTCCGCGCAGGATGGTGATACGCTGCGGGTAGCGGATCTTCAAGCAAACAAGGAGTGTGACGGTCTCGACGGAGTAGTAACCACGGTCGACGTAGTCACCTACACGGGGAGGTCGGACACGCGCGTTAGTCGGACGGGCAGACACACGCACACGCACACAAAGAATGAGGTATCGCCGCATGCTTCCACTTACCCATGAAGAGGTAGTTCGTGTCGGGGTTGGGACCACCGATGCGGAAAAGCTCCATCAGATCGTGGAACTGGCCGTGGATATCACCGCACACAGTCACTGGGCATTTCTGCGGAGAGGCGGGTTTCCGGTCAGCCCGATCGGTCGCGACAGCTGAGCTCTCGTAGGTGGACGGGGCCAGCCAGAAGAGTCGTCATGAACATAATCAAAGGACACATACCACGGGCTGAACGTTGGACTCGTCTTGCAGTACCTCTCGCGCCTATATGAGGAAAAAACAAAACCATGATTAGGAGCTGGTCGACAACAGCGAGCTATCCAATCGACAGAAAGACACACCCGATCACACAACCTTCGAACATCTTCCTCTGCCAGTTGCTTGCAGGTCATCAAGCTCTCGATCCAACCGTCGAGGGTGGGTATGGAACCCGGGTCGGTCGTCGGGGAAAGGTGGTGAGGTTCGGGCGACCGCGCGGTATCGATTTCCATATTGTTATCCATTGGGAAGACCACCGAGGGGAGTTGCAGGTGGTAGGGAACGAGATTCGGGCGAGAGCAGGCGGCAAAGGACGTGGGGGTGTGAAGGAGGAAAGGTCTCGTGAGGTGAGGTAAGGCGGGATTCTTTTCTTTGGGGGTGGACGAGAGGGGGGGGAAGCAAGACGCCCGGGACGAAACGAGACCTAATTTGGGGCAACAGGAGGGGGGAGGAAGAGGAGGAGAAAAGCGACAAAAAAGGCTGTCGCTGGAATAACTAGGCGATAGCAATAAGGATGAAAGGGGATTTGCAGTTGAAGAGTTGAGTGGGATGGGGGAAGACTGTTGGTGGGGAGGGGGAAAGGGAGCTGGGCTAGAAGGAGGTGGAGAGGTGTGAGATGAGATGGTTTAGCAATCTGCCAGGGTGGACGGGCATCAGAGCAGGAGCAGAGCAGGAGCAGAGCAGAGCAGCAGAGCAGCAGTTTAGCAGTTCAATAGTCAGTCAGTCAGTCAGTCAGTCAGTCAGTCATATCTGCAGTGCCCGCCGCCCGTGCGTGCGCCACACCGCACACCGCCCGCCGCCCACCTTTCTGCCCCAGGAATTTTCCCTTCCTGCGCCACACTTGGGATTCTCTCGGTTGTGCTGTGGACTGTGGCACGGGCGGAGAATCAAATCACAATACGCAGTACGCAGTCTCCCATAACCGACATTTACAACACTGACGACAATCACAGCAAGGCAAATACAGTGGCCGTCTTGCACATTTCATCAATCATCGATTGCACGAGTTTACAAATTAAGTACAAGATATTGCATTCATTCATTTCCATAATGGCCAGTCAGTCCCGTGGAGCATTTTCGTCATTAAGTCATACTACATCCTCCAATAATTTTGGGCCGGAGTGTGGTTTAGATGATGTCACCGCCGCCAAACCCGCCAAACCCGCCGAATCCTCCTCCTCCTCCGCGTCCGCCGAAGGATGGTCCCCGCCCCCCTTGTCCAAACGGTGCGCCATCCCCGGGTCCAACAGGATCATATCGTGCTCCTGGAGGAGCTTGGGGATCGTAGCCTCCTCTTCCTCCTCCACCTTGCCGTCCGGCAAAGAGGGGATCATCGAAGGTCGGATGCATCCCACCCCCGCCGCCTCCCACAAGCCCCGGGCCAACACCACCATAAATCGGATCATGGGGACCCAGACCTGCTGGATAGAGATCCCGATCGCCGATGCTCAGTGGGTTCCGACCGCCCATTCCTTGGTATCCTCGAGGGGGTCTCTGGATCTCGAACTCATCCTCGAAGCCCGGCGGAGGGAAGTCGCCGGCCGGGATCGGTCGGCGGGGAGGTACGGCTAGAGGGTCGTGGAACGGATAAGGGCGAGCAGGTTGGGGGAGGGAATCGTCCCGGAGAGGGTCATGTCGCGGTGGCCGCTCCTGTTGCACCTCCCGCAACTGGCGGCCAGTATCCTCGTATCCTTCCTTGTATAGCCCCGGGGCGAGTTTCTGGATGACATTGATTTTGAATAGGTTGATCAGATCTTGGACCCGCGGGGGCGAGATGAAGGTTTCTCTGAGGGCGCTGGGGAGATCGGCAGCGGAGGACAAGGGGAGCGCGGATTCGGAGATGTAGTCTTGGATGGGGAGGTCGAACGAAGTCGTCTTGTCGTCACCCAGGGCCAGCGCTAGCACCACGGCTTTGTTGCCCAGTCGACTAATCTTGAGCAGATATTGCATGGAGGACTGGGAGTGCGCGTAGCGAAAGGCGAAGCTGGTGCTCGCGTTCCAGTCGGCTGGTAGACGCGGGCTGTCGGACGAGCTTTCTGTAGATGCCCTTGAGATTAGTAAATAATGCTTGTAAAAGAAACGGCGCAGATATCGCGTACCAAGATTGTGGTCCTCGCCCAGTCCGACGAGTCGAAAGCCCACGGCTGTCATGCAGGCATGGCCGATCACAGCGACAGCCTCGTAGGGGGTTTTCAGGCTGGGCGACGCGCCGTCGTCCTGACGGATGGCCGTCGCAGCAAGCTCCAAAACATCGTTCGGATTCAAAGCATCTGCCATGACAGTGTATGCTGAGATTGTGGGTCGGTTCAGATATGCAAAGATGGGGTAAGTAAGTAGAGTTAGAGTGACGGTGGCGTAAAATGTCCGTCCGTGGGAGATGTTCTTATCGGCTGGAATGAGCTTACATTACGACGCCTATCGCTGCCTGGCCGACCGCATTGGGTTTAGTGGTTTAGTGGTAGTCACTTGGAGCTGAGCTCTTCGACAGCACTTGCGCGGGGTGAATGTTTTACAGCTGGATACAGTTGAACTCAAAGGTGGTCTCCCTCCTTTTCAGAGTATAGCTATAGTTCAGTGCAGGTTCTTGATCATGGCTGTCATGGGGCCTTATCCCATTCGTGCTTTCCGAGGCACATATATATCCCAACGCGCAGCGGCTCCCGCTACTACCAGCTGGGCTTGTACAGTATAGCATACAGTTGAAGGCGACAACCTGAACCTAGTCAATCCTGACCTCAACCGGCGTATCCCCCTGCCTCCTCCAATCCCCCATACGAAAAGCCTGCAAAGCCTTCAACCTCTCGACCACGCCCCGCACCCTGCCCAACCCACTCAAATCCGTCCGATACGCCACCGCCATCTCAACAGCCGGCACCAAACAAACGTCCGCCAAAGTCACCTCATCCCCAACGGAGTACATGCTATCCGCACCGTACCGCTCCAAGAGCCGCTCATACGCCGTCAACCCGGCGACATTCACCTCCTGCACAAAGGTCAGCTGGTCCTGCACCTCGTCGCGGATCTGCCGCACGCGGCGCGCGATCCGCCCGTTCGAGAGCGGCTGGATGTCGTTGGTGATGAGGTTGACGAGCTCGCGGACCCGGGCGCGCTGGAGCGGTGCATGGGCGGGCGGCAGGAGCGGCGCGCGGTCCGGGTGCGCTTCTTCCAGGTATTCGAGGATGGCCACGGATTGTGTGAGGATCGTCTCCGTGCCCGTCGTCGCGTCCGTGATGACCAGCACCGGCAGGCTGTGGCTGGGGTTGAGGGCGGCGAAGGCGGCGGTTTCGTGCTCCGCCGCGCGGAGGTCGATGTAGTGGTGCGTGAAGGGGAGGGATTTGTGGTGCAGCGCGATTACGACGCGGTTGGCGCAGGTGGATTGGTAGTAGGTGTAGAGGGTGTAGGTTATTTCGGTGGGGAGAGGGGGAGGCATTGTAGAGGGTGGTGGGGGTGTTGTTTATTGTGAGTGAGAGGTAAATACTAGAGGTGCTTTTAGGTTGAGTTTGGATGAGGTCGATGAGGCAGGTAGGTGTAGTGGGAATTGTAGTGGGAGGTCGAGTCTGATTTGTAGTATCTGCGATCTCAGGGGCCTCGTCATCGTTGAGCAGCTTGTCTCAGTTGAGATGGAACTGATAAGCACTAGGCTGTGTCCTGGTGCTTGCTAATCTCAAGCATCTTAGCGTCAGGGAGAATGGTGTCATTTGATATGGTTGTAATCTCCGAAAAGCGACTAAGTGTATGGTGAAACATGTTCATGATCACGGTCATATATCTAAGAATAGTACCTACGCAGTAAGTGAGTGTGAGCAGATCGGGTTGGCTACGATTGGTCCCGTGTGAATTATATGAATGCCTGCATTCAATTATAATTGTTGCAATCAAGGACTAGACTATAGCATGGCCTTGGGGAACTTCTTCATCGCTTGGCGCACACCAAGATCAGCCAAAATCTCCTCCGTGCCACCCAGAATGGCATCGAACTTGTACGTCCGGTGGAACATCTCAATCACCCTGCCCATTCCCGTCTGCGTTAGACCGCGGCCTCCGAAGATGTTGGTAGCTTGTTCGGCGATCTCCTGAGCTGAGCGTGTGGCGTGGGATTTGAGCAAGCCGATGGGACCGCCCAGATGAGCGGATTGCTCTGCATAGCTCATGTTGCACATTTGGTACGCGATGGATTCGAGCCAAGCTTGGTTGGATTCGCAGAGAGAGATCATCCGAGCGAGCCTGTAGTTCCATACATTAGCGACAATCTACGGGGAAGGATCTCAGTGGTGAGCTTACTTTTGCCGCATTACTGGCTGCTCAATCAGCTTCTTACCGAAGACGATGCGCTGGTTGCACCATTTCAGACACTCCTCGACAATGGTCGCACACATGCGAATGACGCTGCTGGCCATCATGAAACGCTCGTGATTGAAATTGCTCATGATCACGATGAAGCCCTTGTGCTCTTCACCAAGGAGATTCTCGACCGGCACCTTGACATCCTCGAACTGCACGAACGCCGTTGCGGCAGCGGTGGAATAGGAGGTCTTGATCTGCTTCGTCTCGACACCCTCCCCACGAGGGATCAGTAGCACCGAGAAGCCTTTCTCTGTCCGACAGCCGGTGACGAAGTAGTCGGAGAACATGCCGTTCGTGATCCATTTTCTGCACGAGTCAGTACGTGTGGCCCAGTGCAGGGTTGATGGTCATACTTGGTTCCATTCACAATGTAGTACTTCCCATCTGGGGTCTTCTGAGCCGTGGTGCGTAGACCAGCAACATCGCTGCCCGCAAAGGCTTCCGTGATGGCAAGACACATCTTCTTTTTGCCAGACAGGACTTCATCTGTGATCTGCTGGCGAAGAGGTTCGTTGCGCAACCATTGCTGAACGGCGGTTAGACTGATGGCCATGCCTGCCATGTTTCCGTCCTGAAAGCCTGCTCAGGGTTAGAGCTGTCCATTCCGCCATAGCAGTAGTCGAAACGAAGAAACTCACCTCGAGCATTGGCCCTCACCAACTCCTGCGAGACGACCAAGTCATGCAGATAGTCGAATTCCTTCCCATCAACGACGCCCCCCAGCAGCTTCCGTCCATGCAAATGCTTACCCGGCCCCAGCCGCATCGCCAGAATATTGGTCTCCGCCATGCGATCGATCAACTCCTGACTGATATAGGTGCCGTCCCTCTCCTTCTCCTGTGCTTCCGGGGTGACGTATCGGTCCGTGAACTCGCGTAGCGCCTTCTGTAGTCGCCGATGGCTGTCATTGTAGTAGGGACTCTTGAATGCGGGCCGCAGCCACAGAGGCTCGGCGTAGGGGACCTGGCTCAGACTGCCCGGCTCGGGGGTCACGACTTCGGGGCTTTCCCCCGCTACCGTGCCGATGCACAGACGGCTGTACCGGTCCAGCACCTCCTGGCGATGGAGGTTATAGAAGTCCGTGGTGGCATCTTGACCGGCGATCTGGTTGAGGACCACACTGCCACCGGGGTGAGCATCGAGGAAGTCGGTGAGGTCGTAGACACGGTGATCGATGATGCACCAGACCGAGTCTTCGGTGTTGTGCTGTGCAACCTCGGCACGGGTAAAGGTCTGGGCCATGGCTGAGGAATTCGGCGGGGTATTCGACTGCGCGGACAGCACTCACTGCAGGTGAAGTCTTGTTGCGTGAGTCCGGGTTGTACAACAGGGCCTCAGAAATGTCAGGACTCAATTTGCGGGGAAGACATGCAGCAGCTTATATGCCAATCAAGGGGCGAAGATTACTACTGATGGCTGTTTGGATTTCCCCGGTTTTGGATCTGGACCGAGGCTATTGCCGCTTTGGGAAGGGATGGAGGGGCGATCACTCATCAACTTGTCAACTTGATTAATTGATCAGCCCATACCGTCTATGCTCAGTCTGTTTTGCTCGAAATTACTATGCACCGAGCACTGGTTCATCGTTTTGCTCGTCTTCACCGAGCATCTTGTCCTCAGTTTATTGCGTGTGCAACAGGACACGGGATAACTCGTCGAGGCATAAGACATTAATGCCTCAGGCTGCAACGAAAGTCCCAATATTGGGCCCATTCTTGATTTCTGGTTCCTAATGGGGGAAAAGCAGGTACAAGTACACCTTATTCAATCTGCGCGCTACCGATCATGTCTCCATTCTTATGACACCTCCAATCTCAAGGCATCATACTGCACATATACCGTCCCAGGCAAAATCGCCGTCTCCGTGTCCGTGGCATTGTACGGCAGGTGCAATGTCAAGACATTATTTCCGACCACCAGCCAGTCAGCTGGGAACTCCATCCGTGATCGAACCTGGTAGCAACTGACGGCGGACCGGACAATGCAACTACTGGACTGATTGAATCCGATCACCATGCTCAAGGGCTCCTCCTGGCCATTGATATAACTCTCCAACGAGAGATTGTTGTATTCCTCGGCTGGGTTCCATACATCGGTGTTACCGGACGCGGTCTTCGCGCCCGCAAGCTGGATGGTCAACGTCGCCGTCTTCCGCTTCTGCAGCTGTTTCTTATTCAGATTGAAGTTGATAGTCCAATCGTGGGTGGTGTCGTACTCGACATCGGGATTGTCCGGGGTCGGACCAAACACGGACCACTGCACCGTGTTGAAATCCGTGGCAGGATCGCTGCTTCCGATCGTGTAATTGACTCCGTTGGGGAAGTCTTCCTGCCAGTCATAGGCGGCCCAATAGATCAGATACTGCGGAGGGTGCAGTGGATGGGTTTCGTCTCTAGCAACGCCGCGGCGGAATTCTCCCGATGACTTGTCGGGAGTGCCTAGCCGCCAGACCTCGGTGCCTGCGGATTCCTCAACCCAAGCCCCCTGAACCTTCGTAGTCTTGCCAGCCTGTACTCGCACGCCGTCGCGCTCATAATCACCGAAGACACCGTCCGCATACACAGTGAGCCGGTATTTGCCCTCTTTGACGTGGTCAATGCTGAATTTCCCGTTCTTGTCAATCTCCGCCCAGTATTGGTATGATGAAGGGTCGACTGAGTTGTCCTGGAAGTATTGTCCATCTACCGTGAGTACAGCGATCGGTCGGGTTGCTACTTTAGGGAGCTTGATGTGTCCCTGCACTGTACCTCTGACACTCGAAGGTGCATACCCGACCACGTGCTTGGCGATCGAATCATAGAACTTCACATTCCAGCTGGGGTTCGCATATGTTTCAGCATCAGATCTCAGCTCCTCCAAGGTTGATTTGGACCCCTTCCCGCCGTTGAAGTGGTAGTACTGAGGGCCGAAAGTGCGGTCAAAACCGTAGGTGATGTTCGGGGTTCCTTCTCCGTGGTGATTCGACACCAGGTAGTTGTAAACGATACCATCAACGGTAAGATCGGAATGCAAGGGTCCCTAGTATGATCAGCCTAGTAGAGGAGGTTTATTTGTGACAGTAACGTACACCATAGTATGTATCCTAGCAAGTATTACAGTTAGTTCTCTGTGTGCTGCTCATTGTGAATGGACCTCACCTTTGTGTTCATCACCAGCCACGCTCCGTATGTCGTACCATCGGATGTGGTCCCATCCGCATACATACCGTGAACCGAGTTATCACGCCAATCTTCGGAACTATTAGCCATATGCGACATAGAAGATGAAGGATCAATAGCACTGACCATTTGAGAAAGTATACTTGGTGAAGTATTTCGAGAATTGAGTATAGTACGCATCGTCGGGGGTATTGTTGAATGTCCAAGTGGCATCCTGAACGACGATCTCATTGCTGATGGCCTCTGCACTGGGAAGGGGAGCAGTCTGAACCTCGCTTGAAGTCAGGTGCGTCCACAAATCCGTGTTGGGCCGGAAGAGGGTCCGGAACTCCTGCAAGTTGCGCAAGAACGGCGTGGTCTCATTGTAGTAGGCGAGCCGACTGAAGGTGTGCAGACCTGTCTCGCCGTCGCGCAGGAACCAGTATTGTTGGAATTGCTGACCTGTCGGAGGGTACGTCTCGTTCATGATCACACCGGCATATTTGGTGCCCGTAGCATCTGTCCCTTCCACGACTTCCATGCTGGGGCTTGTGGATCCGGGTGTGTAGAAGCCCGAAGGAATGCAGTAGCAATCCAGATAGGGACCGGTCCCTGTGTCCCCTGATTGGGGACCGAGCAGATCCTGGCTGTCGAGGGTGAGGTCAACTATTCTGCCTTTGTTGGTTGCAAAGACCGCGGTTAGGCGGTCATTTGCCAGAGTGATCGTGCTTTCATTCTGGCCGGTTCGCAGTGTTGCAGAGGCTAAGGTGAGGCATGTCGCCAATACGCCAAAGGAAAGAGCTGGGCGCATCGTGACTGATTCTGTAGACGGATTTCGACAGCGAAGTCCCTGGCCATCGTGAGATGACGCACTGACTGTCGTCTTGCTTTTATAGTCGGTGGCATGATGGAAGCCGTCGGACACAGATCATCCCGGATGAACGATCGTCCTGACTCATGACAAACAATTGCAGCGCAAGTCAACATGCTGGGTGGCATTCGAAGCGATGGTTGTTGGGTTGCAGGAAATGCCAAGGGACGATCGAAGCGGAAGGTCCCCCGCCTTCGCCTATGATCTGGGGAGAAACTGGACCAAAATGCGGGGGAAGCCGCAGGCCAAGCAGAATGCAATCTCTCACGGAAAATTTATTCGGCCTTCATTCACCCGACATGATGCCTGGAAGTGCATGCAACGCTGTGCGGACTCGGTGCGGGGATCCAACATTACAACAGTACAGTACCTCCAACTGCTTCCCAATCCTCAGTTCCCCCTCTATCCCCTACATCCTGACCCTGCTTCTGTTTATCGGATCAGTAGCAGGTCTTGCAATGTGACCACGAGCTGTGCAACTATCTCCTGGTCGTATCGAGCCACCATGGAGGAGAGACAAGCACGGGGTAGATTGGCAGGATGTGTGAGGGAGTGTTGACATCAATGGAGTGGCAATATCCACAGGTATTGAACAGGATTCCGGTTTCATCTATCAGGAACTGCATCCGAGATTGACACCTCTTTTGTAGGTCTCAGCAAGTCAGATCGCAAGCACTGGCGCCTTTCCTAGGATTCAAAGCGGCTGGACCACGGTGCGCCTGTTACGCTCAAGTTGCTCGAGAGCCACTGTTAAATAAGCCCCGAGAACTTGAACGGATAAGGTTGATTAGTGGATCGTTTCCGACGGATCATGGATGGCAAGGATGGTATCGGATGCAGACCCGATACTTCTACAATGGTATCGGGTATACCCTCGGGTAAGCGAAGTTCTGGCCGCAATTCGAGCCTCATCGGAAACAATTCCTCTCATTTTCAAGTGCCAAGAGTGTATATAATGGAGCTGTCCCAATGAGACCCTGGCCATGACGGCCGTGCGCTATGGAAGTGCGGATCCAGGCCCGCTTCAGCTGGGAATCTACACACTATCTTTCCCCATGGGGTAGATGGGGTATCAAAGAAGAGCGGACGGAACATGGTATAAAGGGTCCAGCACGACGCGAGGAGAAGAGACGTGGAATTACCAATCTGCTCGTCAGAATCTCCTGTCCGCTGCTATTAGTGCTTCGCATTTGAGAGGTGGCGAGATATTGTCTCCTCGTTTGATGTGGCGCTAGACCGCATAATTCCTTGTTCTCCTTGCTCAAAAGCCGATAAAAGCAATATGTCAGCTCCAGATACGTCTAATTCAGATGTCAAAGGAGGTGAGTACAATACTGCAACTCATCTAGAAGATGTATCCTCTAGAAAGCCAGAGCAAGTCTGCGAGACTTGGTCAGGTGCCTCCTCGACCAACCCTCAGAAATGGCCAGAGTGGAAGAAAAATGCCCAGATTCTGATGGTTGCTTTTCATTCAATGGTCGCGACCTTCATGGCTGCAGGCATCATCCCAGCATACGACACCATGGCCGAGGTGTACGGGGTTACGGTGCCGCAAGCAAGCTATCTCACTTCGATGCAGGTTAGTCGGCCTCTTTTCACTGTGCGTGATGGAAGGTCTATAAAACCCCAGCTCACACCCATACCTCCTAGATCTTGCTTCTAGGGATCTGCCCATTATTTTGGAAGCCTCTTACCTCGATCTACGGCCGCTATCATATTTTCATACTATCGGTGCTCGGGAGCATGGTATGCAACATCGGTGGAGCTCGCTGCACGACCTATGGAACTCAAATGGCCACACGCGTCCTGACAGCCATCTTTATCTCGCCACCTATGGGCATAGGCAGCGGCATCATCACGGAGCTCTGTGAACCTGAAAAGCGAGCTCAGAAGCTGGGGTGGTGGACGCTGATGCTCACTCTCGGGACGCCAGGAGGACCTTTCATCATGGGTTTTGTGACGAAACACATTGGTTACCAATGGATGTTCTGGATCTTTGCCATCATGAACTTTTGCCAGCTCGTCGCCTACTTGTTCTTGGGCGAAGAAACTCTTCACATCCCAGAGAACAGCCACACTCCCGCTGCAAGCCCCCACAAATCCCGTTTCTACCACAAATTCATCCCACGCCGAATGAACCCCCGGCCTTTCAAGGCACGCGAATTTGTCGAGCCCCTCTTCTACGTGCGGCTTCCGCGTGTCCTCATTCCCGCCTGTGCTCACGCCATAGTCTTTTGCTACGGAAACATTGCCCTCATTGTGGAGATGCCCATTGCCTTCGGGGAGAAATTCGGCTTTGACTCGCAACAAATCGGCTTGCAGTTCATTGCTATCATCATCGGCTGCTTGCTCGGCGAGCAGCTGAGCGGTCCCATTTCCGACCGTTTCTTGCAAGCTCTTCAGAAACGCAGAGGCCATTACCGCCCAGCAGACCGTCTTTGGTTGTCCTATGTCGGCTTCGGGACCGTCATCGCCGGCCTTCTGGTCTGGGGGTTCCAGCTTAGCAAGGCCACGTCCTGGAACGTGACTCCCTGCGTGGGCGCAGCAATTGCCAGCTTCGGTAACCAAGTGATCACCACCATCCTGATCTCTTTTGCCATTGATAGCCATCGCGAGGTGGCTACAGATATTGGGGTTTGCATCAACGTGTTTCGCCATCTTTATGGATTCGTGAGTTTACCAAGTGGTTGAATCTGAGGTTCTCGCTGACTGTGAGTGCTTTGCGGCTAGATTGGTCCGTTCTATTTCCCAGACATGTTCGATACATTGGGGTTGGCTGGTGCGGCTGGGGTTATGTGTGCAATTGTCGGAGCGTGCGCCATGCTGCCGATTGTTGCCGTGCACGTAGTCGCCACGCAGTCTGACTGGTAACATTTGACTAGGTGGCAGGTCGAATTAAATCAGGGGGAGTAACCCAAGGTACGCATAGCTTGTCAAAGATGGACGGTTCTGGAAGAAGTCATGTACTGTCAAGACTATAACATAGCATCCGAATTAATGCCCTTGGACAAGTGATGACAGTAGTATGATAGAAGGTTGTCAGTATCCTGAAGTAGTTTATTTATCAAGGAGGTCTTCGTTCAACTTTTACGTATGCGATCTCGTCAACGCTCGTCTTTTCGATGCAGTAGAGTATGCCATGCTCATCTTTGACCTGTTTTTTTCAGGCAATTTGGCGGCGGAAAGCAATCGTCTTCAGGCAATGGAGTGAACGGTCGAGTGAAGAAATAGAAGGAGAACCATAAAAGCCATAAAGAGTGGATAACAAGAGGATTAATCGAGTATAACTGACTGAACTGGCGTTCCCAACCCAAAGGGGGCTGGACCCACGGAATCGGATCCGACGCTCCCGCCCGCACTTGCCCGTGGCCTCATGCCCCGGAATTCCTTCCGCCTCCTATCAAACTTCCAGACCTGGACAAAGCACGCGAATGTGCTAACACCTTGCTACTAATCTATCTATGACTAGTCTACCTTCTTCAAAACGCTGGTCTTCGGCAGATGGCTCTGCTACTCCACACAAACGTCACAAGATCACGGTCGCGTGCGATGAATGCCGCGTCCGGAAGGTCCGGTGTGACGGCATCCATCCCGGTATGTCTGGTCCGAAGCTGAACTTTTACCATCGCTGATTGATCTGACGCGTGTTGTGCAGTATGTGGGCCATGTGTGAGGAAAGGAGATCGAGAGAAGTGCATCTATACTGGAGACAAGAAGCGAGCGATGCAAAGGTCAGTTCTGCCTTGTGTCTCAGACATCAATTATATCATCATCTGCTGACATTGCTCCGGGGAAGCTATGTCAAAGGTCTTGAGAATCGGTTAAAGCTGCTTGAAAACCCTGTGAGAGCACAGGTGGATAGTGCTCAGTCATTGAGCTCAGGGTCTCCGCAGGTAAGCCCTTGGGTCTGACTAAATGACTATAGTCCCCAAGTTTGAGGTCCTCAGACACACCTTGGAGAGACTCATTAGGCTAATTCTTTTGAGTCTCAGACTCGATTACCGAGTCCGCTGCAGACGCCAACGTCGATCGCAGTTGCTCCATCCCTCACGAGTCATAGGCAGCGTCTACCAACCACCTCAGTCAGTGATAGCGGGGCTAGATCTCTTTCGCCATGCCTCTTATGCGAACAAACCCCGGACGCTGCATCGACCTGTATGCACAAGGATGCAGTGTGCCAGAATCCGGCTCCTATTGAAAGGCAAGCTCCGCGGCAGCATACAGATGGCGTGAACGCAATGATGGGCGAGGTGGAAGAAGAGCGACTAGCCCAAGGCTTCTTTGGAAGCTCCAGTGCTGCCAGTTTCATTCGACAAATCAGAACCGCTATTGATCAGAGGGTACCGTCACCATATCGCGGAACATCCAACTCAGCTCTTGGAGCGACATCATCGTCCGGTCTAAAGTCTTCGCGGATACAGCGTCCGTCTACAATTTCCAACTACGTCCTTCCGCCTCGGAAAACAGCAGACAGTCTGATGGAGGTTTACTGGACCTTTGTCTTCCCACTTTATCCCCTCATCGATAGTCTGAATCTACGAGATGAATATTCAAGGCTCTGGACTGGAGAGCCTTCTCACTCGGACGAAAATATGCTAATGTGCACTTTCAACGTGATATTTGCGTTGGCCTGTCAGCTAGCTGACTTTATTCCACCCGAAGAGCGTGAGGCGTCGGCAGATGCGTTTTTCTCTCGTGCCAAAAATCTTCTTCAATTCAATCTGTGGAATACAGGATCCGCTGAACTCATTCAGTGTTTGCTGCTCATGGCCCAGTATCTCCAGAGCACGGACTCCGCTCATCAGTGCTGGATCGTTACCGGGTTGGCCATTCGAAATGCACAGAGTCTGGGACTACATCTTCCGCAGACTAGTGCTCGCCTACGTAATCCTCAGGAAAAGCAGCTGGCCCGGAAGATCTGGCACGGATGCGTGTTGATGGACAGGTCAGAACAGCCCACGCCTCTTTTCCCACTCACAGACGCTAACCGAGTCCTAGGGTAATCTCCATGACTTTCGGTCGCCCTTCCATGATAGCTAAAGCGTCCGGTGGCTCCGTGCCGCTACCAGCGACTGTTGACGAGGAGTATATACCCTCTGCAGGCACCGACATAATCCAACCAACTGGTCGACCTTCTGTGATGGCATTCTATGCCAAATCTTTAGAGCTCTACGAGATCCTGAACGATATTCTCCTCAGTCTGTACAACCCTAATCCCAATGAGAGCCCGGAAGATGTTTATGATTTCTATTTCAACAAACATACTACGGAAGGTGGTCATACGCTATTCGAATTGGACCGAGCGCTCACCACGTGGTCACGAACTTTGCCAGAGCACTTACGAGGCGATGCCTCTCTTGCTTACGGCGACAAAATGTTCTACCATCAGAGCGTTGTACTACGAGCACGGTAAAATATCTCAATCTCGATTGCGAAAGATATGTGTTGATATAAAACCTCTAGGTTCCTTCACGTACGCATGCTTCTTTTCCGACCCATTTTGTCTAAATACTGTACCTCCCGCGATATCGGAGTCGCCGACCCCCTCATTTCTCTTCAAGATTCATTTCCCCAGCGTATAGCTCTCCAGTGCTCTATTATCTCCGTCAAAGTTGCGCAGGAGGTCATCGGCCTGATCCACGGTCACATTCCCGCCGACGGATCGGCCGGTCCACTTCCAGCATGGTGGTATAACATTCTCTGTGAGCATCTGAGCCCTGGCCAAATTTCCTACTTATCTTTCCTGTACTTAGTAGATAGGACTCGAGTTGTATCAACTGACTGGAAACAGACGTCTACACAGCTGCCACCGTTCTAATCGCCGGACGCCTCTGCCCAGCAATCTTGGAAGAAGTTACCGAGCCCGCCATTACTGAAAGCTGGAACCATGCCCTCGAGATCCTTCGCAGATACCACAGCTATAGCACATCCGCTCGTCGATGTGTTGCCGCATTAGAGATACTTTACGAGCGCGTTGTGTCCGAGGGCGGTTCGACGGACCAGGAGGTGCCCGTCCAGACCGTTCCAACGGGGTCTTCCACGTCGATTGGGTTCGGAGATGTGTCGCTTGGGGAGGGATTCAACACTGGCTTGTTTGAGGGAATTGATCTCTTGGACTTCCAGGATATGTCGTGGTTGAACAGCGTCCCGAGTAATTTATTCTGAGCGGGGCTCGGGTGACCGAGAGTGTTGGCTTGATGCTAGTCACGGACCTTGCAGAGATTTCCTAGCATTACTACTTTGCACTTTAACTTCTGCTATTATAGGAGCGACATACCCCGCATGCTGCGTTTCTCTCACAGACCTCACTCTAGCCGCCTTGGCAATCAGAAGCACACGGCCCAATCCAACCATTTAGGCTCGAGTTGCCCTGATACAACAACTTCCCCAGTCACAACTGGACACCCCCTCTTCTACTTGCCGACTTCTCTGGCCGAAGACCGAGCTAACGAAGGATTACTTTCGGTGGTCCATGCCCCGAACCCCAAGTCTGCCCAAGTCTGCCAACAAGCTTCAGCCAGCCAAGCCCGTGCGGATGGCATGATTCTTCGTTCATTTGACCAAGGCGATAACCAAGAACTGGCGCTTGTTGCTTGTTAGCATTTTGTTCTCGAGGTCTTCAACCACTATACAACTCTACAGAGGGCAGGATAGAACAGTCGGGCGATCAAAAATGCCGTCTATCCCTGTGTTGCTTTGTACATGGACTGTACACACTGCCACCAACCCCAACATAGCAGGGGTCAATGCCCTGCATAAACTACGTCCAAAGTCCTGGGGGATAAATGCGGGGTTGCATCACGTCACGCATGGTTCTCTCGCTGTTCCTATTGCTCGGACTTGTTCCGGACTGGTTGTTTAGCCTGCCATCCTGGTCATTGTGGGGCTAGTGGGACAACCCCGGATTGCTGAGGAACGGCATGTGGGGGTCAAGATCCGGTGACTGACTCGTGAGCCGGCACTCACTCCATCGCCATCTACCTATGTATCGACTCCTCACTCACCCACAGCACCGCTCTCTCCTAGAACCTGCACATGACCGTCATGATTAAGTCGAGTTCAGGTTTATTCGCCGACATTTACCCGCTAGTCAGGCAATGGGTGCGGGATATCCGGCGTTCCCTGGGGTCTTGAAAAATGCTTTTCCTTCTGTATACCTTGCTAGGAAGGTTAGGCTGAGGGATAAATACCGCCATGAAGTCGCTGGGGGAGAGTGTAGAAACAGGCAGCACAGAGGCAGTACAGAGGCAGCAGAATGCACAGCTTTGGATCCTTGATCGCCCTTCTGGGCGGTCTTTCTCTTTGCTCCGCCGCACCAACTGAGCAGAACATCACCAGCGATACCTACTTCTACGGCGATTCTCCGCCAGTCTACCCCTCCCGTATGTTTTCCTATGATCTTTTCCTTTGTCATCCACGACTCACGCAGCACTTCAGCCGAGGGGACCGGTGCCGGTGGATGGGCTGCAGCCTACGAGAAAGCAAAGAGCTTCGTCGCCCAGCTCACAGACGAGGAGAAAGTCAACTTCACGGCAGGCTACAGTGCCAGCAATGGATGCTCGGGCAATATTCCAGCAGTCTCCCGTCTAGGCTTTCCCGGCTACTGTGTGTCGGATGCAGGGAATGGACTGGTATGTGGACCCAGGCAGTATTGAAGCTTTCTTTTCTAAGCACAGTACTCAGCGTGGAACGGATTTCGTGAATGGTTGGGCCAGTGGCATCCATGTTGGAGCAAGGTACGCATGCTTTAGCGGTCGATTGAGTTTTTCAGATCACCTGCTAATTTCTCGCTTCTAGCTGGAACAAAACTCTTGCTCACCAACGGGCTCTGTACATGGGACAAGAGTTTCATCGAAAAGGTGTCAACCTTCTGCTGGGCCCTGTGGTTGGCCCCATCGGTCGTGTCGCGGAAGGCGGGCGGAACTGGGAAGGCTTCTCCACTGATCCCTATCTCAGCGGGGCGCTGGTGTATGAGACAGTCCAGGGTGTGCAGGAGGCCGGTGTTGGTGTCTCTGTGAAGGTGTGTATACTCTCCTTTACTGTATCTCACCATGTGTGAATGCTGATTGAGGCACCCGAAGCACTACATCGGAAACGAGCAAGAGACCAACAGAAACCCCGAGACAGAGAATGGAGTCACTGTTGCCTCGGTATCCTCGAACATCGACGATAAGACCATCCATGAACTCTACCTCTGGCCCTTCCAAGATGCCGTGCT